AGCCGACCGATGGAGCATTTGAGGCGGTCGTATATGGCGCATAACAGCGGGTCGATGGGGAACTTGAACCCCATAACCCAGTATTCGGCATACACACCGAACCACCCAGGGGGGCAGTTACCCACCATACTGCGCACCGAGGGAGCGGCGTACTCCCAACTGGGGGGCAAACCCAGTCCGCGAACCAAATCCTCCACGTCATCCACGTCATACGTCGAGGAGTGCTCGGGTCCGCGCTTGAGATTGTCAGACGGCGCCGGCTGGTCACCCCACATCTCCGCCCATTCGATCACGCGGTATGTAGAGCCAACACCCTGCGGCCCCAAGCGGGCCATGGCTTCGGTAACGCGCTCGACTGCTCGCGGCGCGAATTGCACATCAAAGTCTCCTTGCCCTGTCTCATCGCCGAAGTCTTCATCGTCGGCGACTTCATCGTCGCCGACCTCACCATCGGCGACTTCCTCGTCGGCGATTTCCTCGTCGGCCGCTTCGTCGCCGGCAACCGGCCCACCACCCTGGTTACGCCGAATAATCAGAGTCCCCCGAGCCGGCCGCGCCACCTCCCCACTACCGGAAGCGGTTATACCCTGATCAGAAGAGCTTCCGGCCCCATCGCCCGACCTAGCATCGAACGTCGGCGTCGCCGGAAATCCACCACCACTACTGCCACCCCCACCGTCGGATCCACCGTTCCAATCCCCAGAACCTCCATTCCCACCACCGGAATGGTCAGAAGAAGTATGCGAGAGAGGAGAGACATTACCTTCTTCGCCTTGTACGACCTCGGCCTCCTGGTTGTTGATGTTGGACATGATATCGACTCGAAATCGATCAACAGCAGAAGAGGATTAGGGTAGTAAAAGGAGGAGAGAAAATCTCGAGGAAAGAGAAGTGAAGGAGGAGGGAAATCTTAGGAAAACAAAAGCGAGGCTATGATCGGAGAAAACAAGTGAGCCCTCCTCCCTTCAACAATCTCATATTTATAATTGATCCGGGGGAAAACGAAGGGCCAAGGCCGTTCGGCGGAATGCGAAAGGTTAAAGCCACATTGGGATCCGTAACAGTCAGATCCCACCAAATCTTTTCGAAATTCAAAAAACCCCCGCCCAAATAGCCTAACCACACAGTGACACGTTGACACCTACGATCATAGGCATTAGTCGGCGACGCCACCAGCGCCGCGCACCGACTGGGGGGCATGGCACACCCGCGAGGAAAAGAAAGACACGCATTGCGTCGCAACAAGAAGACAACCCCAGGCGCGCATCGACGGGCATCGCACGCGAGTATCACGCTCAACGAACAAAGATCAACCGCGAGCGCTTATCGCGAGGATAACGCCTGGAAGAGGAAAACATGCGTCGTGCTGCGAAAAGAAAACAACTCCACGAGCGCATCGCGCGATCAACCCCATGCGCGCATCGACGGGCATCGCGCGCGAGTATCACGCTCAACGAACAAAGATCAACCGCGAGTGCTTATCGCGAGGATAACGCCTGGAAGAGGAAAACATGCGTCGTGCTGCGAAAAGAAAACAACTCCACGAGCGCATCGCGCGGGTATCGCGCTCAGCGAACAAAGACCAACAACGAGCGCATTAGCGCGTACCGCGCACGAAGAAAACGACCCCGTACGCACAACAGCGCGCGCCAAGCATTGCGCGTGGCGACCGAATGAAGCCCAACAACGAGCGCGATGGCACATGGCGTCAGGGCAAGGCGACGCCAGTTCATAGTATCGCGCACGTCGGCGCCAACCAATAGCTACAAGCGGACCGGCCCGAGTCCGGAGGAAACCTAAACAGGGGGCGTTCACAAAACACCCCCTGCTGGGGGGCAATTGTTGGGCATAGGACTCGGGCCTAACCACGCCAAGGAGCCGGGCGCAACTGGATGAGACCCCAACACGGCAGCGCGAGGACCCCGAGTGTGCCGCCTCATCGTGGCTAACCACGTCCAGGCGCGAAGAGATGACAGGCGCTAGGGGAGGACTAGCGTAGGCTGAACCAGAAGATGAGGGAAGCGCACCTCTTCCAAGCGGGTAGTCACATCAGGGCCATGAGTGGATCTCTGACTCATCCTAGGTAGAGGGATGGCCTAAAAGCCTTAGTATGCTAGTGGTCACATCATTGTATCCCAGTAGTCACATCACTGTATCTCTCCCTATGTCAACCACTCACCCACCACCATGAAGCCTATAAATATGGCATTTACTACGGTGGGTGAGGGGATGGCATTTTTCACCATTCTCTCTCTACAAGAACTACTTCTCTGTCTAATCTCTCTCTTACTCACTCTCTCTGATTCTGATTCCTCCTATCAAACCCGGCTCTCACGTTTCTTCTCGACCCAAACTCTCATTCGAGCCTCACTCCTACACTCAGTTAGGTTCAAACAGAAATCATATTTTATTAATTAATTGTGCATAAAAACAATTATGTTTTATTTTCCCCTACTTAATAAAACTATATCCTTTTACTTTTTCCTGTTGACTTGGTTTATATAATTCTAAAAAGAGGTGTACCACATCAAACTTGTTGTTTAATTTGGATCGATTCCTTTTGCCTCCATTATTGGGAACCTATGATGGTTACGGTTAGGCCTTTTGCCTTGTCAACCTATTGAACTTGTTGCTAGTTAAGCAACAAACAATTTTGTGCTCACACCTCCAAAACAAGCTTAAAGTTCATTATAATGGCGATTTTATCATTTATTATTGATGTAAAACACGGTTAAAAATATGTATCGTATTAATAGTAGGTATTGTACAAACAAATTACAGTATGATACTCCGTTGAACCAGAATGTACACTCGGGCATAAACATAGAGAGTAAAGCCAAAGTGAGCAACAATTTATGAAAAAATTATAATTATACCAATATGAACTTTTCAACAATCAGTAAAATCCAAAGTTGTATATGAATAATTAGTAGAAGTAATTGTGTTGGGTTCTAGAGAATTTGTCATTATCTCATGAGCCCTAACTTATTGGCTTGTCCTCACTGTATTTCCATCTTAATTTTATTTGGATGAGACTCTCTTTCTACAAGAAAATTTAAACTTTTATACATCTACACTCTACTATGCAATAGTATGCATCACCCAAACTTAATTGCTAGACCAATTCAATCATTTCTATTATGAGGAAAATGACAAATTAAGTGGTTTCTTTCACTTTTCATAAATTGTGTACGTCTATATATATGATGATTTCGGAGTCATTTCTAAGTAAAAATTGCAGTGATTCTGACGAACAACTTCGATTGATTGGGATGTTCATGAATTTCGTTTATATGTTTATTTAGACCGTTACGTATAGGAGTTATAGTTGATTTTAGTATTTCTTAAAGGCGTTCGACTGAAAAAACGAGCTCGACTGAAAGGAGAGGAAGAGAGTTCGACCGAAGGAACGAGCTCGACTGAAAGTTTCTTTAGTACTGAAATTGCTCCAACCTTAGACAAGTAATCAAAGACTGACTGATCTGCGGATTGTAAAATGGTAGTGGCCAATTCTTTTGCATTTAATCTGTTTGTGACCGGCAGCGACCGTTTAAACCTTCCAACCCATTACTCCTTAAGATCAAGTCAAATATACAATTAGTGCATGTTCCACTTGACCGGCAATTTAATTGGGTTTAGCTCTAATTAATATTTAATAGAGAGGCGACCATACCTAGCTAGAACTGCTTATTGGCATTTTTATATCATAGGTAGTTCATCCATGTTCGTCATGTCAATTCGAATCCAACCCGTCAAGTGTTAATGTTATGCGGATTTTTAGTGATATTATATCGAATGCCATAACATATCTAATTGTACAGAAGTTTTTTTTTTATAAACTTAGCCAAGTAGTTGATGGCCTACACCTTCTATATCAAAAGTTAGTAACCCTTTATATTGATTGGATGAGGAGATTTAGCTTGCATAAGAGCATGAAATTCAAAATCAATCACTTTTCTTCGAAACATGTTTCGGTACATGAACTAGCTTACTGTTACAATTAGCTTAATTCACTGTCTTAATTTTGGTCATTGACACCTATCTGGGCTAACTAATCCAGACTTGATGACCTAATTAGCATTGGTTCATTGAGATTTTAGTATTTTTGCTGTTGACCCAGCAGTAGTATAACTGGTTTAAGGTCAATATCAGCAAAGCTCCAAATTTTTACAGAAGGAAGCACTGCTGCATGAAATGTTTATGGCCAATGGAGATGCACAAGTCCCCTTGATGTTCTTGAAGCTCACATCCTTCATTGTCACCTTTGGTTCCATCTACAAAAATAATTGATCATATATATATATCCCCTTAGAAGGATAAAATTTAGGTTAATCGAATAGGTTGAAAACGTATTAGACACAGAAGACTTTCTAAGGTCGAAAATGTAATAAGCCGAGAAATACGTTTGTTTACGCACATAGGAGGGATTAGTTAATTGTTTGGTATATGCATTTGATTAAGAGTGGGATTGCCTTGGGAAACATCAATCTATTTAGGTTAACGATTGATTAAGCTACCTAATTGTAATATTGTTATTATATGCAAAAGAATTTTGTTGATCACTATTGGTGGTTAACAAAATGTCAACACTTTTGAGTAGTATATTATATAACAAAATGTCTACACGTTAGGTTTACATAGTTGAGAATGTATTTGATTTATGGTTCATTTTTGAGAATGTTGTAATATAACTGATGATGTCTCTGCACCAATAGCCAAGTTTATTAGAAGATTATGATTTTTTTTTCTTTTCTTTTATCAACTAATCCTTTTTGAAATCATGTAAAGAGCAATAATATAATGAAAGTTTTTTTTAATAACAAGTTGTTAATATCTCTAATATGTTACACGGTACACGTGGCATATGACATAGTATATTTAATTGTTATTAATGAAATGTATAAAATCTGTTTAGAATTATCAATAAATAAAAAGTTAATGTACCGTAATGATAAAAATATGAATTCTTGTACTGATGTGATAAAAATAATTTTCATGTACCGAGATGACCAAATAATAAAAGTTCAAGAATCAAATGTAACTTCTTGCGTAAAAGAAAACGAGAAAGGAAATAAGAAAGGGAGAGCAGACGAAAAGTAGAAGATAATTCCACTCTTATTGAACCCTTTCACCAGGAGTAGTTCAGACTTGAGACAAAATTAGCTACACATCCAACACTTGCCTGCTACTGAGAAAATGAAACAAACAAGCCAAACTAAGCCTAAGCAAGCTCCACAAAACCACCAAACTTCCAGAACCAGCAGGCTCAGGTGAGTGTGCCATCGTTGATGTTTTCTTACGATGGAGCACCGAGGTAGGAAGCAAGCCGCAGGATGTCACTGAACACGCCACCTGCCGTGACTTGAGCGCCGGCGCCGGGTCCTCGGACGATCAAAGGCTGCTCCTTGTACCTGCTGGTGGTGAATGCAATGATGTTGTCGGAGCCAGCGAGCTGTGCGAAGGCGTGGTCCTTCTTGTATCGTCTCAGCTCCACTCGCCCTTCTGCTCGTGTTACATCCACCACCCCGACGTATCTCAACACCTACAAATGGACACAGTGATCGTCATGTTAGTTATTCCAAATTTGAGTAACAAAAATTTGTGAAAAATCTGAACTTTAGGGACCATTTTTAGTGAGCATGAACTTCCGTGGCTGTTTTAAGGATCCCTTTCTTATACCAGAATTCGATAGCAACAAGCAAGAATGAAGAGTCAGGAAGTTAAACTTACGTATCCTTCTGCCTCAGCAGCTTGTCGTTCCTTTGCGATGTCTTGGTCGAATTGGGGCAACTGGTTCATGAACTCTTCAGCAGATGCACTAGCCTGCAGCAGCGAACATGTGAAGAATTTTTGTCATTTGATTAGATAAAAATATAAAGGAGAAGGACGCACGTCCATATGTCGAATTAGAAGTGGAGGTCTCTACGAGGAAGGGTCTTACTCTGAGGGGTTCTGGAACTAGACTTTGTACTGGGATATCGGAAAGTTCCAACTTCAAACCAGATTCTCTTGCAAGGATTATAACCTGCAAGATGATGTGACCACTAGTTATAAACAAGTTGACTTGATTATGTTCCATGACATGCATCAGAAAGCCTAATTCATTGCATAAAGTGAAGAAGACGGGTACCTTTCTGGCAACATCGGTTCCAGACAGATCATCCCTGGGATCTGGTTCAGTATAACCTTTCTCTTTTGCCTCAGACACAACATCACTAAATGCTCGAGTGCCCACAAAATTGTTGAAGATATAACTCAAAGTACCACTGCAGGAATTTCATAAAGCAGAAAGCTTGCATCAGAAGAAAAAAGAAAAAGTGGAACAACTTAGAACAGACTAAACACTCAAAGTGACAAATTCTAGAAAAGTTGCTGAGGATGACCTGAAAATGCCTTCAATTTGAAGTATCTTATCACCAGTTTCGAGGAGGCCCCTTAAAGTGCTGATAATCGGAAGACCGGCTCCAACTGTCGCCTCATAGAAGTAGTGTGTGTATGATTGCCTCTGAAGAGCTCTCAACTTCAAGTACTGAGAATAAGATCAGGCAAACCAAGATACATATGAGTTTTAATCAGGAAAAAAGGAAAATTAGAGACAGAGATGTTAGATCAAATATTACCTCATCAAGTGGCCCTGAATTAGCCTTTTTGTTTGGAGTAACAACATGGATTCCTCGTCGCAGCCAATCATAATAATGGCTTGCAATACCAGAATCCGCTGTGCAGTCTACCAAGACGGTATTTGGGATGAAATGATTTCCTTGCACATGATTTGCGAATTTATCCAGATCAGCCACTTCTCCTTTCTCTTCCATAAGTTCTTTCCATCTCAACAGGTCAATTTCGCTACACCAAATACCAACTAGGGTAAGAATGTAGTAACTCATTGGAGTCACAACTCTGCTTTCTCTAAAACGCACCCATAGACCAATGGAGTGCAAGCCAAAACAAGAAGGAGATGAGAGCACTCACGAATTGCTCAGAAGCATGGTCCTCGACCCAGTGATGCCCATGACACGGAGATCAATGTTGAAGTCCTCTTTAAGAACTGCTGCCTGCAGAGGCCAAAAGTATAAAACCTCCTCTTAGATCACATACAATAGTTATTCTGAAGCCACTATGATAATATCAGGCACTAAGGGATGCAGAGGCCTAAGATGATAAAGAGAACTTGACAATTTGAATCACGCACAATTGAAATTTTCATTGATGGGTGATGTTTGATAATTGATGGCAAACCTGATCTTTAAGTTGGTCGAGTAATGTGGCGCCTATCAAACCAGGTCCAACAATGCCCATTGATATTGTTGTCTTTGAAAGATAAAATCTCGAGTGGACAGCTCTCAGGGCCCTTACACAATCTTCGCGCTTGATAACTACAGTAACATTATACTCAGAACAACCTTGAGCTATGGCACGCACATTAATATTTGCCTGCATTGACAAACAATTTAAGTACACGAAGAAATTATCATCAGCAACTCACTATGAAGGCAGATATCATTTGCTTGGGAAAGAAAACCAATAAGGCAGTAGTTTTGTACCTTCGCTAGAGCATTGAAAAGAGTGGCACTCACACCAGGGGTGCTAGCCATTTTCTGGCCCACTGCTGCCAAAATGCTACAATTTGGAATGACTGCAACCTGAACAGAAAAAAGTTCCTTCAGAAAAAAAAATCATTTGGAGTTCTCGTACATTAAAGTTGGAAGAAATGGTTCATGACTGTTTGTGTAGGTACTGATACTTGCAAAAAAATTCAAGTGTTGTAGTGAGTACTTAAGTGGAAACACAAACAAGATGAATTATACTGAAGCTGAAACCAGAAAATGTCAGTTTTCCCATCCTAATATCTGAAGGATCCGGTAGATACTGTTAACTTCAGGACACACCTGGGAAAGGCGCCCAGCATCCAGAGCTTGACGAAATCTGGATCTCAGAGCATCTGCAACAGCTTTGACTTCCTTCTCGGGCACCGCAAAGCAAACAGAATGCTCACTGCTAGCCTAAATCATATTCGAGCTTTTATCATTATTCCAGTTAACCAACAAAACCATCAAAGGAATACCATTCCTTGAATTCTTTGAATGCTTTTTACCTGTGATATCATAATAACATTAGCTCCCACATCTTTCACTGCAGCAAAGATATCACTAGCTGTACCAGGGATACCAGCCATTCCAGTTCTGCGAATATGGCCAACAATAAGAAACATAAGTCAGACCACCCAGAATGACCAAATGATATATCCCGAGAGGAAATCATGAAAAGCAGAAATAGCAAGGAGAGATGGCTAACCCTTCAACGTTCACAAGGGCCACGTTGTCTATTGTTGCAAACCCTCTGACAGGGGCATCTGCTATAAGACCACTAAATTCCTCGTCAACTGAAGGTCTACATATCATGGTCCCTGGTGCAGATAGGTTGAAAATATTCCTTATGATAATTGGAATGTCATATCGCATCACTGGAATTATAGTTCGAGGATGCAAAACATTTGCCCCAAAATATGACTGCACAACAATCACATGAATCCCGTCTTAGAAAAAATTTGAATTAACCAACAAGAGTTTAAGTATGGGAATCACACTCACCATTTCCCAAGCTTCTTGATAGGACAAAGTCTTCAATATCACAGCCTCACTAACTGCAATGGAAATAGGTAGATGTACTATATCAGTATGCTGTACATAAAAATTCTCCTGTACTTTAGAGTGAAAGGTTTTCTTCAACTACTTAATGGCTCGCGATTGCACAAACCTTTCCTAGGATCTGCACTATAGACACCATCAACATCGGTCCAGATGGTCACTTGTCTGGCTCTCAACATTGCACCCATAATGGCTGCAGAGAAGTCACTACCATCTCTCTTCAAAGTTGTAGGAATATTTCCAGGTGTGCTTGCTATGAAACCAGTTGCAACAACGGCCTTGCATGGATTTTGAGCAAACCATTCTTCAAGACGTTTTTCAGATTCGACGAAATCAGGATCAACTTGATTAGCACTAGTAGGATTGACAATAAGGACATCTCTTGTATCCATCCATTGACAATCAACCCCATTCTGCACAAAGAGAACATCTTAATTGAAGTCTAATGTGGCTTATTCACTTATTAAACAAAGGAGATTAGTTCTCTACCTTCTTCACAACATATGATAATATCTGAGCCGACCACAACTCTCCATGTCCCGCCACAAAATCTGAAAATGATTCTGTTGCATGACCAGCTGCAACAAATGCAAAAAGTACACTATCAGTAGCAGAAAAAATAGCAAAATGCAACATGGTGACTTCCCAAATTCATCATAGTTGCGTAAAGTATTAACTTTTGGGGTCGTTTGGTAGGCATGGATTTTAAGAAATTGTGCATTTTGTAGATGGAATTGTAAGAATGTGTGCAATGTCACACCACAGTATTCTTTTCTATAGTGATCGTAATGGACAAGAGAAATGAGGACTCCATAGAAAACCAATGCCCTTTCAGAATCACAAGGATCAACCCTTGGTTTACCAAACCACCTCTTAGAAGCAAAGCACTCTACTTTTCAATAGGCACACATAGCGAGAACAGCAAGAGAGAATAACATCACTCACCTATATATATAGCACGAAGCATAGCCTTAAGGTTATTGATATCATGATGCAACCTCGACAAAAAGGTAGCAAGATCATCTCCGTCGAGAAGATCCATAGCCGTCAACTTGTGCTTCTCGAACACAGCGTCAGCAGCAGCAACATACGAATCATCCCGAGACTGTGCCTTGTTGATGAGATCGTACATCATATCAGTCACCTTCGACATTGCTGACACAACCACAAATTTCCCTTCGGAACTGTCATTAGCAATTATATCCGCCACATTCTTTATCCTCTGAGAAGTTCCCACACAGGTTCCCCCGAACTTATGGACTGACCACAAGTCACCTTTTGGTAGTAGAACCTTTTCCTTCGATTCATCCAACAGAATAGCTGCAATCACACAGTGAGAGAATTAGCCAACGAAAAATCGATCAATGGACAGTTTACTGAATGGTTACTGAAAAGAGCACCTTTAGCAGCAGAAGAAGAAGCATGGATCCTGTACGACTCCTTTCTTCCACATCCTGTTCTGCAACAAGCCAATGGAAGAAGAAAAAAGAAGAAAAGTCTTCATCAATTCAAAACCAGCTTAGATGATCATTAATTTGAAAAACAAACGAAATTGTAAAAGAGAAACGGAAGCGAGAAATCAAAATTAGGCAAACAGGATGGTTCCAAATTTTCGCAGAAATCAAACAGGGGAGACAGAGCCGGGATTTTCTTTCCATTTCCCAATCTGAGCTGGCAGCTCCAATTCATGCATCTCCATGGCTCTCAAATTACAAGTGACGGAAAAACAGCGATCATTTCTCTCCCTCATTTTCTCGACAAACAAACAGAAATGAGCAAATTAGAGCGAGCGGGGAAACGAGAGGTACCTGAAGGCGGTGGTGGCAGGGGAGCGAGGAAGGAGAGACAAATTAGAAGAGGAAGAGATCTTCGTCTTCTCCTCCAGCTTACAGCTACTCAGCGAGTCGTGATGCAATGCGGCGGGAGAGAGTAGACGGGAGGCGCCGCCGCCGGAGATAGAAGCGGAGAGCGCCATCGCCGACGGAGTGAGCAAATGGTAACCAACGAACGACAATTGAGCAGAGGGGGACAGAGAGAGCACCCAAAACCTGCCTCTCTTTTCGTTTAACGTTTGGCCCTTCGGGGAGTTTTTTTTATCCTTCTTCTTCCTTTGGAGAATTGGAGGGTTTTTATGGCGGCTTTCGTTTTCGTTTTGTCTGTGTGCGAACGATTCCTTTTCGCTGCCGGGTGTGACTCGGGAAATCGGAACTCGTCCGAGTTTTTATAGAAATCGCATGCGGGCGAGGGGACAGAATCTCCTGCGTCTGAAATTTGATTAGGGGGTCGAAGCCAATCGGGAAGCGACACGTAGCTGTGTAAGTTGGGTTGGTGGGGTAAGTAAGATAACGTTCGGTGCAATTTGGTCCCTAAAAGTATATTATTTGACATTTGAGTCCCAAGATCAGTCGTTTTAAAACACAGAAAATGTCCACTTGCACGTGAATCACACAATTTGTACTCCCACCTAAAAAACAGATATGCACTCACAAATCACAATCCTCCCATCATCTACCATCCCCACTAGTATGTAGAGGACACCACCATGTAAGAAAAATAAGTAACATAGACGATAATTTGATTAATAATCTAGACATTTAGATGGCAATGCACAATGTGAAAATCTCGGACCGAACAAACCAATTCGTTCATACATCAAGACATTTGGACGAGAATACAGTCACATACGAGCAATGGTATCACACATATTTGTCTGTTGAGCGCCTAGCTATGTGTTTCAGGGGGGGAACTTGGGAAGAAGAGGGCTATTGCATGATGAGTGCATGCTCGTTTTTGTGCTCCGGTGTTGCCTCTGTCACATAGACCAAGTGTACGTCGGGCAGGCTTTCCTGTTTCCCCTCCAAAGCATGATAGGAGAAGCACCCGTCCTTGGCCAAATCAACCATCACTTTCCTCAAGAAATTGACATCAGAGCGTGCAAGAGGAGGTTGACGAATCATCATGCCATAGTCGTCTAGTCGCTCCCAAATCGCCACATCAAAGCGACAAAGATGCTGTCTATGTATCGGGATATGGTCAACACACATAGCCACCTCCACATAGTTGTTTTGGTGGATACTCACCGGTGCTCACCCTCTCTAGGGGGTGAAGAACTACCCATACTAGGCACATGACTCGAATATAGTTAATCATCATGCAATCAAAAATACTATGAAGTTCGTCTAAACATGAAATTTTTCGTAATTAAATAACCTTTTTCTACTTTATCATGCATCGTGATTTGATACTAAGACCAAACTGATACCATAGGTTATCCCAACAACTTACAAAGCTACATAATTTAGAAGTAATAGGGACTCTCTCTCTATACCTTTCCCTTTTGACTTTTGCTCTGCCCTCTTTCTTCTTCCAGCCTTCCTTTTCTGGTTTCGGGGGCTGCCGCCGGCTCCTTTTAGGTGACCGGCGGTAGCCCAAAACTTTTATTTTTCCAGCCTTTGTTTCCTTTTCATGCTTTGGTGCTCTTGCTTGTGTCCTGGGCAGTTTTCAATCGGATTTCCAGCCGTTCTGGCTTTCAGTTTTCTCATTTCCAGTCGAGCTATGGCTCTTCTTTCAGATCTTGGTTCTATGTTCTTGGGCTTGCTCGTCGTAGGAGCTGGAGTCTGCAACTTGGGAGCCTTTTCCAGATCTGGGTTTTGGGTTGTCCCCCGTTGGTGGCCTCATCTTCAAGGTGAAGCCATTCCTTTCTTTCCCTCTCCGACCTCCCTTGGTGGCTGAGTGGCTTGGTGAGCTGTCGGATGGTGGTGGGTTGGGTCTACTCCGGTGGTTGCGGTTGGGAATCGGTGTTTTCGTGGAGGTTTGTGGCTACCTTGGGAGCCTCTGCTCTTCTTCGAACCTGATCTCTCTACCTCGGCCTCCTCTGCCTTTTCAGCTTGGAGCAATCTGGTTATATCCTCTTCCACCGCCATGCAGTCTAGTTTCTAGATTCACTGTGATGGATGCCTTTGAGTTTTCCCTAGGAGGCGGCACATGGGGTGATGATGTTCAACTACCATGGATTTCGATATGATCGGACAAGCTGATTTTGGTTTTGTTGCACTTTGATTGGTTGTTTGCAAGAGAGATTCTTGATGATCTGTTTTCGGTCAAGGGTTTGCTCTTTCCAGGTGGTTGCTTGCAGACTGTGTTTTGTTCTTTGTTGCTGCATTCTGTCCTACACAGCTTTGTTTGTAACCGGATGCCATTGAGCTTCCTCTTATTAGAACCAGATTGTTGGTTCGTTCTCCCTCTTTGTAACAGATCAGTTTGAAGTGCAATAAAATGCCTCATTGTCAAAAAAAACTTACAAACCTACAAAGTCGAAAAGAAAGGGTAATGACTCTCAAAATGGAATCTATTCCAAACACAAGTCTAATACCAAAATCTACAACGCTAGTTAACTTAATTAATTACCTAACCTTTTGATCTTTTCTGAAAACGGTGACTCGGAACATGTGGACGGCAGCGTCGGGGCTGCTCTTCACCAGCTCAAACGCACAGACGTCCCCGACTCTAAGCTGATTAGCTCCGGCGAAGTCCTTCCACCCGCACCGAAACGCCGCCGCCACGATCCTCGACGTCCCCGGGTCGGCGTTCACCGTGTAGTTCAACTTCCACCTCCTCCCGCCGCTGTACTCCCTGCTGAGGATTGCATCCCCGTCCTTGGCCTTGAAATGTTCCCTGGCGAAGCTCAATGGTATCGCCTGCAAATGCGACAAAAAAAAAAAAAAAAAAACAGAGTGACAAACCCTTTTCAATTTCCCCCCCTCCACTGTCTTGTGATCAATGTAGCAAAAAAGGGTTATGACTTGATCAAGCTAGGTTACCGTAATGGATCCAGGATAGATATGGGAAGGGTGGATAGCAACCATGAAGTGAGGCTTTTGGGAGGTGAAAGCTGCCCTTGCTCTATCAATGGCTTCAATCTTCTCATTCAAACTCAACCCTTTTAGCCTCTTTAAACCACTGTTCATTGCTCCTCCTCTGTTTCGATCGACTTCTAGTTTCGCTGCATCGCGCGACATACGATCCAGAATCGATTATCCGATTTGGATAACAGAGTGACGTTCAAGATGAAATTGAATCATTCAACAATCGAAAACAAGACTGAAGGCTAATGGAATCTGTTACCTGGAGCTGATGCACAAAACTTCCCCTTCTTCATTTGATCCCCTGCATTCAAACACATAACCACCGCCGTCGTTCTGGCAGTCCCAATCTTCACATCACTCGAACAATTACTCACCAAATCTTCATCTCTATCCCCTTTCCCCGGGAGAGACGGAAACCCATCCAATATCTCAACAGACGAATCATCATCATCATCATCAGTTTCCGATTCATCAGAATCACTCGTTACTGCTCCTTCGTGAACAGGGGATGAGTTGGGGACCGCCTTACTCGACGGAGCCTCCGCCAACCGCAGCTGCAGAGGCGGCGGAGAAGCAGGGTACTCGATCTCCGTCGCCGTGGGATCGAAAACGACGACGTTGAAACGGCTGATCCAGCGATCGACGAGCTCGAACACGACCAAGTACCCGTGGGACAGCGAGTAGAACTCGGCGAACTCACGAAACCCCTTCTGCAGCCAGATGTCGCCGTCCGATTCCGTCAGCTCCACCGTCCATTCCGTTCCTGATGGGTCACTCAGAACCGCCGAATCCTGAAGGTTTCCGCCGTACAGCTTCACGAACTTCGTCGGAATGAACTGAGTTAAAATGGAAAAAATTAATCAGAATCTGGAAATTGAAACGGAACCCTTGATTCTGAATCGCGAAAGAAGCAAAACCCACAAAAAAATATTCTTTTTTTTCCCCTCTCCCCCTCTTCCGATTCTTCTTGTTGTCCCCTGTTTTTGGGAAAACCCTTGCTAATTTAGGGATCTGAAAATGGGGGAAATTGGGAATGGAGGGAGAGGAAGGAAGGAACTTGCAAGCTTGCCGTCACGAATGGCGTCGTCGAGGATGATCTTGAAGAAGTGAGGCCGTCGTTCGTCGCCACCGTCTCCTATACCGGCGGTGGTCCTGCTAGGTAAAGCCATTCTCGTCAGGAGGGAAAATTCCTGAAGAAGATGATCTCTTTAGTTGTGTTTTTGCTAGTCTTCAGGATTTGACTGCGGGAGTCAGTTAAGGATGGTCACGTAACTGACGCTGAGAAACGGCTGAACGCCGCCGAAGAAGCGGTCCAACGGGGCAAGATTAATGGGAGTTTCGTTTTAAGAAATCACATTGTGATTTTTCCAATTATCCATGTTGAACACATGTGAACTAAGTGGCACAAAAGAAACGGAGCATAGGAAAAAAGAACCTTCAGAATTTCCTTCATGGATACAAGAAATCAAGACTTAAAACCATTCTACTTCATCATCATTCATCAGCATTATTAACCATATACTTGCTACTATTTACATAAACAAATGCATCACCTCTATATAGTCCACGCTAGTTCATGGATTCACCAAACCAACCTGTAAGAGAAAATCAACAGCAAACAAGAAAAGTTGGTTCTTTCTTTACATGTTTTTGAGCAAAACTCAGAAGTCCTCAATCCTCGACGGGTCAGTCTTTCCCTTCTGGCAAAGCTCCTGTTCTCGTATCGCCTTCAGCAGCCGATTCTGATGCATTCTCGTTGCTCTCTTCATCGTTATACCTATCAACGCTTTTCATGAACACCCCTGCAGGCAATGCAGTCAAATTATAGCTTATACAGTATGTATATACGAATCGCCATATCATAAGGTTTTTCACAGAGCCAAATACATCATCATAAATAGGTCCTCCATAGACTTAGTAGCTTATAGTTTCTATGGAGAATCAGACTATGTTGAAGCAAGCAAACTCGTGAGGCCAAATTCATCTCACCCACCTATGAACCAAAATGCAGCTGCCAGGAACAAGAAGGAAGTCAAGATAAGACTAGTCTTCCTCCAGCTGTGTATCTGGTCTTGGAGGAGACCGACAAGGGGGGAGGAAGGCACGTCACCAAATAAGTGAATCGCGACGGTGGAAATGGCCATCGACAATGGTCTTAGACTCGGTTTTACGCAGTGAAGGCAGACGTAGTTCACTGGAGCCTGCATTTAGTATAGCAAGAGAGGTTACATTTCCTGCAATGGTGGCTTTTATCATATGAAGAGCTAGGAGAAATATGAGTGTTCTTTTACCTGAGTTGCAAACACGAGGATTTCACCAATTCCAAAAAAGACAAGGAAACCGTACATGTTCTTGAAGCAGAAAGCGCTGAAGCAAAAGATGGCTCCGGCTAGTACCGCACCTGTAAGAAGCTGTGCCACAAAAATTAAAAGAAAAGAGCTCGTAAGGGAAGGTTGCATATAATTGTGGTGCATTCTTTGCAGAGCTAAGGGAGCTTGAAAATCCACTTGACATATGCTATGTCATTGATATGAAGTTTAGGCCAGAGAAAGAATCCAAGCAAGGATTCAATCGGTTGCTGATACCCTTTGACACAATGCACTGAAGATGTGGCATATAAAGTTTCAATTGACTGCTGAATTAAGCACAACAATGCAGTATAGAGGCAACATCATCACATTAGCATACTTTATATCAAGAGAGAAATATAGTTGGTAAATCTGGAAGAAAGAAAAAACAAAACAAAACATAGAAGAAGAAAAGTAGATTCCAGGATGCACCTTGAAGGCATTACGGATAGTGCTGGTTAGGTAATCTAGAAGATAACCTCCAGCAAGAGTTCCTAGTATCCCACAGATAATTGTAACCCCGCCAAAGATCATATCTGCATTTTCCTGTCAAAAGAAGAATCTAGTTGAGACTTCTATTCTATGCATCACGATTACATCTTTAGCAGAGCTATTACTTACATAGCTAGTACCTCACCATATTATAGATGTTGCGACCAGCTTTCGGACCCCAGTAAGAGTATGCACCAATGACGAAATTGTAGGCTGTGTAGCCTGTGCAAAATATGAAGGCCAGATTCAGTTCAGCATGCTAACATGTATCCAAGAAAGGTTAAAAGGTAAAGTAGAAGGGCGAAACTGGTACCCAGAACGCTGACAATAAAAATCTTCTCACGCAGAAGATCTTTCATATCTTTGAGGAATCTTGACCATTGATTCATCTTATGTGACGCAGGTTCTGAACTGCAATGAACATTGCCTCCATTGTTATACTCATTGCTTGAGGCATGCTATTATGCAGAGGGGAGGGTGAGAGAGAGAGACAGAAATGACAACGATCTAACAACTGCATCACTTAAGCAAAATCTATATGACATGTATCAGCTAAAAATGGAACTGATCTTACATGGAAGAACTCTTTGGGGTTTCCTGACCGAATTGTTCTTTTAAAGTCAAACTGCCAGCCTTGGCAGCCGAAACTTCCAAACCTAGAACCATTAGCCCAGATGAAAAACTGATTCAACAACTTACCAAATTTTTCTATAGAAAATCTCAGTTGTAAAATAGTTGATAAAGCAAAAATATGACACCGATTCTCATAAAATCAGCACCTTGAGCATCTGATACAGTTGTCACTGAAGTCGCTGCTTTCGTTCGGTCAGCATGAGTAAAACCTGCATCATGGTATCCATAAAAACAGATGAACAAGTAGAGTTTGTAACGAACAAAAAGCAAAGAACAGGATCCATGTAACAAAATTTCCACCTTTCAATTGCAAAGGCTTTATAATCCAACCCAAAACAATAAATGGAAACATCAAAATTGCCACTCCAAAGAATGCATAGCGCCATTTCAAGTGATCACCAACCTATTAAAGCAGAAATGAAGACAAGTTACAAAAGGAAGATACAGTAAAATTTGTTGTACATCGCCAAAATCAACATGAGCCTAAAAGGTGATAACCAAGAATAAAAGCGACATACCAGTCCTCCATATACGTAGCCAATAGCATATCCAGTTGATATACACATATAGAATATTCCCAGCCATGCAGTTCTCTAGATTGCAGAATGAATGAAATGTGTGTCACTACCTTAATCAAAGAAGTCAGTGCACAAAAGAGAAAATTGTGTGTTTCCAGCATCACTATCATAAAGGACAGAAGCAAAACCTGTTTGGCTGGGGCATTATCATCAATGAAAGGGGCCGCTAGACTTACAAAAGAAGCTTCCCCAATCCCAACTACCCTAGAAAGGACATTCACAAACCAGAACTAGTCAAGAGATGATAAATCATCATTAACATAATAGATAGAAAGCTAATTTGCTCATCCTTTAAGCAAGTTCAAAAAGATATTAACAACCTACATGCGGCAGATTGCAATGAACCAGAAACTGAAAGACAACCCACAACCAATGACTGCAAGCATCCAGACTGATAATCCAAATCCTATGAGCCTGAAGGGGTTATAGCTGTAGAAAACCACAAGTATAAGATCAGCATCATCCTGGTCACAGAAAATCTGTCAAATTAGTCTCTGACGATTTCATCAGTTACCTCTTTGACAGAGAGGCAAATATCGGACAACCAATAAGAAGGCCGACCACGAAAGCAGAAGATAGTGCTCCATCTTCAAAATTGCTCAAGTTGAACTCCCCTCTGCAAACATCGCACAACGAAGCAAGATCAAGACTCTTTAAAATTGAAGATGCAATTTGACAAATGTACAGATTTTTTAAATGATACCATGCGGTTCAACAAGCAACATCAAAAGTATACACATTTCATGTTTCTTGAACAATAATGTAACCACAATTTGCAACCGAGACAGTGAAGTTCGCATGTCAAAGATTACACCCTTAAGATGAAGAGATTACATAGAGCCTTACTGTATTCCAGTGCCAGCAGTGCACGTACCATTCGACGTGCAAGTCTTGGGGCTCCCATTTACCCCATTACTTGCCATCGCTCCTCTCTCCATATAATTTATCAAGTTGACCACACAAAAGATTACCAGCAACCTGGCAAAAAGCGCATGATTAATAAATATAGTTATGCATCATAGTGCCTACTTATAAAGAGCAAAAACTTAGAGATGTTAGTCATCAAGATTTCCAAATCCTCTCATGGGCAATATAAAATCAATTAGCTTTGTTCACATCAATCTCTGTTCCTCTCCTTCATCAACCTCTAGTTAAATGTTGAGATTATCATTTTCTTTTTCGGTTTTCATGGGAAGATTATCATTTTCTTTGTAACAAAATAATTCAGCTCAAGCCAACATCTTCTGCTGAAAAAAGAAAGGGTACTATTCATGGGAAAGTCTCCATATGATCATATTAGAAAACCTCCAGAAACAGGACGAGTGAAAACCAGATTAGACAAGAGAGTAAAGCAACCACCTTTTTGGAGTGAACCACGAAGGCTGAGAAACTGATGATGACGACGAAGAAGAAGGTTTTAAAGGTTGAGAAACTGAACTTCCCGCCACCTCTGCTCTTTCTTCCGCCATTACTGCGAAAACGCCACAAGTAAGATCCCCGGCCCTTCACAACAGCTGCTGACGAACAAGAGACAGAGAAGAGAGCGGAGAACCAAAACTATACGAATTCAATAAACTTTTTTCAGCTTTAATCTCTTCATAATGGGAAAACAGAAAGAGAAAGCAACAAATTGGAATCCGAAACTTTGTTTTCTTCCCTCCTTTCTTACGGACAATCTGAATGATGTAACATGTTGACTTTTTAGGAGGGTTTTTGTTTTTACGCCATTGATGGGTCGGAAAACCGTAATTGGCCGAGAAAGTAAACGCAAAAGGAGACGAATGAAGTCGGAAGAAAGCGAAAGAGAGAGGGGCAAAAGACAGAACTCAGCGGTTAATGTAGTTACCTCCAGTTGCCGGCGGGGAAGAAAACAGCAGTTTCCGGCGACAGGTGAACGAGGATATTGGATGGGGATGGCAATGGTGGTCTTTTCAGGCAACAGGGAGCTTATTAGGATTTTTTTTGGCAGAGAGATCTTTGAGAAGAAGAGTGAAAATGTAGCTGTAGGCCGAAAAACAGAATCTGAGTACAGGTAGAGTTTGGTTGGAAAACGGGAATTAATAATTAAAGGTAATCATTTCAAAAGAATATCCATATCTTAAATTCTCTGTTCTATAGGAGGGCTATAGATTATGATTTACGATAAAGTTAAAATCATTTGATCCCCAATCTTGTTTTCGTTTTAATTTTGTTTTTCAATTCTCCATTTTTAAGGTGGAAAGTCGTACTTTCTCAAAAGTCCTAATATTATTTTGTTCTTTAGATGTGTATAGGCTATAGTACTTATAATTTCTACTAACTTTTGTCGTTTCATAATTAGATCATTTCAGATCAATCAACAATCATTTATTAGGTCAAATGGGTTTTTAGTTTTTATGACTAATATGATATCATTTCTACTTTCATTTTCATAGTTGAGGTGGTCAAATAAAATTGTTTGATTTGAGGATGTTGATTCACAAAATTTTACAATTTGTTGATAATATTCGTCGATTGGTGTGGTTTTGGTAAAAGTTTAACCTGAATCATAAAATGGATTGAATGATCAAAATGAAATATGATGATAGAGTCCAATAACACTACACGATGCATTCTAAAAATGACACTTATAGGTTATCAAGAAGATTGAACATATACACAATCTCTTTGTTTTTCTTATTAGCCGGCGGTTAACTAGATCATTCCAACTTCTTATTTATTTTTTACCATTACATTCTCGGGTAAAAAAAATAATTAGTTTAAATTTTTAGAACAAATACGACTCATCAATGTGTATGTGTAGTATGTCATATGAAAGTCTTTGTTAATTGAAAATATATTGTTGAATTAATTCAGGAAATAGACTCGCAACCACATTTTGAAGACTTCCATCATATTGAATAATTGATAAAGTCAAAAGTTGCCTTTGCATTTTCAGACATTTCCTTTCCCACTGAACATCATAACAATAAAAGATTACTGAATTGGATAAAAACAAAATCCAAAAATAGTATAAAATATATTTCGATATTATTTTATTCGAACAAAATACGGTCATTCTTGGTTAGAATGCGAAGTTGATTGAATTTAAAAACAAACAACCTTTGAATTCGAGAATAGAAATCAAAGTTGAATAATTCATCATTTCGATTTCGATCATATAGTGAAGTACGATTCACTCCAATTACAATAAACATTGATTCAGGTCGATTAAGTCAGTTGTATATCATATCATATCTTTGCCCAACCCTCTGGAACTGAGTTGGGCTACCACAAAACATGAGTTTTTAAGTTTTGACAAACTGTTAAACGCATTTACAGTAAAATGATTTCTAGACTCGCTATACCTTTACTTGGTGAGCTTTGGCGAGAGGTAAAACTTGGGATCCCTGAAGAACCTTACGATGGTCTCAGCCTTGTCAGGGGAAATGCCAGTCTTCTCCAAGATGCTTTCCTTGGTCGCCTTAGCAACGGCTTCAATCGAACCTATACCTTGATTCAGCTGCCAAAACCATCGCCCAAAATTTTTCAAATACATCAGCACCATAGTGTGCAACTTTTCAAGCAACCTCAAGAAAGTTCCCTACAGTACTTTAGGCATACTGCCATTGCAGAAATCTGCCAGGGATTCTTATGAAAAGTTGCAGAGATATATATATGTCATTAGAAACAAAAAAAAAAATGTATACGGCTAATGCAACTAGTAAGATGGATGATTGCATTACCATATTCGCGTCGTGGCTGTCGATGCCTGGTATTGAAGTGATCGCTTTAATGAAATTCTCCAACGTTTGCACCGATCCCAGCCTCTTCTCATATGCAACAAAAAAGCACAAGAATACAAGGTTGGAAGAAGCACCAAAAGGTGGAGGTAACAATTGATCATGAACCATGATTTTAACACACAAACCTCAGCTTTCATTGTTGAGGTAACATCCTGCTGCTTGCATGCTGCAAAACTCAGAGATCAAATCAAACAAGACACTACTCATACTATTAAAGTCAACCACATTACTTGTCAAGGACGCATATAATAAGAAACTTAAGCATCAAGCATACATAATTACAGATATCATTGCTCACCCCCACGTGAATGTGCTATCTTGACCATCTTCTCAAACCCCATCTCCAAGTCCTGAACTGGCACAAATGGTGGCCGGCCAATCTCCATCCCACATCTGATTCCCACAGCATCATAGCAAAACAACTTTGTAACCACCAGAGACGGCACAAAAACCAGTAGCAGGATTCTCAGCAAGAGGGGTTTGAAAGAGGAATCTCACTTGAAGTAAGAGCGCACAAATGAATCATTCTTCTCCTTCGTGGGTAAGCACACAACAACATACAGGTTTGCGAAACGCGCCTTCAGCTTCTGAACTCTGTGCCAACTCACAACAAACATATAATCAGCACCAATACTATTTGCGACAAATCGATTCTTCACATAGTACTCAGCATTGGATCTACAGCATAATCGACATGTTTTCTCTATGTTTAAGGTGGTATATAAGAGAATGAGTGAAAGTTCTAATGGAGAACTATTGTGAGAATCAACATTCATCCTTGTTCAATACTTTTAAAGTTTCAACTCCTAACCTAAAATTACGAGTGCATTTAAATCAAGGAAGTTCTTCTACCTGTTGAAGACTAGATCGGTGTTGCTGCAATCCCAGTTAGTAACGAAGATGAACGCCACTGAAAGACCTCCACAGTTGAAAATGAGATCCTAAACCACAGAGAGATTCAGCAACCATCGGAAGCCAAACGGGAAAAGGAAACGAGGTCGAATTACAGTAGAGCAAACAAGTAAGAACTAGGGTAAGGGAACAGTACTGGAGCAATCGGAACGAAGTTGAGACGGAAGGAACTCGCGTTAAGAAACGACGACACGAAATCGATGTACGACGGAGTTTGTTCGTCTCTCCATTTGCTGCTCATCATACACACGCCTGCGGTTCGTCCGCCTCCGCCTCCACCTGCCAAGCGAAGTTCAATCACATCAAATCGAACTCTCGATCAAACACAGACGAAGTAACCCAGCGCCAAGAGAGGCGTAATTTCTGAAACATAGCTACGCGTTCGATCGCAATCGATCTTTCTCACTCGTTCACGATTTTCTCAGCGACCAAACGGAAAATGCTCATCCGAACATCGAGAAGAAAGCAAGGGTGAATTGGATGGGGAAGGAACCTGAATTCTTCGAGTTTGAACTTAGAGACGCCATTTCCAGAATGCTCTCTCTCGAGCGAGGAAGACGACGATCTCCTGCGGCAGTGAAACGATACAAAGAGAACCGATCTCTGTCTTCACAGTTCACTGAGAAATGCTCTTTGTTGGCGGGAAGAAGGGGAATGTCGGTGGAAGTAATGGGCCGAGCCCAAATCAGAATCTGTCTTGTAAGGAGAAAGGGGAGATTCCGCTTAAAGAAATGGGCTTTTAAAAGCCCAGCTAGCAAGCACGGAATCAGATAAGCCCATATTACAAAATCCAGCAAACCCGAGGTTTCGTTTCTTCTCTTCTCTATTCCACTTCCCGCCGGCGGTTCAAGGACAGACGAGCAGAGCGGCGTCGGGCTTTTCTTTCCGTCCCGGCGGTTAGTGAAGTTTAACTACTCGTTGGGAGATTTTTGTGGTCATTTGATGATTGGTTTTTAGTTCTATGATTGCATGTTGGTCTATATGTGCGCTCGAGTGGAAAAAGTCGATCCTTTATTGGAGGTCATAAGATGTTTGAAGAACTCAGAACTTCCATCTGCTGCACATTTGGTTTTTATGTTTATATGGGTTTTGTTCAAGGTTCCAAGAAAATAATGCATGTTTGAAGTCTCTTTTAACAAGAACAAGACCGATTATGGATGACAAACAAATACCCAGTTTTAGGTCCCTGACCTCCATCATCTTCAGTTGCTCACTGGTTTTTTCTTCTAGAAATGCTAAATCTTTTGGGTGGGGGATAAAAACTGCAAGTAGCAAAATTTTCCAGCGTATATGATTGTTGCTGTTGGGTCGACCATTAGCTTCTCTAACAAATTTGTCCAGCATTTTGAACCTACTGGACCTTAATGGTAAGTAGACTTGCTGAGGTCCTGAGGATTGGCAATTGCCCTGCATTTTTTAATTTACTGGACCTTAGTTGTAAGTAGACTTGTTGAAACTAATTTGTTAGAGAAGTTCTCGAGTAACGCTGATGAGTTATGATATACTTTGGTGGAAGTTCTCGTACATAGTCCTCTGAAGACCATGGCGTTTGGTTTTCATTTTGGGATGATAATGGTGTCTATTTTGTGGAATTTTATAGCAATTATCACTCATATGATGTGTCTGCGAATTCAGTAAGTGTGCTGATTGAAAATTTTCTTACATGATTTAGTGTCTCTGTACCCCCCTAAGTCTGTCCTTAGAAATGTGATGTATTCACTTAGGTTGCTGAGATTTACTGTTCGTATCTATCAATACCAGGAGATTTCAAATGTCTTCATTCTGAGTGAAGAGCACCCGGTAGGCTTATTCACATCATAACTGTGCAGAGATTGATCCAGGTCTCATATTTTTGCCTTCTTCCTTTATCCTTCTTCCCCTTTACGATACATAAAGTATGAGGGCTTGTAGTCGTAGGCTAGCTGCTTTAGAGTGTAATGAGAAGAAGTTTGAGCAATGAAGAGCGATTGTCTACTTTAGTTTCACTAGACTTCTTCTGCCACCCACCTTGTTTTGTAGATGTTATGATTTCCTTAGGATTGTTTTGTTTTTGTTGTTCCGATGCCTCTTCTCTTCACTATGTGTTTATTTTACCTGGTGTTCGTTTATGAAGGGTAAGGAAATATCAAAATGGCCAATAGTAAATATGAGTACGTGAAGTCATTTGAAGTTGAAGATGAAATTGCACTTCCCAGTATCATTGTTGTTCGACTTCATGCTCGTGACTTTGTAAGGTAATGTTCTACCTTCTTGGGCTTTCATGTAATTAGCATCTACTTGTAAAATTGTGAGTTTAAGTACCAAGAAGGATAATAGGAAAGCATATAGATGAATTTGAGTTTAAGAAGCAAGTAACTCAGACCATAATTTATTTATATTTTGGGTATTATGCATGATTAAGAGAACTTAGAACCTCTCTATCTTTCTGTTTGCACTGACAAACTTATCATTTTCGCATGCTTAATAGGACAAATGCCTTCACATTTTTACCAGCTTTGGTTTACCTTGCGTTAACAAATTGGTTTTGGTGTAAATGGCAGAACCAAAGGGTATTGAACTCTACTTTAAGACTGTTCCCATCTTAATGCTTTCTTGTTCTCGAATTTGTGCAGATTCTGCAAAGCTCACGAGCTAAGAAGGCCTTATGATGAAGAAGCCTTGGAGTTGATGAACTCATGTGCGGAATTTGTGCAGAGAAAATATCCAGATATACTCTTTTCTTATGGATTCAATGATGAATACAGGTCTCATTATGTTGCATTGTTGTCCAACGTTTCTTTGATTTGGGCGTACTGTGTATTGTTTCTGACAACCTTATTCTGTGTGGATCTGGCATGCAGTTTTGTCTTTAAGAAGAAATCCAAGTTCTATGAGAGGCGAGCTAGGTACTGTACACAAGCTATCAAGGGAAATGGAGAATTTTTAACTTAGTTTTTGTACATTTTTGTCTTCTGATGACTTAAGGCTCATGTAACTCCTTTTTATGACTTTTCAGCAAAATTTTATCCTTGGTTACATCATGTTTCACTTCAGTATTCGTTGACAAGTGGAAAGAATTTTTCTCGGAAAGAGAACTGAAATTTCCTCCTTCATTCAGCGGACGAGTTATTGTTTGTGCAACTGTTGATGTTCTTCAACATTATCTTGCATGGAGACAACATGAATGTGAGTGGTTCCATTTACCTATGAGGCTATGACAAATGTGATTTTGTTTTACTCCAGAAGCCAGCTAGTTTTTTTAGTTACTTGGGTGAAAATTTGAGAGTGTACACTATTTCAAACTGCTTTGCAGGTTATATAACAAATCAGCATAGTGCTTGTTTTTGGGCGTTGGTTAATCAAGGGAGAACTGAAAAGGAAGCAGAAGAGATTTTGAAAGTTCATATTTTTATTTTTATTTTTTTATATATACTGTTTCCACTCCATTTTCTTATTGTTTGACTATAACCACAAAAGGTTATGTCGCTAATTCCTACATAAATTTATGATTTTGTAGGATACGAAAAAGCAAGAGCAAAATGAGATGCTTCATCAACAATTCAATATCAATTACAATAATCTTCCGAAAATATTCCGCTGGGGTTCTTGTGTCCTACTCATGGAGGTTTTTCCTGTCATTTGGAAAAACATTAGCCATTTTCATAGATTTTCGCTTGGGCCTCAAGGGCATGTTTATCTTGTTTATAATATGTTCATCGTTTTATGAGCAGGTGGAAGCTATTGTAAAGTACGACAAGGATGGATGTCCTATTACAAGATTGAAAAAGCAAATATCAACAGTCCATTCTCAAGATATAGCTAGAAGAACCTTTTGGAATCAGAAGCCAAGTCTCGTAAAAGAACTGGGTTCTTTTGTGGAAGATATCAAAAGAATCGACAAAGATTATGTTAAGTATTTCCAATCCAAAAACAAGTTGATGCCATATACTTGGGGAGTCATAAGAATCGATGGAAGCCATTTCCACAAGTGAGTAACTTAAAAAGGAAATGATAATGCATCAAAATTATGAACTTCTGATTTATGTCTGTCATACTTGGCCAGTATTGAATAATTTTGCAGTCTGCTGCGTAAAAGTCGTTTCATTTATTGTGTCAGATTTGCTGATGTCCATAATTTCGAGAAGCCAAATGATGAACAAGCTTTGAAGTTAATGAATGAATGTGCAGTTGGTGTTCTGGATGCGTTCCGAGAATTTATATTCTCATATGGTGTTAGTGATGAGTACAGGTATAATGGAACATTCAATAATGTTTCTGGTTGAATGACTTTCAGCTTTATATTAATCTAATTAAAGTTGAATGGCTTTCAGCTTTATATTAAAGAGAAGCAGTCACCTTCAGAGAACCCATGCTAGGTATTTCTTCTCTTCTGTTCATCTTTCACTAACAAATATATTTACTTCAGATTCTTACCGTCAAATTGCATGTATTAAGAATATCTCAAATTGTGAAAAGTTTAGCACTTCAATTTAACCACTTAATCAAAGGAAGGTGGAATTGGATAATCTCTTCAGTTTTAAAAATCTTTTTTCTTGTTTACAAGATCTGTGTTTATTGAAGTCGTCCAAACACACAATAAGTTTGTTTGATGTGTTTTAGCTATACAATTCTTTTTCACATTTCATTTTCTTATATAATTTCTGCAGCGATATTGTGTCTTCTGTAGTATCGTTCTTTACATCCATGTACGTGATGAAATGGAAGGCCTTCTTTCCATTGACAGATCTAGTTTGTCAGCCCTCATTTGATGGAAGGGTTGTCTGCTATCCATCAACAGATATCCTGCGAGATTATTTGTCATGGAGGCAAGTAGATTGTGAGTAATAGCAACCAAAATCTGATATTTCTCTAACTCGCCTGGAACTCTCTAAGTTTTGTGAAGTGTAAATGTCAATGCCAATTTCTTGCAGGCCACATAAACAACCAGTATAATACTTGTTTCTGGATGCTGGTTAAGTCAGGAAAAAGTAGAAGTGAGGCGCAGCAGATATTAAAGGTGCTCGTCTTTACTAATCACTTAGCGTGTTCGTCAGCCATTGAAAAGTGTCAATCTGCATGCCTGAGTACTTGTCTTGTTTTTTTATTCGTGTCTTTTGTGCAGGGTACTCAATCACAGGAGAAAATGGAACTGCTTGCTAATAACTTTGGTATTGACTACAATGCTATAGGGGAAAAGTTACGCCTTGGTTCCTCGGCTTTCTGGGTAATTGCTTTATCTACTTCTACGGTTGTATGTGTGTACACTAATTTCTTAGGTGGCAAGATGATACAGTGGGATCTTGGTGTGTTGCTAGTTTGAATTTGAGTGGAGCTATCTTGTTTGACATGCAGGAAGAAGAGACTGGCTGCAGCAAGATTGTCGTACAACACTGCAACATAATTGATGGTGGTTTTTGGGAAGCACATCCTTACATTCTTGCTTAGCTCTTCCAATGATTCTGGAATTCAGTTCAGTCAAAGGTATGCACATAGATTCATTATCTAAGCATGAAACATATTCCTGCTACGTTGAGAGAAAAATCTTCCAATTCTATTCTTAAAATTATGATAATGGCTGCATTTGAAATGTTTCTTTTTTGTTCCTTTCTTGAGGCTAAACTTAGAAGTTCGCTTATGAACTCACAACGGCGAGCCAATTGCTTCTCAAAGGTGCAATCAAGTGCAATATTTTGATTGCAGGCTGCCAACTAGAGGTCAATGGTGCATGAAGATATTTTATGGAGATCGCTGTCTCAAGTTCTCATGCTTAAGCTAATACGGTAGCCTCTCTTTAGGAGTGAAGGTGCTCAAGTGTATTGGCTGAGAATTATGTCCTAGAACACCATTCTAATGAGGAATTTGTATTCTATAATCCTTTGACACTAATGTTGTGACATTTATGATGCATATTCAAAGATGTACATTGTAGATTCTTCTCACAACATTGATTTTTGCTGTCTGCCTATATCAGAACACAATTCAGGGAACATCTAACAAAATCCACCATTAGCTACGAACTCAATTAGAAAACAACAATTGCGTAGAACCTTTAATACAATCAAACTGAACTCAAACAGAGGTAGTTCAGTTTGAAAGAACAAAAAAAAAGTGGCATACACATAACACGAGAAATGCAGGTAAACTGGCCTCAAAACTCATGCTTGACCACACTTGTTCAGGCAATCAACTCCATCTTCTAGATAATCTTCTCTGCTGATCCAGAACTCAGGTGCATCCTACACAGACAAAGATGCCCGGTGAACCCACATTTGATGGCCGAAACAATAACCCTTGTAAACTGAAGGGTATGCATGAGGATGCTTTATAACCATGGACAAGTGAGAGAGAAAGATACCTTCATAATGCCAGCAAGAACTGCACCTCCTAGGTAGACCATATGCTTTCTTCGTGGTGGATCCTCAATCCTTAATCGCAATTTCTGCAGAAATGTTTTGACTATTCAGTGAACCATTTCATGAAGCAAATATAGAAGAGGAAAAACGTAGCTGCATCGTTTCCCACAAACCCTTTCGATTGTGATTGATCTTACCTTCAACCCATCTTTGTTTCCCTTCAAAACAGCATCAAGATACCGATCCTGTATTTCCTTCTCCAAGCTGGACGAACAGTAAAAGTTAACAAATGGGTAAGAAGCCAAAGACCATAAACCAGTATTAGAGTTTAGTATCTTATCAATAGTTGTGACAGGAGATAAGACCAATTACCGGCTAGGCAAGCCAGGATACATGGTGCTTCCTCCACTCAATACAATATGTTGGTATAGCTGCAAATGCAGAGAAAGATTTGGTCTTTTAATAGTTGGCGCTTCAAGAAGAGTTAGAAAGAAGAGTCATAGTTGAGACCTATGAGCATAAAACGAAATTTAGACGTGCCAAAACAATACAGAGAAAGATTTGGTCTTTTAATAGTTGGCGCTTCAAGAAGAGTTAGAAAGAAGAGTCATAGTTGAGACCTATGAGCATAAAACGAAATTTAGACGTGCCAAAACAATACAGATAACTGTACCGTCATTCTGTTATCGATATCCATTTCCTGAATGCAGTGAAACACCATGTCAGCCATTCCATCACCTTCAACATCAATAAGTTCCTGTTCAAAAGGGAAATCAGTCCTAAGTTTCAGAAACTTCCAAGAAATTGATAGTCGACATGACCTTGAACATCACTGGTTTCAAGGTGTGCAAAATAGTATGACACAAAGCCAATCATAACATCCACTACTACTCCAAAACAACAAGATGAAACTGCAAAATTCAACTTCATAAACATTAACTGTCATACACGTGTTTTGGGCTAACTAAATTCAGGGGGATCTTACATATATAGATTGCAAAAATGAGGGTAAGAGATGCTTACTGGTGTGAAAAGAGCCTCAGGTGCCTGAAACCGTTCTGTTCCTACTTTAATGGTTCTTCCATCTGGCAGCTGATTGATATATAAGAAATCAATATTTCTGATTGATAGGTATCTAAGAACACCAGAATCATACCATTAAGAAACCCAGAGATTTAACACTATCTACCTAAATGTAGAAGCATCATTTCAGATAAATCTTAGTCATATTCTACATAACGGAATGATGTAAAGATCAACCAGTAAGTTGAGCCCCTTGGTTAATTGAACAGATGCTAAGAAATCCTGAAGAAAAGATAACATGTGCATAAGTCGACTAGAAACACAGACAAAAACCGTAGGAAGACATTTGGCTTACAGTATAATGCTTGACAAGAATAGTAGTCTCAAGTCCCAGTTGGTATTCCCTCTTGTAATCATAACTGTTGAAAATTGAAATGCTTGAAAATTAGATTATTCTAAATCAGCCTTCAATTATCAACTAAACCAGAACATGGTTATTTCACCTTATGTAGCAAAGCTTCTCTTTCATTTCACGAACAGTCTCAAAGTCAGCATTCCTGTTCATTGCATACCTACGCCAAACACAGAGGTGCAAAGTAGTTGATGCAAATTTAGTGTGGTTGGAAAGAAAATTGTAACCGTACAAATGAACTAACTTGTGAGAGAAATGTAGGTCTTTACCCTCTCCGTGAAAGAAGGTCAATCAGATACGATGTTATGTGCCGACCAGCGACATTCATCCGCTTCGTAAGATGAGGAAATGAGTAACCATCAACAACAGGAACCTAAGAAAAAGTAATTATGTTAGCAACTTGAACCATAATAGTAAAGATAAATCTTGCCCTTCAAAAACAGAACAGGCCCTTCAAAAGTTTTACCACATGAGTGACACCATCACCAGAGTCGATGACAAGTCCAGTCAGCAAACCTGCAAGATTGCGTTGAGTTGAGAAAGAACCAGAAACACGATGGCATGACCATTCAACAAAGTGATATTTCCATTTATAAAGCAAGCCTAAAGTTCTGAATTGCCAACCACTTGCATGCAAAAATAAGATTTAAACCTTCTTCTACCAAGTCAAGCACCTTGGGCGTACAATGTCAACACTGCTTGGATTTGAATGAAGACCCCAGCAAAGTTATATTTCTCGAACATAGTCTCAATCTGTATTTTGAAGACAAGGTCAGCGAAGTGACTGTCATTAACCCAAAAAACACCGAAAAACAAACTGAAAAGGCATCTGGGTATACAAAAGTCAAGGGCAAACCATCAGTTCACGATTCTTTTTTGGATTAAGAGGTGGATCAGTGAGCAGAATCTTGCACTCAGATGGGTCTATCTGTTCAAAGCAAGTAGCACGGCAACCTTACTTGGTAGATCTTAATAACCAAGACTCAACCAAAAAGATTAAAATTGCATCTCCTCTCATCAAACAGAAACAACACAATATTTACCTTAAGTTCATTGTAGAATGCATGATCCCACACATGACCCATGTCATCCCAATTCTGGATGATTCCATTGTTGACAGGATAAGATATGTCCAGTTGATGCCTCAATTCCGCACAAGATTCTCCAACAACAATATCCTAGAGCAATCAGGAAGAAGGAAAAATCCGAGAATAAAAAAAATGATGGAGTAAGGGGGTCTCAGTTTGTAGTTATTAGCAGAGCATAACTGAAACTCCTCAACGCTACATGGTGACAGATCGTTACAACAACAAGGCAAGAAAACGGAATGGAAAAAGTTATAACCTTCAATTGTTGTTCCATGAGAGATTCTTCATATCGAAGCATGGGCCTCCCCACCACACATGGGAACACAGAAGTGGGGAAATTCTCTCCAGCAAATCCACACTTGACATACTGGAAACGAAACATGCGATTAAAAGCATAGTACAAGAACCAAATCGAAACAAAATGGTCAAAATGCATTCTTCATTCAGTTCTCCATCAAGCCTCTTCCCAATTGAACATCCGTCAGTCTCAAAACAACCAAACCAAGACGAAAAACCAAGCAGGTTCAATCACATTAACAATGTCCCACCACAAACTAGCAGAATTGATCATCCTAGAGCACCATAGAAAGAGCATATTCACATTCCATCAACGCAAGGAGTAATACACAGAGAGAAGAAAAAAATTGGACAATGGAAACAAAGATGGAAGCTTTACCCCAGTTCCATTGTCGCAGACGACGACCTTCCTGCTGTCCATCTGCTTGTTGATGAACAGCGATTGAGGTACAGAATTTGTTCGATTAAAATCCCACAACGGCTAAATCTTCTAAACCCACCAAAAAAGGGGGTCGCGTTTGTTGTCTGAGCTATCTCCACAGGCCGCTAATGATAATGATTCAAGATCGTACCAATGCTTCTCCATAACAGAGTATTGAGCCAAAGCAGCAGCAGTTAAGGATTTGCTGATGAAGAGATGAACACGAAGCTGCTGCTGCTAAGGAAGAACTACAGCTGAAGATTTCCAGTCCCGAAGAAACGACGGCGTTGTGGTCTAATAGGCGAAGATGCGTTTGGTCCAGAACGGAGTCGTTTCCTTGAAAGAAGATGAAGACAGGCCGAAACGATGCCGTCTCTCTTAGTTCGTTAATAGCTGTAGTTAAGGACTGTATATAGGACACTTGGCTTTCTGTCATTAGTCCATTTTGATTAGTTAGTTTATTATTACTGTTGATTAGCCGTTAGAGATAGCAGAGCAGTGTACAGGGTTTGTATATAAATGAGAAATGCAGAAAAGAAGCTCTCAAGTTTTTGAGATCCTTCACCAAAACCCTAGCCGTTTTGTATTTCTTCTCATGGTATCAGAGCCTGGTTTGGCTATCTGAACCAGATCTCAAGCTTCTTTCTCACTGATTTCACCCCCTACGATTCACAATGTCGATTCCTGAGAACCAGACTGATGGGTTTGTCGCAGACGAAGTGGATGAAGAAATTGCATCAGCAAATGATGCGACGCTGCCACGAACTCCACCAGCTGGGCATCATCGACAAGAGATGAATCAATTTATTCCTCCAGTGGTTCCTCGATATGAAGATCCCTATCTCAACCCATATTACCTTCCTCCTCACGATGGGGGTTTGACAACCATTATCTCGATGAAGCTCACAGACCAGAACTACAATCTGTGGAGTCAGGTAATGGAGCTTGCTCTTAGCACTAAAAATAAGCTGCAATTTGTGAATGGAATGATACCTGTACCCCAAGTGGGAGATCCGATTTGGCAGTCCTGGCATCGTTGTGATAGCACTGTTCGTTGTTGGATCTACAATTCACTCTCAGATGATATAGCGAATAGTGTTGTCCCCTATAAAGTGGCTAAGGATGTGTGGGATAACTTGAAAGATAGGTTTAGCCAAGCAGATTTTATCAGGGTTTATGAACTGAATGAGCAGATTGGCAAACTTGTTCAAGGAGATCTCACTGTCACGCAGTACTACACTGCTTTGACCACAAAGTGGCAGGAGTACAAGATGTACAGACCTGTCACTTGTTGTCCTTGCCCAAACAGCCCTTTCTTCACTATACAACGATACCAGGAGCATGACCTTATCATCAAATTTATGCAAGGACTTAATGATGTGTACCAATCAGCAAGAACACAGGTGCTGATGAATACTCAACTGCCACCAATTGAAGCTGTTTTTAAGCAAATGGTGCAGTTGGAAAGACAGATGAAAGGCTTAACTTCAAGCAAGGGCAGGGTGGAGTCCCTTGCCTTAATGGCAGGACAGCAGAATAGACAGCAAAGAGGTGGACAAGCTGGTCAGGGAGGAAAGAATCCAAGGGATTACACTAAGGAAGGCAAGAAGTGGTGCCGTTTTTGCAAGAAGGAGTATCACACCATCAATGAATGTTATAAGCTGAAGAACAAACAGAACAAGGAGAGTGAGGGTGTTTTTGCTGGTTCTGTGGAAACCTCACTTACTGATGCAGGAAGTTCACATTCTTCTGCACATGGTGGAGGCAAGTCTGAGGGAGATCTAATGAGCTTGTTGACTGCTGATCAGTTGGAGCAACTTAAGAACATGCTCACCAGATCACCATCACCCTCACCATCACCTCCAAGCTCTCCTGGAATCCAACACTCAGCAGCAGTGGCTGTGAGACACACTCAACACTCAGTTTCTAATTCTGGAAAGAAACCAATGCCTTCAACTTCATCTCAGCCAATGTTTAATGCTGCCAATTCTTCAGGTAAACACATTCTTTCCACCATGCTTGATTCACCACGCAGTACTGTTTGGGTATTGGATACTGGAGCCACAGACCATATCATTTGTGATATGAAGTACTTTAAGAAGTTTAAGCCTTTGAACCAAGTGTTTGTGACATTGCCAAATGGTCAGCAGGTGCAAGCCACACATATAGGGATAGTGACTTTGCCTTGTGGATTATTCATTACTCAAGTTCTCTTTGTTCCTTCTTTTGCTTACAATCTAGTTTCTGTAAGCAAATTAACTCAGAACCATCCAGTCTCATTGACTTTCAAATCCAACTTCTGTATGATTCAGGACCTTATTACACGGAGGACGATTGGTTTAGCCCGAGTGGATAGAGGTCTTTATCTATTTGCAGAGTCTAAAAGTCAGGAGTTTGCAGTTCCTAAGGATTTCCAGAAGTTTGCAGCAGGAGTTTTCAATTTCCAGAGTCAGGATTTTAACATCTGGCATGCCAGATTAGGACATCCTTCATTGTCTAGATTGAGAATTGTGAAACAGCATTGTAATGAAGTTTCTCTTCCTACAACTCACCATTGTGAGGTTTGCCATTTGTCTAAGCAAAAGAGGTTGCCCTTTCCTGTTAGCACCTCAAACAGTTCCCATGTTTTTGACTTGATACATGTAGACATCTGGGGTCCTTTGAATGTTGTTTCTAGAGATGGTTTTTCTTATTTCTTGACAGTAGTAGATGATCACAGTCGTGCTGTTTGGGTTTTCCTTCTTAAATCAAAGGCTGAGGCCAGACCAACCTTGCAATCTTTCTGTCTTATGGTGAAAAACCAGTTCTCCACCTCTGTCAAAGTAATAAGGTCAGACCAGGGTCAAGAGTTTCACATGGTGGATTTCTATTCTACACATGGAATCACTCATGAGATGAGCTGTGTTTATACAGCTCAGCAAAATGGTAGAGTTGAGCGCAAACACCAACATCTACTTAATGTAGCCAGATCTCTAAAACACCAGTCAGGTTTACCATTGCGTTTTTGGGGGGATTTTGTGCTTCATGCTGCCTACCTCATTAATAGAACACCAACTCCCATTCTGAACCACAAAACACCTTTTGAAATTTTGCACAATGTCCCACCTGATTACATGAACCTTAGAGTATTTGGCTGTTTGGCTTATGCCACAGTTGTTGAGGGCCACAAACACAAGTTTGACCCCAGGTCTAGACAATGTGTCTTTTTAGGATTACCAACAGGTATTAAGGGTTATAAATTGTTGGAGCTTGATACCAACAAGGTCTTTGTCAGTCGTGATGTCTTGTTTCATGAACAAATTTTGCCATTTAGAAGTTCTACTTCTAATACTGAATCTGCAGAAGGACTTGATGCCTCATTTCCTTCTGTTCCTTTGTCTTCTTCCAGTCCAGGAGTTTCTCCTTGTTCAGACTCTCCTATTCCTTTTGAGCCTGAGTTGACAGACCATTCTCTTCCTTCTGTCACAACAACCATACCACAATCACCTTCACTTCACTCTCCTGCTGCAACTACCCCATCTACAAGCAGTTCATCTGCTACTTCTCATGTCCCAGCTGTTCCACTAGCTGAGACAACTCCTGCTTCCCATTCCACCTCTCCATCCTCACCTGTAGTACCCCTAAGGCGATCCACAAGGCAAGTGATCTTTCCTAAGAAATACAATGACTTTTATGTGGGTTTGCATCAAGTCAGTGCTGATCCCAGTCCCACAGTACCTGCTGATTTGTCTCACCTTACACCTCAACAACAGCATTTTGCTATGATGCTAGCAGCAGCTATTGAACCTACTTGTTATGCCCAAGCTGCTCTAGATCCTAGATGGAATGCTGCTATGTTAGAGGAATTGAAAGCTTTGTTTGATAACAATACCTGGGACATCACTGACTTGCCAGGGGGAGTAAAGGCAGTTGGCAATAAGTGGGTTTTTCGAATCAAATACCACCCAGATGGCACCATAGAAAGGTTTAAAGCACGATTGGTTGCCAAGGGTTACACACAAGTGTATGGTATTGATTACTGTGACACTTTTTCCCCTGTTGCCAAATTGACCTCAGTTAAAATGCTGCTTGCAATTGCTTCAGTTCAGAACTGGCACCTTCACCAAATGGATGTAAACAATGCATTCTTAAATGGTGATTTAGATGAGGATGTGTATATGGAATTGCCAGAAGGTTTGAGAGACAAACCTGAGTTCAAGGGGAAGGTTTGTAAGTTGAAAAAGTCACTTTATGGCTTAAAGCAAGCCAGCAGGATGTGGTATGCCAAGTTGACAGAGTCACTGTTGGCTCATGGATTCAGACAGTCTATGTCAGATTATTCAATATTCCTCACTGATGTCAAAGGAAAATTGGTTGTTTTGATTGTTTATGTTGATGATATAGTTGTTGGGAGTGCTGATCTGGATGCTGTTGTTGCTGTTAAAAACATGCTAAAATCTCTATTCAAGATGAAGGACCTAGGAGAACTACAATACTTCCTTGGGTTGGAAGTTAACAGATCAGCAAATGGGATTTATGTTTCCCAAAGGAAATACTGTACAGAATTGCTGAAAGAGGCAGGATTTGATGAGTGCAAACCTGCCAAGACTCCATCCAGCATCAAGCAAGTTCTTTCAGCTGCAGATGGAGACCCCTACCTGGATATCAGCAAGTTTAAACACTTGCTGGGACAGCTGCAATACTTAACTAGCACTAGACCTGACATTAGCTTTGCAGTGCAGCAACTTTGTCAGTTCCAAGACTCTCCCACAGTGGTGCACTACAAAGCTTTGCAGAGGGTGTTTAGATACCTTAGAAATTCACCAGGACAGGGACTGTTTTACTCTAAAGATTCAGCAATTCAGTTGACTGGTTACAGTGATTCTGACTGGGCTACTTGCCCAGATTCTCGAAGATCTTTGACAGGCTATTGTGTCTTCCTAGGCACTAGTCTGATAAGCTGGAAAACAAAGAAGCAAAGTACAGTTTCCAGATCCTCCTCCGAGGCTGAATACAGAGCCTTAGCGCAATTGAGTTGTGAAGTTCAGTGGTTAGTTAGACTTCTAGCTGATTTTGGAGTTGTCCATTCACAACCAGCGAAGATCTATTGTGACAATCAGTCAGCCATTCACATTGCCCGCAATCCGGTTTTTCATGAGAGAACGAAACACATAGAAGTGGACTGCCACGTTATCAGGGAAAGATTGTTGAATGGTTTGGTTGATCTGCATCATGTTTCCACCACGTATCAGTTGGCAGATATTTTTACTAAGAGTCTGGGCATTGATCGTTTCAACATGCTCATGACCAAGCTGGGAGTGTCAGGTCGACCCTCGCCAGCTTGAGGGGGGGTAACAGAGTATTGAGCCAAAGCAGCAGCAGTTAAGGATTTGCTGATGAAGAGATGAACACGAAGCTGCTGCTGCTAAGGAAGAACTACAGCTGAAGATTTCCAGTCCCGAAGAAACGACGGCGTTGTGGTCTAATAGGCGAAGATGCGTTTGGTCCAGAACGGAGTCGTTTCCTTGAAAGAAGATGAAGACAGGCCGAAACGATGCCGTCTCTCTTAGTTCGTTAATAGCTGTAGTTAAGGACTGTATATAGGACACTTGGCTTTCTGTCATTAGTCCATTTTGATTAGTTAGTTTATTATTACTGTTGATTAGCCGTTAGAGATAGCAGAGCAGTGTACAGGGTTTGTATATAAATGAGAAATGCAGAAAAGAAGCTCTCAAGTTTTTGAGATCCTTCACCAAAACCCTAGCCGTTTTGTATTTCTTCTCACTCCATTCGACACGGGAAGACGCCATTTTTCAGTATATACAAAAAAACAGCCTATAATCACCTCCGAGCTTCAGTTTGGCAGGCTCCCTTTCCGCACCACAATGAACACCCAGTCTGTAAATTCGCAGCTGATCGAAGACTGGCTTCAGAAATGCGATCAATGGTGAATTGAAACTCAGTTGGTGGGTTGCTAAAAGGGCCAGGGTTCAACAGGCGAGGAAGTGAAGTATCAATCAAATCTTGCCTTTCTCTTCACATAATCGCCGATCGCGGAGGTTGGAGAAATGAACAGCCTCTATTATTACGCAATTTTTATATTTTTGTTTCTTTTCTCGTTAAGCAGTGTCGCGGGCCCGGCTCCCGCCAAAGATCTGATTGGGCTTAGTCCATTAGCCCATCTAACAATATCTCTCTGTTCGGTCTTTACTCCTCCTTTGCTGCTCGCTTTCTAGTTTCTTCACCCTCTTCCTCGGCAGACAAATCCCCAGAGCAAATGGAGTCGTCGCCGTCGAATTCAACAGTCGGCATAGCCGCCGTTCCTTCGAAACGGCCATCCCGGCGGCTCTTGTTCGACCGACGCTATGGCTGGGTGTAAGATATACTCTCTCCCTTTCTATCTTTCCCCCCTATCTATTACTGTTTAGATTCAATGTTTAATTTGCCGCGAGATTGTTCTGATTTGGGCGTTTGCTTTCTAGGGTGGATGAATGGAAGCACCCATCGGAGGAAGCTTTGGCTGGCGGCCGTGGAATGTAAGTTCTTATCACAAAAATCCCAGCTTTTTATCTTTCCCGCTTACCTCTTTGTTTGGTTGCTGAGAAAGTGAAAGAATCATTTCCCCAGTAATTGGGTTTGAGTGAGGATTAAGGAGTATGTGAAAGGGGAAGATGGAGATAAATTCGACATGTAGAAGGAGAATAGAATGAACTGTGTGTGTGTTTAGAGTTTACTGTATCGCTAATTTCCATTTGGCATTCTTCAATTCTGAAGGTTCTGCATACTGCCTCTGGCAAAATCATTATGGATGATGGCTTCAAAGTCGGTAAGTTTCGAAGTTCTCCCTCTTCGTTCTTTTCGATTCATTAGCTTCTCGATGATACCACTTCCATGCTGGATTTAGGAATCTATTCGGTGGTGAATGAATCTGTGATCTTTTACCTTCAAGAGATGAAAGTCCTGTTCTTTTTATCTAAAGTGGTTAACTGTTTGTTAATGGAAATGGGATCACTTTCGTTCTATGCCTAAATTGGGTAGGCTTGTTCATGATTTACTACAGCTATATGGTCATATTCATGCGATTGAAACAGTGCAAATTTCTCATTGGAATTGAAAGGATGGTAGAAACATTAGCTTCTTCTTCTTGTTGTTGCTCATTGTGCTTTTTCTTGGTTTCGCCATCTGCAGATAGATTTCGCATCGAATTATGCAGTTGAAGTCATTCAAAAGCCTGAGCTTTTATCACCTCATACACTGCAGGCGAATCTGGGAACTCAGCTCAACAGTTTCAAGTCTTCCCTACTCAACCCTGATTTCAACCCACTTGTACGAAACTCTCCACCCTCCGACTCTCCTCGTGCATTCTCGACTTCACATGTAAAACTTGACAACACGGAACCACAGACTGATTGATGATGGCACCATCATGAAGCAACATTGATCTTTTTGTATAATTGCATGTGGTCCTTGGATTTGGATTATGATTTCTATATATGTTCACTTCATTGGTGAAGTTCAGCAAGGAGAAAAGAGAAAGGAAATGTAGGAAATCTGAACAATGATCTCCATTGCTTTTCACTGCTCTATGAGGGGCTCTGTATAGCTCGGATATCATGTGTTTAACAGAACAAATATATATGAGAAACTGGGATTCGAATGGAAGATTTCTGGGTCACATAAGACTACGATACCATGATGACAAAATCCCACTAAAAGATGCAAAATTAGAGTAAAATAGTAAAGTCCAACTTGAATTTCCATTTTTAAGCTCCAAACATGAATAAGAAGAGTAAAATATTAGGAAGAGGACTCATATCAACGTTTTTCATGATCAACAAGGCAAACTGATTTGCCATTTTGCACGATGAGCGAACACGTAGGAGTCATCATTGTCCTCATTAATTTAGGTGCAAAACTAAAGTAAACTTGTAAAAGCGAAGTTGAAATTTCTTTCTAAGATTCTAAGCAAAGAACAGTAAATTACTAAGAAGAGAGAACTCAGATCAACGTTTAGTGATCAACAAGGCAAACCAGTTTGCCATTTTGCACGACGAGCGAACACGTAGTAGTCATCACTGTCCTCTTTGATTCATACTTTTTACAGAATTTCACTCTAAAAGATGCAAAACTAAAGTAAATCACTAAAAACAAAGTTGAATTTTCTACTCCCAAGGTCAAAACTAAACAAGAAGAACAAACTATTAGGAAGAGGACTCAGATTAATGTTTCATCATCAACAAGGCACACTAATTTCTAATTTGCCAGTATGCACGACAAGTGAACATGTAAGAGTCATCATCGTCCTCTTAAATTCGTCCTCTTCACATAATTCCACTAAAAGATATAAAATTAAAACAAGATATCACAATGAGACTAGTAATAAACTTCTCAACAAGTATACAAACACACCTAGCTAGGTTGGGATCTCAATGTCAATATTTTTCGTCGAAAAGCAAACATCTTCCTAATAAAAGACCACATACTATAGCATATTGATATATCATTCTCGTGAATCACTTATGTACCGAAAACATCGACATACACAAACTAATGCTAACAATATAGAAGGATTGAAATGAAACCATTGTATTAACTTACAACTATCACTTGGGGAACCCTTATTAAGGGCGTGCACTTCATGAAAGTGAAAGGAAGAAATGAAAAAATATATTTGGTCCATGTCCTAATGGATGGATGAGTAGCCTTATATATGTCCTTGGCCATTTACCATTCATTCACTCTTTCATTTTATTATTAAAAAAATTCTATGCCGACGTTGAAATTTCCTAGCTTGCTTCCCACTCATACAAAGTTTTCAAATTGGGGTCTAAAAGATTCCATTTTGTTGAAGTCTTCACTACTTGCTCACCACGCATGCATATTATCAACTTGGTCTCTGTACTCTTTTGACTCTCCTGGTGGGCTTGCTGGACAGCCCAGAATGAGGAATGATATGAGATTTGCCCAATGGACCATAGCCCATATATCGTAATCGTAACCCTTTTGTTCAATAGCCTGTTCCTTTGAAAGGGTTCATGGGCTGAGCTGACTGATAAACTTTATCTCTTCGACGTCGAGCATTTTTGTCAGAATGAACTCATCGGTAGGGGTGGGCATTGGGTGGGTCGGGTGGATTTTGACCATAAAATGCACCCACCCGCACTTAAACGGATTGATAATTTTTAACCCACCACCCACCCACATTTAGTCTCGGGTTGGGTCGGGCGGATGGTGGATGATGCGGGTGGGTTTGTGGGTTCACCCACATCACAATGTCTATAATATAAAGGAGTCAACTTGACATGATAATAGGTGAAGAGAATCATCGAGGGAAACAAGAAGTTGAAATAGGGCGAAAATGTCGAATTAGTTCTTAACTTGGATAGAATTCTATTATGAAAGAGTTTTCTACAGATTGAGACGATTATTAGGTGCAAGGAACTAATGAAAATAATTCCACAAAGGAAAGAGCGATGATCTAAGCACAAGAATTAGAGGAAAAAGTAAAGGGAAGAAGAGGGGATCTCTATTTGGAAGGTTGGCTTTGAGGTTCAAACTCCAGGAGCAGTCCGAGTTTATATCTAACGTCTCCACTCTCCTCTCTCTAGCGCCAACGACTTTGATCTTTTTGCTGTTGGGTTGAGCGGGTCACCCGCACACTCACCCACAACCCACCCACCACCCGGCGGATGGCTCCCAGCGCAACCCGTCACCCACCCACAGACCCACCCACTTAACCAAATTCGGGTCAAATGCGGGTGGGTCGGCCCAAACCCGCGGATGATCCGCCCGCATGCCCAGCCCTACTCATCGGTATCCATGAAACTCGGTGGAGGTTGACTTTGAAGTTTCAAATTTTTTTGGGGTTTTTCACGGATTTAGCAAAATCCAAATTAACTCGACTTATTGTTATCCCTAAAACGAACATGTTGGATGCCTAGCCAACAATATTGTCACGCGACGGGCTCGGTTAATCGACAATAACAAGAGAGACAAAGATGAACAAGAAAGTAAAGAACACAGGGATTTACATGGTTCACTAACACAACGTGCGTTAGTTAGTCCACGCGCGGGAGAGAGCCAACTTCATTATACTTCAGAAAATTAAAGATTATCGAAGAGTATGAGAAGTATTTACACTACTTCTCCAATGATCTAATCATGATCCAATATGATAATGAATAAGATTACAAGACCCGATCAAGACCAAAATGGAGTTGACTTATTCAAAACGAACCTCCCAATCCTCACCTTCCCCTCAAGGCTTATTCGAAAAGTTGACATTTAATCAAGCACTACTCTTGAGACAGAAACCACCATCAACCAAAAGGTTCAACCCACTAAGGTACCTAGACTCATCACTGACCAAGTTCAGCGCGACCTCCGCGACATTCTTTGGTTTCAGAACAACTCCTTTCAGATTCCCCATCGCCGTGAACATCTCCTCCAGAGCCTTCTCGTCCAGCCCCATCGACTCCTCACACATCGGAGTCGCGACCCCGAACGGCGAGATGCAGTTCACACGAATCCCGAACTCCCCCAGCTCCACGCACAGGCTCTTCGCCAGCCCCACCACCGCGTGCTTCGACGCCGTGTACGTGTGCGTCGCGAAGCCGTAGCTCTCGGTTGCAACGCTACCAGTCAAGAGGATGGTCCCGCTCTTCCGCGGGACCATCACCCTGGCAGCGTGCTTCGCTGCCAGGAACGATCCATACACGTTGACATCGAACACCTTCCTGAACACTTCCCGCTCCACGGAAAGTATGCCTACTTTCTTCTTCTCGAGCGGGTTGACCTTCTCCCCTGCTATCCCGGCGTTGTTGTACATGATGTCGAGCTTCCCGTGCATCGAAACGGCGGTGTCCACTGCGTTTTGCATGTCCGAGTCGCTCACGACGTCGCATTGGACGTACGAGACCGGGTGGCCCGACTCGAGTTGGATCTGCTCGGATACGGAGCGGCCCAGGTCGGACCGGATGTCTGCTATCACGACTTTGGCGCCGTGCATAGAGAAGAGCCGCGCCGCCGCGGCACCGATCCCTCTGGCTCCGCCGGTAATGAGGGCTACTTTGCCTTGTAGTCTTCTCGCCATGGTTTGCTATAGGCAGGGGAGATACAGAGCTCTTCTATTTAAGGGCAGATTCAATCTGACGGTATTGGAAATTGCAACCCGAAAATGCGACACTTGTTCATGTTGAACCGTCCACTTGTGATCGGACATCTCTTGGTTTTTATTGTAACGGTCGCAAGTGGGGGCGTTGGCCGGGGGTTTTGATCGTCGGACAGCGGGCGACGGTGACACATCAATCGGCGATGTACATTTGGCAGTCGGGGCGCTGGCCAGTTGCTCCTCCACCGTCACCTTTGTTCCAGCCCTAGCCTTCACCCGCACGTTACTACTGACTCTCTGTTGTGGCTGCAAATTCATTTCATCTTTTTTTTTGTTTGTAGTTTAGTCACCTAACTCTCTTTCTTTTCTTTTTTTTTTGTTGAATGAGGCAGCAGGACTTTGTCCTTGTTTTGTGAATTTAGGGATGGAAATCGGTATGTACCGGTATAATTTGGTATTAAATATTGAATTATGATTATCAAATAGTGTCCTAAACTCAACCTCAATCTTAATCATAAAATAAATGTGGTATCCCAATTGGCAATTGCTGATATTTTGTTTTGTATCGGTATATATCAAATATCAAATTAATTCTTTTCAAAATTAAAAATCGAATGTATCCCAATTAACGCCCAGAACGGGGCAGGAAACCGGTTAACCGGAGCAATAACCGGTTCCATATCCAACCTAACCAACCTAATGGAGCTGATCAGTCTCGCCGACAACTTCCTCACCGAGAAAGTGAGATTATGACAAATTTGCTAATGTGTTTTTTGTTGTTCCATATATCATGATCATGTAACGTACAAACACCCATATAAGCTGAATTCATAAATTCAAAATGACATGTGAAACCACCATCGATGTATATGAGAAGAGAAATAAAGAAAATGACACATCATATGAACCATAACTGTGGATGGATATCTTATCATGTCATGACTTTAGATCTCTAGCATAAATGTGATATGGAGACTTGGTGGTTGAATACAAGTTGCCGTATTGATGACCGGTGCTAGTGCTAGCTGTCGTATTGATGGCGTCCCTTCAGAAGTTCAGATTGCGCGGTTAAATAGAAGAGCTCTAAATCTCTCTCCCTATCTATAGCAACCATGGCGAGAAGGTTACAAGGCAAAGTAGCTCTCATCACCGGCGGAGCCAGAGGGATCGGCGCTGCGGCGGCGCGGCTTTTCTCACAGCACGGCGCCAAAGTCGTGATAGCCGACATCCGGTCTGACCTGGGCCGCTCCGTATCCGAGCAGATCCAACTCGAGTCGGGCTACCCGGTCTCGTACGTCCAATGCGACGTCGTAAACGACTCGGACATGCAAAACGCAGTGGACACCGCCGTTTCGATGCACGGGAAGCTCGACATCATGTACAACAACGCAGGGATAGCAGGGGAGAAGCTGGACACCCTCGAGAAGAAAAAAGTAGGCATACTGTCGGTCGACCCGGAGGTGTTCAGGAAGGTGTTCGACGTCAACGTGTACGGATCGTTCCTGGCAGCGAAGCACGCTGTCAGGGTGATGGTCCCGCAGAAGGGCGGGACCATCCTCCTGACTGGCAGTGCTGTGACTGCCAACTATGGCATGGTGCCGCACGTGTATACAGCGTCGAAGCACGCGGTGGTGGGGTTGGTGAAGAACCTGTGCGTGGAGTTGGGGGGGTTTGGGATTCGAGTGAACTGCATCTCGCCATTTGCGGTTGCGACTCCGTTGACTGAGGAGTCGATGGGGCTGGACGAGAAGGCTTTCGAGGAGATGTTCTCGACGATGGGGAACCTGAAAGGAGTTGTTCTGAAATCGAAGGATGTTGCGGAGGTGGCATTGAACCTGGTGAGTGATGAGTCCAGGTATCTTAGTGGGTTGAACCTTTTGGTTGATGGTGGTTTCTGCCTCAAGAGTGCTTGATTAATATCAACTTCAATTCACCTTGGGGTAAGGATCGATAGATTATTTTTGAATAAGTCAACTCGATTGTGGTATCGGATCTAATATGTTCATTTCATATTTGTGCGCACATTCAAATCGACTAAAATATGTCATATGTTCACATGAGATATATCATATTATTAATATAAAGGTGTCGTGTAATATAACGTTAAATAAGTGTGAAATTGTAATAGACATAATAGTATGGTAGATGAATGAGCCATCCATTAGGTGAGTGTTTGTTTCTAATTTTGAATTCTTCACTTCTTACGACTCTAATTACTTATACACGGTCGATAATATTGGATAAATCACGTTACATCACCAAATTTATATAGTTTAATCAATAAACCATAAGCACGTAAATTACAATTTCAATGTATTTATGAAACGGTATTGTACAATTAACAAGCGGGCAAAGGCAAGCCGCAGAGACAATCATTCCCCACGAACGAACTCGCCGGGAAACCGGTCGCCGGAATCCGCCCGCACAAATGGTTCCGGCTCAAATTCAAGCTCCGGAGCTCGGAAGCCGAACTGGGCACTCCCCCAAAGACCGAATTCCTCGACAGATCCAAATCATACATCGCGTGAGCGATCCTCATCTTCCCCAGATCGAAACTCAGTCGATTCCCCGAAGCCCAGAACCCGACCAAATTCTCCGCCCGATTCAGCAGCGGAATCGGGCTGCCGGAGATTCGATTCTCCGAAAGATCGATTCTCTCGTAGAAATACGCCTCCTTCGGGTTCCAATTCGTCAAATTGATCTTGATCCCGCATTTCGCAAGCTTCAGGGAGTAGACATTTGGCGAAGAAGTGACCCAATCAGGGATTTTCCCCAAATGGAAGTTGTTGTATGATAAATCTAGGGATCGAATGCGTTTCGCGTTCATTACAGGAAACGGTTCGACGAGGGAATTGTGGGAGAGATCCAGATTGGAGATTCCCGCGAGTTTCTTGAAGGATTGAGGCAGAGCTCCAGTGAAATTATTCCATGAAAGATCCAGAGTGCTGAGGGATTGAAATTCCCCCAGGAAACTAGGGATTTGACCGGTGAGGGTATTGTGGGCGAGCTCGAGGTAAGCTAATTTGGGGGCGAGGGATGAAATCGAGTTAGGGATTTTCCCGGCAAATTTATTGCGGGAAAGGTTGAGATACCTGAGCTGATCGAGAGACGAGAAGATCTCAGGGATGGGTTTGGACAGCTGGTTACTCTGGAGTTCCAACTGGATCAACGCTTTCAGGCGGCGAATTCCGACCGGTATATCGCCGGTGATTAAGTTGCCGGCGAGGTTCAACCGGGTCAGCCCGGTTAACTCAGACACAGAACTGGGGATCGACCCAGTGAATCGGTTCCCTTCCAGGCTTAGTACGTCTAGTCGAGTTCCTAGCTTGCCTATGTCATCGGGCAAGGGACCCGACAACCGATTGTTCTCTAGGTAGACATACCGGAGTTTGGGCAGTCCGTATAGGGAAGTTGGGAACTTACCCGTGATGTTCCTCATGTTCACCAAATAGAATCCGTCGAGATCCTTCAGTTTCGCCAGAGACGGAGAGATGGTGCCCAATAAAAACCGAGTTGGCGTATCGGATTGACTGAACAACCCGAGTGCGGTGACCCGATCGTTGTGCAGGCAAGTGATGCCCTCCCAAGTGCAACAGTCGGTACCAGACTTCCACGAGGCGAGCATGCCCGAAGGGTCGTGGGTGATGTGAGATTTGAACGAGAGGAGGCTCGTTTCGTCGTCCACGTGGCAGACGCGCGATGTGCTGACGAGGCATTGGAGGGCGATTATGGATAAGACTAGGAGGAGGAGGACGAGGGACTTCATGATGATAGGGAATTGGAGAGAGTTTGAGGTTTTGAGTGAAGGGGTAATTACTAATTAGGGTTATGGATTTAGGGAGTTTTAAGGCATGTGATTTAGCATGCTCTTGAGTCAACTTAGGGCTTGTGGTGGGCTAGTTGGTCGTGGTTGGTGGCTTTTGAGCTTCTTTGCACATGCAAATATGCGGTGGATGCCTTGATGTAAGGGGTTGGAAATTGGAATTGCATCCCATCAAATGCATTCATTGCAATGGTTTCACCACTTGCCAAGTTGAGAACATGGTCATAAACACAACGGCCAATTTGTTGATAGAAGCTCGAGTACATTGTAACTCATCCATTTCAACAATAATGGTGGTGAAAATTTAAGATGCTTAGTTAGTAAAGCATCTAATTATTTTGATCAACTCCACTAAGTAACACTATTTACAAGCAGGCAAAGGCGATCCACAGAGACACTTATTCCCCACAAACGCGCTCGCCGGGAACTTGGTCGGCGGCAGCTTCCCACACAAACTATTCCGGCTCAAATCCAACTTCTCCAGCCCGGCAACCGAGTTGGGCACTCCCCCGAAAACCAAATTCCTCGACAGATCCAATTCCTTCATCGTCCCAGCAAATTTCAGCTTCCCCAAATCGAAGCTCAATCTGTTGCCGGCGGCGCGAAACCCCACCAGATACTCCGTCCGGTTCAGCAACGGAATTGGGCTGCCAGAGATCTGATTCTCCGACAAGTCGATGAAGTCGTAGAAATACGTCTCCTTCGGCTTCCAATTCGTCAGGTTGATCTTGATCCCGCACTTCGCCAGCTTCAGGGAGTAGATGATCGGAGACAGAGTGACCCAATTGGGGATTTTGCCCAGATGGAAATTGTTGTTCGATAGATCTAGCGATTCGATTCCTTTCACGTTCATTACAGGGAATGGATCGGAAAGGGAATTGTGGGAAAGATCTAAATTGAAGATCTTTGTGAGATTTGAGAAAGTTTTAGGGACGGGTCCGGTGAAATTGTTGTGGGAAAGATCCAGAGTATCGAGCGTCTGGAAGTTACCGAGGAAGCTGGGGATTTGGCCGGCGAGGGAATTGTGGCCGAGCTCGAGGAAAGCTAAGGTCGAGGAAAGGGATGAGATCGAATTGGGGATTTTCCCGGAAAATTTGTTGTGGGAAAGGTTGAGAAACCTGAGCTGATGGATAGACGAGAAGATCTCAGGGATGGGCTGGGAGAGCTGGTTGTTGTGAAGCTGTAACTGGGTCAAGTTTCTGAGGCTGCCAATTCCGATTGGAAATTTCCCGGTGATCAAGTTCCCGGCGAGGTTCAACTGAGTCAGACCGGTCAATTGGGATAAAGATGCAGGAATCGACCCGGTGAACCGGTTCCCTGCCAGGCTCAACACGTCCAGTTGGGTCCCCAACTTGCCTATGTCGACGGGCAGCGGACCCGAGAGCCGGTTGTTTCCCAAGTAGACGAACAGGAGACTGGGCAGCCCGTATAACCAGACCGGAAACTTACCCGTGATGTTCCTCAGGTTCATCAGGTAGAGCCCGTCGAGGTCCCTCAGCTTCGCGAGCGACGGCGAGATGGTGCCCGACAGGTACCCGTCCGGCCTCTCGGGCTGGCCAGTGAGCCACAGGGAAGTGACCCGATCGTTGGACAGGCAGGTCACGCCGAACCACGAGCAGCAATCGGTTCCGTTCCACGATTCGAGCAACCCCGAGGGATCGTCAGTGATGCCCGATTTAAACGCGAGGAGTCCTGCCAAATCGTCCACGTGGCAGACACGGGACGTGGCCCGAAGGCATTGGAGGGTGAGCAAGGAGAGGAAGAGAATGAGGGACTTCATTGTGAAGATTTGGGATAAGGTGGGAAGGTAAGGTTGAGGTTTTCTGGGGTTTAAGGGTTGTGGAGAGGTTGGAGGGTTTTATAAGGCAATTGGGTTTTCAAAGCTTTGCCCTTTTAGTGGGTTCTCTAGTCAACACGGTAGCTTTGTGAGGTAGTGGTTTTTGCCTCTTTAGGGCACTTGAAAACCTGTGGTGGATGGCTTGGTTGATGCAAAGGGCGATGGTGGCAACCCACCGCCACCAGAAAGGGATTTAATGGTTGCCAATTACCATTGATGGCTGCTTGTGGTAGGGCCTTGAGGTCAAGTCAAGCTTGATGGCTAATTGGGATATGAATGCTAATATTAAGGAGATAGAGATGGGATTTTGATCAAGTTGAAGTCATTTTGAATACGATTCTTGATCCTTTGGCATATTGCTGGACTTGCTGGTTGTGTTTACTTCAATTAATCAAATGAATGGTTTATGTCGACGAGCTCTAAATTTGAGTAAGATTATAGAAATCATGAATATTTTCTTATGATAAATAGCTTTATTGTTATATAAACTATACGATATTTACACGAATTGTGTTATTTTTTACAGTCTGGCATAATTACAAGCAATTTTTTCCCCAGGAATAGGGCCCACAAGGCTACAACTATGATAAACGGGAAGGAATACAAGAAATTTAAATAAACCAACTTGAAATTATAATGCTAATTTGCTACCATTAGAATATGAAATCTTCCACAACCATAGAGATATACTCGACATAGTTCAATATAAGTTTTATTTGGAGTTTAGACCAAACAACCATATCAAATGACTAAAAAAGAAGTAAAGGAGAGACGAGAAGAAGGGTTATAGGAAGTTAAAAACTTGCACAAATACAACTTGATGTTGTGATACAGGTTTTGCTATCATTACGATAGGAATCCTTAAGTTAATTAGGTTCATAGGAAGTTAAGAACTTGCACAAATACAACTCGATGTTGTGATACATGTTTTGATATCATTACGATAGGAATCCTTAAGTCAATTATGTACACATGTTATTCTAATTTGGAATTCTTATTGCTACTTCCAAAATGAGATCTCGTTTCTCAAAAATGAATTTATCTAATTACTTTTTATTCTCGTGTGTTTGATATCACATCAAATGAAAATGAAAATAGTATAGTATTCTAAAACCAAACAAAATTTTGGATTAGTACATTCTTACGCTCATGTATTTGATGTCACATACCATTAGTCGAATTTTATTTCTATATTGTGACACTACTTAGAACTAATGATTTGGCTCCAGATCGAGCATTTGGTGTCACCATGTACTTAATGTCACATCACATTTGAATGACAGAAATATACTAATACAATCAAACTAAGATTTTGATTTGCCATTTGCCAAACCAATTTTTATTAAGATTGGCAATGATGAAGATGTTGCCATGCAAGACAATCCCTTAATCACAAAGCCAAATGGTTTGGACATCGACAATATAAAGATAAACACTTATGAACTTATTTACAAGGGAGCAAAGGCGAGCCACATAGACAATTATTCCCCACAAACGAGCTCGCCGGAAACTTCGTCGCCGGCAACCTCCCGCACAAACGGTTCCGGCTCAAATCCAAGCTCTGCAGCCCGGAGACCGAACTGGGCACTCCCCCGAAAATCGAATTCCTCGACAGTTCCAAATCCTTCATCGTCCCAACAATGCTCAACTTCCCCAAATCAAAACTCACTCTGTTTCCGGCGGCCCGAAAACTGATCAAGTAATCCGTCCGGTTCAGCAACGGAATCGGGCTGCCAGAGATCTGATTCTCCGACAAGTCGATGAAGTCGTAGAAATACGCCTCCTTCGGCTTCCAATTCGTCAGGTTGATCTTGATCCCGCATTTCACCAGCTTCAGGGAGTAGATGATCGGAGACAGAGTGACCCAATTGGGGATTTTCCCCAAATGGAAATTGTTGTAAGACAGATCCAACGATTCGATTCCTCTCACGTTCATTGCAGGGAAAGGATCGGAAAGGGAATTGTGGGAAAGGTCTAAATTGAAGATCTTTGTGAGATTGGAGAAAGTTTTGGGGACGGGTCCTGTGAGATTGTTGTGGGAAAGATCCAGAGTATCGAGCTTCTGGAAATTTCCGAGGAAGCTGGGGATTTGCCCGGAGAGGGAATTGTGTGCGAGCTCGAGGTAAGCTAGAGTGGAGGAAAGAGATGAAATTGAGTTGGGGATTTTGCCGGAAAATTTGTTGCCGGAGAGGTTGAGATACCTGAGCTTGAGAGACGAGAAAACCTCAGGAATGGGTTTGGAGAGCTGGTTGTCCTGAAGCCAGAGCAGGGTCAGGTTTTTCAGGCTGCGGATTCCGATTGGTAATTTGCCGGTGATGAAATTGCCGGCGAGGCTGAACTCTCTCAGCCCGGCTATCTCGGATATCGAACCGGGTATCGGCCCGGTAAACCGGTTTCTTTGGAGGAAAAAATAGCGTAACTGGGCGCCCAGCTTGCCTATGTCGGTGGGCAGTCGGCCCGAGAGTGGGACGTTCTGCAGGTAGACGTAAGTGAGGTTGGAAAGCCCGTACAGCCAGACCGGAAACTGACCCGTGATGTTCCTCAGGTCCGTCAGGTAAAGCCCGTCGAGGCTCCTGAGCTTCGCGAGCGACGGTGAGATGGTGCCCGATAAGAACCCGTCCGGTTTATCGGGCTGTCCCTGGACCCACACTGCGGTGACCCGATCGTTGTACAAACAAGTTATGCCGGCCCACGTGCAGCAGTCGGTGCCAGGCTTCCACGAGGCCAGAATACCCGAGGGATCGTGGGTGATGCCCCGTTTGAATTCGAGCAAGCCGGTCTCGTCGTCCACGTGGCAGGTGCGTGACGTGGCTCGAAGGCATTGGAGGGTGAGCAAGGAGAGGAAGAGAATGAAGGACTTCATGAAGGTTAGGTTAGGTCAAGAAGTGGGACGGTTGAGGATTTTGGCTAGGGTAATGATTTGTGATTGTGGGGAGTTTAGAGGGGAGGTTTAATATAAGGCAATAGGGTTTGGAATTGGAAGTCTTGCCCTTATTTTTTGTGGGTTCTTCATTTTTTTAGTCAATGCATAGGACCTTGTGACCTAGTGGTTTCCTTGAAGCAAGGATAGGAATCCGCTGAAGGGGATCCAATGGTTTTCACTGCTCTTGTGGTCAAGTCAAGCTTGATGGGTAGAAGAATACTAATTGGTTAAGTCAATAATTAAAGAATAGTGCCACTATCCTTGGGAGATGAGATGGGGTTTAATCAAATTGGTAACTTGGTTCAGTTTTCCCTCGCTGTACTTCAATCCACCACATGGGTTGAAGTGATTTCAACACAATGCCAACGTTTCTCAAACTCAATTTATAAGCAAGATCTTAATTGGAAAAGAAACGGCTACTATCAACTTGACCCATAAATTTTCACATTTTAGTGGTCTTGAGTGGATGACGGGTTGGTGAAGAATCATTTGTTCACATTGGACCTTTGATGTGGGGGTCCCAAAACGTTGATTCGAACAAATCAATCAGGGCGACCCAATTCTATTTGAGGATAAGCATTTATTTAATTCCGGATATCGGTTTTAGGATGATGTGTATATATGGCAATTGGCAAAGTGAAAAAAAGTTTGCTCAACATTGTTTTGTTCAGAGTAAGGAAAATGGACCAAGAAACGCTCTTATCGTAAAATGTATTGTAGAATAATAAGTAGATATGTAAGATCATGAGATCGATTGAATTCTTTTTAATCCTTTCCGACTTGATTTGCCTCCCACAGTGGTCGCACTTACATGAATGGTAGTTCATGCCAAAGTGCAATTGTATGAATTATTTTATACTTACAAAAGTATGAAAATAAAAAATGTGACAACCTGTGACAAACTTAATTTGCGTTTTTATAGTTATCAGACTTTCTTCTGCATAACCCAAGGTTATGCCTAGGAACCTAATCCTATTTGGCTTAGGCTCCAGCCTCCAGTGATAAACATTTTCTACATAACCATTCATAATTTTTGTTTACCAAGATAATTCGATTCTTACCTTAGTAATATGATGTGTCTTATAAGAATCGTATCATCCTATCAAACATGAGTTATGAAGGTTATGCAGAAATTGGTTATGCACATACTCTTCGTCGATGTATATGGTGTGTATTAATATAAATTAACTAGGATCATTAATTGTTGCTATATTGTCACCAGAGATATGATGAAAGCTCTACTTGTCACACCTACGGGCATCTGAATTAGCACCACTGCTTATGCTTATGCTTATGCTTTGGGAGAGAAAATGATGTCCAATGCTCAACAATTATAGTTGTGTATATGAAACAAATTTCAGACGAATTCAACTTCAATCTCTCACACAATCTATCGTACTTGCCATATATATAAATTTAATTATTGTTAATGTTCATTTTTTGGAAATTATCATTGGTTATCAATGTAGGTAATTAAGAGGATTGGTTAGGTGATGCGTGGGTATGACCCGGGTATAAACTTAATTAGTACTCCTTCTTTTTAATAAGGTGGTATATAAATTTGACCGGCGGCCCACAACTTAGATTTTTAGTTATGTGGCTTTGTTGCTTGAACGTTGCTCTGTTTTGAAATTTCAGTAGAGTAAAATTAGCTAAAAAATATATATATTTTATTAAATTAAAATTCTAGAAAACAACTCGTTTTGCATTGATTGGTCTCAAAAATTCACATCGTCATCGGTCCATATTCAATTATGAATCTTATATTATTATTCTTTCAGTATACCTTCTATATATATTAAACAAAATCCAACTCATGAAGTGAAAATTTCATGTCAAGAACCCAGTTGCTCTCAATAACTTGAGTTGTTGGGAGAGGTTCAATCGTGTATCATCATATACCACAACACTAACACGCCTCCTCAAACGAAAACCACTCACAAAGGTTTGAAGTTTGCACAGGTTTGAAGACAAGAATACCATGTGCTTAACAAATGGGGGTCACCGGAAATCGAACACACATCTCGGTGACAGAAGGCTCTGATACCATGTCAAGAATCAGTTGATCCCAATAACTCGAGTTGTTGGGAGATGTTCAATCGTGTATCATATACCACAACACTAACACAGTAAAATCTTTGCCATGCATGTAAGGATTATCCGTGATGAAAATCCATAGTTTATAGCATGCGTACAATCGACGAGCAACAATATTTTATTTGGCATCCAAATACGTACCGAAACAAAGAATCATCATTGATAAGAAGAAAAGAAAAGGGGTAAACCAACAAGCTAGAGCATTATTGTATACGTACGTACGTACGTTAATTAGATGGAATCGATAACCTGCCTGCTTGCTTGCTTGCTTGCTTGCACTATCCATCGATCCTATCAATCTGATTCAAGTCTATATAAAACGTGGGCTTGATCAGTGACTAATTCACATCACTACTCATATATTCTTCCTCATAATCCCCCTAGCTACCAAAGCAATAGCAACAGCAAGGAAAATGAAGGTGAGCGGAGCTGCTGTAGCGACGGTGGCCGTGGTCACCTGGCTGAGCTTCTTAGCGACCACCTCAGACGCCCAAGGATACGACTTCTTCTACTTGGTGATGCAGTGGCCTCGCGCCGTCTGCAACCAACCTCGCTCCAACTGCAGGGCGGCGGTTCCTCGGACCTTCACCATCCATGGGATGTGGCCCCAGACCAACCGCGGCGGCAGCCCTCAGAACTGTCCCGGTAGAGTCCGCGACGTCCGATCAAGCGTACGTACAGTTCATTCTTAATTCATTGATTAGCTTAAGGAGGGTGATATGATTAGCTTAAACGGTTCTTGACATGACATAAGAGCATGGTTGATCGAGTGGTCTCTTGGTGCTCAAATCTCGACGAACGTACCTTGTTAAACACATGGTATATTATTGACGAACCTGTGATAATTAACTTCAAGTCTTGGATTTTAATAGATAAAACTGTATATAGGGATGTCAATTTTGACCTGACCCGTTTTACCGACCTGTTTGATCTGTTTTGGGTGGGTCCGATGGCGGGCATGGGTACTCTCATCGACCCGACCTGCCCTGACCCGCCCCATTCTCGACCCGTTCTTGCCTAAATTACACATAATTTTAGTCAAATTACTTAGGATTTCCCTTTTATTACATAAAATTTTAGTTATAATAAAAATGTAAATTAGTGAAAACCTCAATTTCTCCAATAATTTAACTATATTTATCATAATATTGTTTGTTTCCTTGGTCTTATAATAAAAATAATGAATATTTCTAATATTTTTCATATAAATTGCATACCCATTGGATCGACCTGTCCCGAACCTTGACCCGTGATAAATTACCCGACATGGACCCGACCTGCCACAGGGCGGGTCTGGGTACCAAGAAACCCGGCCCGGACCTGCCCCATTGCCATTCCTAATTTTATAGGATCCATGATGAAACTTTTTTCAACAACTCGGAGCTCACGACACATTTCACTGCGAGCTCAAAATGAAAAATGATCAACCATGTCAATTGCCATCACATAGTTGTTAACCAACAAACCACTTAATCTCGGTAACTCGATCGAGCTGTTCGAAAATGGATTTGAAACCATGACCTCTCGGTTGAAAATTCTGATACCACATGTTAACGCCACTTAGCTCCAATAACTCGAGCTATTAAAAGAAAAAAAAAAGGTTTGTTAAGTTTTTTATCTCTTGCAATACTTACCAACAAATTAAACTCGTCGTTCTCTGGAAAAAAAAAACTCAGGGACGGGTGGACAGAGGCACTCTGGGGGCAATGGACAGGCAGTGGCCGAACCTGAAGCGCGGCGGGAGGGACCCCAACAGCCAGTTCTGGACCCACGAGTGGAACAAACACGGCACCTGCTCCAGGATGTCGCTGCAGAACTACTTCCGCCGGGCCGTCGACCGCGCCGCCAGCGTCGACGTGCTCCGCCTGCTCCGCAGCAACCGCATCCAGCCCGACAACCGTTCGTACCGGCGGGCCGCCATCGAGGCTGCTCTGAACCGCTACGATCCGGTCGTGAAGTGCAACGACGTCCGAAGCGGCGGCCGAACCTACAAGCAGATCCACGAGATCCGGTTCTGCGTGCAGAGGGACGGCAACCGCGTCGTGTCCTGCGGCCGCCGAACCCAGTTCAGGAGCTGCGGCAGCGGAGACATCAGGTTCTCCCGTTGAAGAAGCTGCTACGTACCTACTGTCTGTTTGTTCTATAGATGCATGCATGCATGGTTTACGTAAGCTTTCGCACGTGTGTTTGTGTGTGTGTTTAATTCAGTTTGTTTCTGTTTGTCGCGTTGTTGTTTTCACTTTCTCTTTGTTTTCACTCTCTCTTATTAAAGGGGCTATGAATCAATGAATAAAAATAGCTTTGACCCGAATACTGGGCGCGCAGGTCAATTTGTTAGTCCGTGAAACTGTATCGTAACGGCAGTCCGGTTGGGAAATACATTCTATTGGAACTTAAATTGATATACGACTTTAGTGATATCAATAGTTTGATTTTCAACGGCTGAAATACATGAATTCTACATTACGTGTTCTTTGTATCAATAAATGGTCAAATTTTGACTACTTTGTTAGACTATTAGATCATATATGAATTTGTAAATTATGAAATTGGTAAGTATTCGATGTATGAATGGTTAAATACCGACTACTTTATTATACTATGAGATTATATCTGAATTTGTGAATTATGAAATAGATAAATATATGATGTATGAAACATATCATTCTTTTTTATCATATTTTAGAAGAGATAAGTCATGACTTTGCAGTTTTGACACAATTTTAAGTGGGATATATTAAAAAAATTTATTAGCATTTTTTTTTAAGATATGACAAAAGAGAGAATCTACACAATCTACCCAAAAACCCTCTCAAATCACTACCTTAGTGAAGCCACCCCACAAATTCGAAGGAACTTAACTCAAGAGGAGAAAGTAACAGGGCTTTTTTGCGCCACTCTATGGGCTGCCCCGTTAGGAGTTCTAGGAACTGCCCTAAACTCTAAGAAGACAGAAACAAAAAACAAAAGAAGGAGACAATCATGAAGCACTGGTCCTCCAAGGGAATCTAAAGAAACAACCTGGTAAAGCTAACGAATCACCACTTCTGAATCACCTTCGATAATGACACGAGGAAGCTGACTAGGAGACCATGAGGGAAATGGCATCTCGAGCTGCAAGAAGTTCCGCGAGGTAAGGATCGGCAATGCCGAGGTATATTTTCTAGTCCGCCCACCCCTCAAACCAGAATCCTCGCTCCTCCCCTAATTACGAAAGGCAGATACAATCAGAATCGAACCTCATCTGCAAACAAACAACTACTTCTAGTGGTGGCAAATGAATTGAATTCATGGATTGATGGATTAGATTGGTGGATCCATGGATCAAGTGGATTGGATCCAATAGATTAGTGGATTCATGGATTGGATCAAATGGATTGGTGGATTGATCAATGGATCCAAATGACATTCATGTCTTGGACCATTATGTAAATTTTGAAAAATTTAGGTACTAAAATGTCATAATAAAAAAATTTAGGTTTCACAACGTAATTTGTCAATGCTACTTTTTGTATAAAAAATAAATTTTAGGTTCCAATATAAAAAGTATAGGTACTAAACCATAATTTTTTCATTTGGATCCATGGATCAATCCATGAATCCACCAATCCAATTATATTTGAATCAAATGGATTGGATTAGTTGAATAATTTGGTGAATGGTTTGGATTGAATTCATAAATATGGATATAAGTGCCACCACTAACTACTATATATGAACGTTTTCCCATGTAATTGAAAAGCTATGCAAGACACTCTTTTGGAGCCTTCCAAGCTACTACTAGCGTAGAGTTGCCAAGAGGTTCACAAACAAAATCAACTTTATTTTTTTTTTCTTGACAATATTAGAACACAACCGTTGTTCAGAATTCCCACAAAAGTCAAATCTGTGCTATAATATTCATTATTGAGCCTCTTCCAACGATTCGAATTATTGGAATCAACTAATATTTATTTTTTGATATGGTAGCAGATCATTCTGTGACCGAAATTTCTTCTCTTCGAATTCCAATGACCCCCATTTGTGAAACACACGATATTGTCGTATTCACAACCTGTGTAAACGAAAGTACTTTTGACTGATTCCATTATCGAACATTTTATTTCAACGACACACGATCAACTAATTCTTGACAACTCTATAGTGTATTAACATACGTACACAATTGACCCGCTACATTATTTTATTTGGCATCTGATACGTACTGAAAACAATGAAGCATTGGTAAGAAGAAAAGAAAAGGGGTAAACCAACAAAGCTAGCAATGTCCACGTACGTTAATTAGATGGAATCGATAACCAATAAGACAGAATGAGTTGCTTGCTTGCTTGCTTGCACTATCCATCCTATCAATGTCTATATAAAACGGGGACGTGATCAGTGGCTATTTCACATCACTACTCATTCTTCATATTTTCCCCTAGCTAGCTAGCTACCAAAGCAAACAACAGAATGAAGCTCAACGGAGCTGCTGTAGCGACGGTGGCCGTGGTCACCTTGCTGAGCTTCTTGGCCGGCACCTCAAACGCCCAAGGATACGACTTCTTCTACTTGGTCATGCAGTGGCCGCGCGCCGTCTGCAACCAGCCGCGCTCCAACTGCAGGGCGGCGGTTCCTCAGACCTTCACCATCCATGGGATGTGGCCCCAGACCAACAGCGGCGGCAGCCCTCAGAACTGTCCCGGTAGTCTCCGGGATGTCCGATCAAGCGTATGTACACTTCATTGATTAACTAGTCCATTAAGCATAATTATAGTTATATGCTTCTATTCTATCTTTAATTACCTCCAGTAATACGTTAAAACTCATATGAGTTGGCTTTCGAGTTTTTTTCCGAATCTTGATAACCACTATCAATAAGCACATGTTGTTGTATGCTTGTGCAAATCTATGTCCGGCTTTCATTTGAGGCGGCATGTTAATATGTAGTATAAGAAATAGGGTTATGGGTATAATATACCTCTTTACTATGCCGTTTTATCAAATATGCCCAATTACTATTTTTTACATCAAACATGACCCTATACTTTGAAAAAATGATCAAACATGTCCTTCTGTTAAAATTTTCATCCACAAATCGTTAACTACGGCCGAACTTTGATTTGGGCGACACAAATGTCTAAAATGTCGTCCCAAATAATTTCACTTTATAATTTTTTGGTCCTTCTGTATAGCCAAATAATTCTTATAATTTCACTTAGACAAGACCCAGAGAAATAAAACAGGAGACAAAATTGACATTTCCCCTCCCATTTGCCGATGTCGGGTCGTCTAAATCTCAGTTCAACCATGATTGACGATTTTTTGGATGAAAATTTTAACAGAATGACATGTTTGATAATTTTTCCAAAGTACATTGGCATGTTTGATATAAAAAATAGTAGATGAGCATGTTTGATATAATGACATTGTAAAGGGGCATATTGTACCTATAACCCTAAGAAATACAATATTGAATTTTTTCCAAAAACTCGACAACTATCTATATATTTACCAACAAACTCTTCTCTTTACTCTGGAAAAACAGGGACGGGTGGACAGAACTACGCTGGGGGCAATGGACAGGCAGTGGCCGAACCTGAAGCGCGGCGGAAGGGACCCCAACAGCCAGTTCTGGACCCACGAGTGGAACAAACACGGCACCTGCTCCAGAATGCAGCCGCAGGACTACTTCCGGCGGGTCGTCGACCGGGCGGCGAGCGTCGATCTGCTCCGGCTGCTCCGCAGCAACCGCATCCAGCCCGACAACCGGCTGTACCGGCAGGCCGACATCGAAGCTGCTCTGAACGTTTACGATCCGGTCGTCAAGTGCAACGACGTCCGAAGCGGCGGCCGCTCCTACAAGCAGATCCACGAGATCCGGTTCTGCGTGCAGAGGGACGGCAACCGCGTCGTCTCCTGCGGCCGCCGAACCCAGTTCAGGAGCTGCGGCAACGGAGACATCAGGTTCTCCCGTTGAAGAGAAGCTGCTACGTACGTACTGTCTGTTTGATCTATAGATGCATGCATGCATGCATGGTTTACGTAAGCTTTCGCACGTGTGTTTGTGTGTGTGTTTCAGGTTGTTTCTGTTTGTCGCGTTGTTGTTTTCACTTCTCTCTTATTAAAGGGACTATGAATGAATGAATGAATAAAATTAGCTTTGACCCGATCGAATACTGGGCAATTTGTTAATCCGTGAAACAGTTGGATTCTGGTTAATAAAACTACAATTTCAATACAAAATATTTTAATATTGATTTTTCTAGTACAACTTCTGGAACGGTTTCGCAATTCTTGGTTAGTAAAGTTTAATATTGTATAGGATGATGATGTAATTTTAGCTTCGTATCAACTTTCAAGATTTATTTATTGTTGTGTGTATTAGATATATCGGTACATTATTGTTAAAATGAATCATCTCACCAACGAAAAAGACTACGAAATTTTGACAAATATTTTTTTTTTTTTTTTGACAAATTTAAGCCTGGAGGAAGAGTTTTAAGTGATTCCAAGTATCCAAATATGCTTAGCACTTGACTAATGTGGTGTTTAATAAATTTGTGGTTCAAATAATTTGGCGCATAAATGCTAGCATATGTCTGGCATATGCTATATAAGTCTGAAATTATACCTGTTATTTGTAATTTGATAATTTTAACAAATCAAAATCATTGATTTTCATTTTAAAATTAAATTAAATGAATCTTACTAATTGGGTTAGAGAATTGGAGACTGGGGTTCACCCATTAAAAGTTAGGGTATAGTATCATGCATCAAACTCTGATTAAATCTTACGCGATACAGTAAGTAACGCTCGGCGGACATTACCTGAACTATATATATATGTGTGTGTGTGTGGTGGCTACTTCGGTGCGCTCATTTTTTTTAACTTTAAAAGTGACAATAATACACAAATGTTGAACTTTAATTGGTAGCATGAGTCTAACATGATGATATAACATAGGATCACAACTAATCAATCCATTATCCTAACCCCTTAACCTTCAATTTTGAATCCTAACCCAAAACCCCAAATTGTAAACCTAAACCCTAAATCCCTAAATCATAAATCATTCAAATTGAAGTAGATCTTGGATGAATTTTTTTGAGAATTCATGTGTTTTTTGTTCATAATATCACAAGCAATGATTGATACTGTTCTGACATGAATCACATGCTCCAAATGAAGATTATGAGGTGATTGCGTTGAATGTACTAAAAAAAGTGGGTACACTGAATGCGGCACCATCCATACTTAATGTATTGAACCAAATGGTTGAGAACGACTGGAAGCACATAAATGATGACTCTCTTAAGTATGAAAACACTATCTACACTATCCAACCACACTACTTGTGCTTATGCTTTGGGACAGAAATGATGGTGGAGGGTTAAAAAGAATTGTTTTTTAAAATCTTTTATTAGTCTTGTGATGTTTAGTTGGAAATTTTCGCCAAAAATCAGCTTGATCTAAACCAGAGTGAGAATTTTCCCACGTCTATTTTATATCTTCCATAAAATGATGTCCAATACTCCACAATTATAGTTTGTGTATATGAAACAACTTTTAGACACATTCAACTTCGATATATCACACAATCGACATGCTGACTTGCCATATATATATATATATATATATAAAAATAATTGTTGTATATAATTGTTAGTGTTGGTTTTTGGAAATTATCATTATTAATCAATGTAGGCAATTGGCGGATTTGGCGGTCTCGCAACTGGGTTGTTTTTGAAGGCAAACAGTTCGGGATCCCGGCGCTGATGAGACAATATCACCAGCAGGTGGATGAGTGGGTACGTTTGCCGGTTGGCTCAGGCTCCCCTGCGGGTGGTCCTAGGCCGCCGTCGGGGAGTCTGGGGTATGATAGTCCGGTTATCTGTAGATGGGATGGCGCCACGCGGGTTGGGTCTCACTCAGCTGGAGGGTTCGTGCTTATGAATCGGAGCGGTGATATTTTAGGGGCTTTCGGGGTTCAATTTCAGGGTATTGATGATCCAATGGTAGTGGAAGGTCTAGCATTGCGCGAAGCTGTGGATTGGTGCCTGGCGAGTGGATTCACTCATGTTTGCTTTGAGGGGGACGCCAAGGTGGTCATTGATAAAATTGCTAGGTCGGACACGGGCGATACTAGGATGGGTGCAATACTTCAGGAGCTGGTGATGAGTTTTGCTTCTCATACGCGGTTTAGTGTTCGGTTTGTAGGTCGTCGTAACAATAGGGTAGCCCATTTGGTGGCTAGAAAGGCCCTTTCATTGTCACCGACTGCGAGTCGTTTGTTTGATTTCCAGACCTGGCTGGTTTCCAGGATGTAACTATCTCTTTGGTGATTCTATTATAATGAATATCTTTTGTCAAAAAAAAAAAAAAATCAATGTAGGCAATTAAGAATATCCGTTAGGTGATGCATGGGTATGACTCCGATGTAAACTTATTTAGTACTCCATCTCTTTAATAAGGTGTATATATATTTGACCGGCGGTTCAAATTCGATCTTTAATTATGTGGCTTTGTTGCTTGAACTTTGCTCTTTTCTTTTTTGAATTTTAGTTGTAAATTAGCAAAAATTTTGTTAGTATGTGGTATAAGATTCATTATTGAGCCTCTTCCAACAACTCGAATTATTGAAATCAATCGATTCTGAACACGGTATCTTAATTCTCTTCAAATTCTGGTGACCCGCATCTGTGAAGCACATGATATTATCGTATCCAGCTGGACCTTTGCAAACGAAAGTACTTTTTCACTGGTTTTCATTATCGAACGTCTTCCAACAACGCCGATCGAGTTATTATAGATAGGATCAACTTGTTCTTGCCAATTCTATTGTGTATAACATACCCAATTGACCAGCAGCAATATTTTATCTGGCATCCGATACGTACTGAAACAAAACAACCATTGATGAGAAGAAAAAGAAAAGGTGTAAACCAACAAGCTAGCATTGCGTACGTACGTTCGATAATGCAGTCGATAACCAAGAAGAACGAGTTGCTTGCTTGCAGTATCCAATTAATATCCATCCTCATCAGCAGCAGTCTATCACTCTACCTATATATATAAAACGGCGACGTGATCAGTGGCTATTTCACATCACTACTCATTCTTCATATTTTCCCCTAGCTAGCTAGCTACCAAAGCAAACAACAAAAATGAAGCTCAACGGAGCTGCTGCAGCGACGGTGGCCCTCGTCACCTTGCTGAGCTTCTTGGCCGGCACCTCAGACGCCCAAGGATACGACTTTTTCCACCTTGTCATGCAGTGGCCGCCGGCCGTCTGCAACCAGCCTCGTTCCAACTGCAGGGCGGGGATTCCTCGGACCTTCACCATCCACGGGATGTGGCCGATGACCAACAGAGGCGGCAGCCCTCAGAACTGTCCCGGTAGAGTCCGCGACGTCCGATCAAGCGTACGTATACAGTTCATTAATTAATTAAGACTTATCCATTCATTAGCTTATGTCATAATTTTATATATGTATATATACACATGGTGCCTTCGATCTGTCGTATTTTAGGTAAATCTAGAGGAACACATATATCTTTTGGTAATAGAAACATTATCTAGACTTCGATTTAACTGAATTTTGGTGTTGTACACTAATTCATGATGACTGAATCTTAGGTCTTAATTATCTTTAACTATAGAACCTAAACATTAAGATGCTGCACATAATTTGTTGAACTGTATTCCGATGAATCATGACCGTCTGTTGATTAATATTGTTTCTTAACGAATTGATCTTATTGTACGAGATTTTATAGAATATTAAGGTCTGGATTTACGGAATCATGTCTCATTGGTCATTAGATCAATTCATAGTTTTGTTAACATGACATGATTCATCAAAAAGGTCGGTCTTATATTCGAATCTCGATGACCCTCCTGTTGTTAAACAGGGACGAGTAGACAGAGGCACGCTGGGTGCAATGGACAGGCAGTGGCCGAACCTGAAGCGCGGTGGGAGAGACCCCAACAGCCAGTTCTGGACCCACGAGTGGAACACCCACGGCACCTGCTCCAGGATGACGCTGCAGAACTACTTCCGGCGGGCCGTCGACCGCGCGGCGACCGTCGACCTGCTCCGGCTGCTCCGCAGCAACCGCATCCAGCCCGACAACCGGTCGTACCGGAGGGCCGACATCGGCGCCGCCCTGCACCGCTACAACCCGGTCGTGAAGTGCAACGACGTCCGGAGCGGCGGCCGCACCTACAAGCAGATCCACGAGATCCGGGTCTGCGTGTCCAGGAGCGGCAACAGCGTCGTCTCCTGCGGCGGCGGCGGGCCAGCGTTCAGGAGCTGCGGCAACGGAGACATCAGGTTCTCCCGTTGAAGAAGCTGCTACGTACTGTCTGTTCGTTCCATGCATGCATGTGTGTACGTGTGTTTGTGTGTGTGTTTCGGTTTGTTTGTTGTGTGTTTCTGTTTGTCCCGTTATTGTTTTCGCTTTCTCTTTTAAAAAGGACACTATGAATGAATGAATAAAACTAGCTTTGGCCCGTCTATATGTGATGGTGAAATTATGGTTTAACCGTGCGATTTAATATAACCGTAAATTCTAATATTACCTCTAAAAATCATTTATCGGCTTAGCCTTTGATAGGAGATTTTTTTTTGGGTCGAGCGGCCAACTCAGTACGGTTTCACTGCATGATGAAACCATACCATACCGGTTTTTAGACTATCTGAAACAAAATCGGTATACTTTATTTTGCGTTATAAATCAGTTGAACCACGGATAAATGATGGTTTCAACATAAAATAACTTACCACTGACTTTTCCGGTACAACCTCCTGTATGGTCTTAGAATTTTTTTTTTTATTTATTTATAGATTTTCCAAACCTTGATTAGTGTATATATTTTGGTACATTGTTGAAATGATTTATTAGGCGAAAGAGAAAAGACTACCAACTTTGATAAATTCATCAGGATATAAACTTGGAGGATGTTTTACTGATTCCAAGAATCCAAGAACACAACCCTTGGACTACTACGAAAAACACCGTCCGATTTCAAAGTAGCACGATCTAATTCAAAAATTTCACCCAATTGACCGTACGTACGTTCAGAACTCGAACAGAAGCCAAATCTCTGCTATTTCCGCACGAGTTGAAATCACAACCGTTGAAATATCGACAGCTTCATTATTATCAGCATCATCTTCTACCCTAGTACCACCGTTTGCTCCGGCGGCTCTCTTTACCATCTTCACATCTTTCAGTTGGTGTCGCCAACATTTACATTCAGCTCCACAACGATTGAGCATATCTGTCTCGTGGAACGTCTTGCACACATACTGTCAAGAAATAAAAGAATTCCGACACCAATTAACATGAACAACAATTTATTAAATGACTTGACGAGCAAGTCTCAAAAGGAAGCAAAAAAAAATGCACAATTAATGTACCTCACTTAAACTCTGAAAAGAAATGTCTAGCGTCAACCGAAACTCGCTGATTCGAGGAAAAAGCTGTCTCAGGTTGTTAAAATTGTGGAACATGTGACCATAAAGATACCAGTAGAATGGCACCGCAGTAGTAGTACTATTCTTCTTCTTCTTCTTGCTACCTAATTCGATCGAACGGAGAAAATTAACAATCGCGCCGTGATAAATGAAGTTGCTCAGCCTCGGAGCATCGATCTCGATCGCCATGGCTCGCGACTCCTTCCAGACTACCAACGTGAGTTCCCGGAACCTGTCGCTGCTGACAATCTTCAGATTGCGCACTTGAGCTGGGTTCGTCAGCTTCAGTGTCTCCAGAGATGGGGACTCCGCAATCAGCTTATTAACTTTCTGGTCCGTCAATTTCCAAGCATCTGAAAAAGCGCTAGATGTTACCTAAGCGTCTAAGCGTTATGTGTAAACGTATCAAAATATCCTATACTTGCCTAGAATCACAAGCGTCAGATGTAAACATGAAACATAGTGTGGAGAAAAGCGTAAAGAAAAAAAGGTAGAAAAAAGCGAAGCAGATTGAGACGAAGAAGCACAAGAAAAGAAAGAAGAATCTACTCTAAAGATAGTTGTCTCAAACTATATCCTTGTCGAATTATAGAGAAATCAGGACCATCCTCTCTAGTAGCATATCAAAAGGTAGAAAAAAGGACATCGTAACATCATTTTGAGGCGCGCATGCAACTCAATGTCAACTAGGCACAACCGAGGTCAAAACGTAATCGTGACGCCTTTCCGCTGCTTTTTTGTCAAGGCGAGACGTTTTCCTTCCGACTTGCGCCTAGGCGCGCTTTTTTTAACCAACTCGAATGGTTAATTAGCAGATATTCGATATTTAATCTTATACTAGATACTAATATGTCCCATCAAACGAAAAGCCACTCATATATATGTTTGAAGTTCCCCCAGACGAGGGCTAACGGAATTCAAACAAAATACCTCTCGATCTAACTAAGAAGGCTTTGATACCACCAATTCGTATACAGAGATCAAGAAGAGGGAGTGTCTTGTCTTACCTATTTCAAGTTCTCTGAGATTTGGCATAGAAGAAACCTCCAATTCACCTCCCAACGGAGAGGAAAGACACAGGATTTCCAGAGAGGTCGCCCCTGTTATCTCCAAATCCTCCACATCGCAAGCGTAGCACCTCAGGGCTCTCAGGTTGGGGAGGTTCCGAACCTGAAGCCTCCGAATCTCCACGATCGCGGACAGAGTCAGGCTCTCTAACCGCAAGGCTCCGGCGATCATTCCGTTCAGAATTCGGTCGTCGGGTAAACTGACGTACCGCAGAGTGAGCTCCCTGAGCGAGCTTCCCACCCCGACTAGATCAACGCCTACAAATTCCCTGAAGCTGCAGAACTCCAATTTCAGAATTTCCAGGCCGCCGCGAAATTGGGGGAATTGGCGGCAGGGGAGCAATAACAATCCCTTGGGGATGTCGTACGTCAAGCGGCCGTCGAATTCGCCGAAATCTTCCATGTATCCGCAGCTAATGTCGATCTCCCGCGGAGATTGAGATCTCGTCGCGGCCGCGGCTGATTTCAACAGATCGTCGAGGAAAGCAGAGCAGGGTAACACGTCCCAATCGGCGCCGTCGAAATAATCGGCAAAATCGATCCTCACGGATCTGATGCCGAGCGGCGGGGTGGTGTTGTTACTGCCGAACTTTGCGGCGACGGATTTGGCCAATCGCTCGGCGGTTTGCTTCGATAGGAATCCCCTGTCGTCGAATTCCAGGACAGGGTAGGATCGCCAGAGGTTGACCCATCTTTTGGAAAGGACGATGGTTCTCGCGGCTTCCTTTGTGGATCTCAGGCGGGCGAGGATCTGGTGGATGATGTCGTCGAGTAGCGCCGAGATCCGGTCTACTGGTACTTCTTCTTCGCCGGCGGCGCAGGCTTCTCCTTGTTTCTCCATGGTTCGGTTTCGTTTCCGTTCGACTGCGCTATCAGGATGCTCTCCGAGGGGGCGGCCGGTTATATACTTGACGCGTTGGGGTTGCTAAAAAATTTAGAGGTGTCCGTTCGGTTCGGTTCGGTTCGGTGAACCGAATTCAGAGGGGGGATCGATATAAACTCTCTCTTCAAAATCTAAACCGAGTCTGTTAAGGGGCTTATTGACGGTTCGGTTTCGGTTAAAACAAACCGAAAGCCAGCACAATTTGTAATAGCTTCTCATAGAGCAAGGTTCGAGTTTGGTTTTGATTTCTTATTGGTCTACGATTAAGCCAAAACCGTTGAAATGCAAATAGATTAGAGACAAAAATCATAATAATAAAGTCGATTTATTGAATATCATCACCAGACAGATCGACAAGTCAATTGTGTACGTAAGACAGATATGGACAGATATGATCACAATCGATCCTCTTCTCCGAACAAACAACTACTTCTATATTGGTGTACAATTAAGCCAAAATCGTTAAAATGCAAATACATTAGAGACAAAAAAAAAAAAGGTCGATTTATTGAATATCATCATCAGACAGATCGAGAAGTCAATTGTGTACGTAAGACAGATATGAACAGATTACGATCACAATCGAACCTCATCTCCAAACAAACAACTACTTCTATATGAACCATCTCCCATGCATGACACTTTCTTGGAGCCTACCAAGCTACTACTAACGTAGAAATCCCAACAAGTTCACAAACAAAATCGACATTGTTCCCAACATTAGAAGTTAGAACACAACCGTTGTTCAGAACTCCAACAGAAGCCAAATCTGTGCTATTTCCTCATAAGATGAAATCACAACCGTCGAAACATCGACGACTTCATTATTAGCATCATCTTCTACCCTAGTACCAGTACCGTTTGCTGCGGCGACTCTCTTCACCATCTTCACGTCTTTCAATTGGTGTCGCCAGCTCTTACATCCAGATCTACAACGATGGCTCAGATCCGTCCCGTGGAACGTCTTGCACACATACTGTCAAGAAATATACAAAAAATGATCAAGTCTGATCTAAAATGAAAAATCCCGAGTTTTAAAATAGTTTTCCACACAACATAACACACCCTAGCTAGCTACAAGCCGAATTATTTATATGAACATTTACTACACATACACATACCTTTAGAGCCAACAAGATGGACTCTTTCGAAATCGAATATTCCTCAGCTTTGAGGCTCAGATATTTCGGATGGAAATTCTGAAACAGATCGTCAAGAAAAGAATCTCTGACGTCGGACACTTGGGTCGAGAAATCCCAGGGGAGTATCACACGTTCGATCCGCGGAACAACAGAGGATTCGTCCGCGACATCATGCCTACGCCACTGCACACAATGAAGAGTTATGATTAGAGGTATTGTGTCTAATTTGTAGTGAAGCAAAAAAAATTAGATTTAGACACAATGTGTACCTCGTCTATTCTATGATTAGAGATATCAAGAGTCAACCGAAACCTGCTTATTCGACGAAACAGCAGCGGTCTCATTTTGTGAAATTTGTGATACGTGTCATCGTAGCAAATCCAGTGGAATGATGGCGCAGTGCTGCTATGTGACAGGCCATCGTCATCTTCTTCTTCTTCGCGGCGACGATGGCTACCAACCTTCTTCTTCTTCTTGTTCTTGCTACGAAATCTAATCGAACGGGGGAAATTAACGCTCCCGCCATGATAACTGATGTTCCTCAGCCTCGGAGCATCGATCTTGATCGCCATGGCTCGCGAATCCTCCCGTTCTACCAACGTGAGTTCCCTGAACCTGTCGCTGCTGTCAATCTTCAGATTGCGCACTTCACCTGGGTCCCTCAGCTTCAGTGTCTCCAGAGATGGGGACTCCGAAATCAGCTTGTTAACTTTCTGGTCCGTCAATTCCCAAGAATCTGAAAGAAAAAGAATGTCAAGCTGTTAGTCCCGATTATGGATGATAAAAATATCCAGAACGGTGGACATTCGCTCGAATCCGAAAGATTTTTCAGTTGGTATGGAGAAAATTCGAACTCGAATTTGTGGGTAATAGGCGTGGAGAAAATCCGAAACCAAAAGATTTTTAGTGGGTATGGAAGTTATAAAAAATAAAATTATTATCCATGGATCTAACCGTGGATACCCAAAACCCAAATGGGTATGTACATGGTGTTGATTTTCTACCTGATTCTTCTGTGTGTACGGATACGGGTAAAACCTGAACTATTTTGTGTAGGGTAACGGATATGCACTATCCGCCCCCAATCGATTGCTATCCCTCATCCCTAGTCCCATTTACTCGAGTTGTTGGGAGAGGTTCGACAATGAATCTAATACCACATACTAAAATGTCTCATCAAATGAAAGTCAGTCATATAGGTTTTGACGTTTGAACAGACATAAGGTGCTTATCATTGGGGGTTATCGGAATTCAAACAGAAATTTCTAGATCTAAGAACACCACCATCAATTATTTTCAATGACTCGAGTGGTTGGTTGGAATACCATCAATTAGGTTTTATAGTGGACTTTTTATCATATATCAATTCATATACAAAGTTTAAGAAGAGGAGTTTCTTACCGATTTCAAGTTCTCTGAGATTTGGCATCAAAGAAACCTCCAATTCACCTCCCAACGGACCGGAAAAGAAGAGGATTTCCAGAGAGGTCGCCCCTGTTATCTCCAAATCCTCCACCTTGCAATGGGAGCACCTCAAGGCTCTCAGGTTGGGGAGATTCCGAACCTGAAGCCTCCGTACACTGAAGATCGCGCGCAGAGTCAGGCTCTCCAAGCGCGAAGCTGCGGCGATCAGATCGTTCAGAATTCGGTCGTCGGGTAACGAGACGCGCCGCAGAGTGAGCTCCCTGAGCGAGCTACCCACCCCGACTAGATCAACGCCTACAAATTCCCTGAAGCTGCAGAGCTCCAATTTCAGAATTTCCAGGCCGCCGCGAAATTGCGGGAATTGGCGGGAGGGGAGCAATAGCAAGCCTCTGGGGATGTCGTACGCCCACTGGAAGCAGAAATCTCCCAAGTATCCGCAACTAATGTCGATCTCACGGAGCGATTGGGTTCTCTCGGCGGCCAATTTCAACACATCGTCGAGGAAAGCAGAGCAGGGTCCTCTGCCCAAATTGTCGCCGGCGAACTGGTGGGCGAAATCGATCCTCACGGATCTGATGCCGAGTGGCGGGGTGGTGGTGGTGTTGTTGTTATTGCCGAACTTTGCGGCGGTGGCGGCGGCGAATCGCTCGGCTGTTTGCTTCGATCGGAATCCCCTGTCGTCGAATTCCAGGACAGGGTAAGATCGCCAGAGGTGGACCCATCTTTTGGACAGGACGGTGGCTCTAGCAGCTTCCTTTGTGGATCTCAGGCGGGCGAGGATCTGGTGGATGATGTCGTCGGCTAGGGCCGAGATCCTGTCTATTCGTACTTCGTCTTCGCCGCCGGCTACGGTGGGGATTCGCTGGGCTTCTTCTTGTTTCTCCATTGTTCGGTTTCGTTTTCGTTCGACGGCGCTACGGTGTATCCTGATCGGCGGGGGCGGCCGGTTTAGATATTTAACCTGAAGACGGGCTGGGCCTGGGATTGCTTATTTAATTTTGGGCTTCTGCTATGTGAGTGACAGGCTTTGAATTTCTTTCACTCGCTAGACAGTTTAGCAAATTAATTAGAAGAAAAATTATATACATGATTAAGTTGTTAGTTATCTCACACTTAAGTTAGAACGTTACTACTCATCCTAAAATGTAGTAGCCATTTAGTTAGATTTAAGTTTAACCACACTTACAAAATACATAATCAATATCGTTATACATTATTTTTCCAGAACGACTCTGAATTTTTTTCTTTCCGTTGAATAATGACTTTGGATTTCAATGCTTGTGTCGTGTTTTAGAATAACAAGATTCTTTAGTCTATCCTCCCAATTTGGCGATCGAATTTTATCCAATTCTCGAATGTTAAATCATTCAAAATTCAAGAACTAATATCTTCTTCGAATCGCATCTCTTTTGATTAATTTCCTAACTTAAAGTGTAGGTAAAGAATTTCTTAGTTCAGTCAGATTTTGGTATTTATATGATGGGACTGGTTACGGTGCTAATTGTACAAGAGTTAGCACCGTCCTAACCAAGGGTTAGTAGTGATTTAGCTTAGATGTTGTATTGATTTTATAATAATCCGTAGTGATTTCGTTGTTTTTAATAGCATTTTTTTGCTAGTTATCACAGTGCTAACCTCCTATAAGGGTTAGCACCTAATCCCATCCCTTATATGATTATATCTATACCCATCTTTAGAGTTAATTAAATTTTGGAGCAACACCTAAATTTGGGTATATGTAAATTTCACAGCATCTATCTCGTTGCTAAGATCCAGAAAAATTTGTTTGGATCCATACAACAGAATCTTCTAAATTGGGAATATGTATAATTGGTTGCTTACAGATGCACAAAATAATTATTAAATAATTTCTCTCTTCAAGCTTATTTTACCTTAAAAGTTCAAGCACTTGTTACGTATCAATATATATTTTCATCACCAAATAATTCGTGATATTGATATTGATTCGATGGATTATGAATGGCACTTGTGTCTTAAGAACACGATAAATTCAAAAATATTATCATACGATCGAACATTATAAAATGGTGATTCACATATTGATAAATCTTGTCCTCGATTGCTCCTCGTGAATAATTGAGATCGCATGATCTTAGTGTCTCACATAGCATAGTATAATTGGGATTAGATCAAAGAACTCTAACCCTTACCGTAAGGTAAAACAATATGATTGTCCCATGATAAACAAATGTACATTACATATCGATCGATCATATTATAGTCATCCAGAATCATTTCCTATATATAATTTTTAAAACAACATTCTTATTGTCATAATTGGGCTAGGTGGACTCTAATATACAAGGGTTCCTTCCCTTGTACAACCGATGTGGTACTTGGATTGTCCCATAAATGCACATTTTAAGAATCATTGGAGCACTTAAGAGGAGTTAAAGTCCTTATTTAGGTAAAAAGGGGAGAATTAACTAATATTATTCTTATTTGTAAAATAAAACTAATCTTATTCTTAATTCGACGGAAAATTAAAAAAAGAATATTAAATAAACTTTATACGTCGCCGTTGCAATTCCGCGCCGTATAAATAACAGAACAAAACCGCCCATTTCCTCAGTCACTTTCATTTCCAACCAATTTCCCCTTTTCCTTCTCCTCCTTCTTCACTGCAAAATCTCACTCTACTCAGAGCAAATCCCCCCCAAAAAACAGCAACAATGGCGCCGGTCAAGTTCCTCTGCAGCTACGGCGGCCGGATCGTCCCACCCCGCCACGGAGAAACCAAGCTCCGATACGCCGGCGGGACGACCAGGGTCCTCTCCGTCAACGACCTCGACTCCTTCCCCGACCTCATGTCCAAGCTCGCCGAACTCTGCGGCGAGGCCGCCGTCGAGCTCCGGTGCCCGCTCCCCAACGGCGATCTCGAGACGCTCGTTTCAATCAAGTCCGGCGAGGAGCTCGCCGCCGTCGTGGAGGAGTACGATCGGTTCTCCCCTGGCTCCAAGATTCGCGCAATTCTCACCACATCCAAGAAGCAGGACACCCTCGTTTCCCCTCCGCCGTCTGTGATTAGCGCCGGCGGTTACTCTCCCTTCAAGAAACCCGCTCCTTCTCCCTCCTTCCTCCCGCCTTCACTCGCCGTCGGGCACCCGGTGGTTTATCTGCACAACCGCGATTCGTGCGGGTTCGGGTACCGGAATTACTACCCGAATTACGCGAATGCTAATGTGGTTTCGTATTGGAATCCCGTCTGTGATTGCTTGAGCTGGCGCAATTGAGATGGAAGGGATCGCATTTGGGGGATTGGAAGATTTGGGGGAATTTTGAGGAACAAATTTTAGGGTTTTCTTGAATTCCTTTCTGCCGGCAGGAGCTTTCTAGGCCTTTCTTACCATTGTACATTTGTATATAGTACTACTAGTAAATATGAAATAACAATTTTGTACTTGATTTGTTGAACAAATTTTGTGTATGATAATGAATAAGGGTTTCGTCTTAGAGTCGAGTTTACATGTGATATGTTCCATAATAAATTTTTGTTCTCGAACGTACTTTTTATCTTATAGCAATGATGTCGATTTGGTTAGGTTACTTAGTAGATCATGTTATTTGGATGAGATCAAGTAGTTTCTCGGCTTAAGATAAAATGAAATAATTAATAGTTGAAAGTTACTTTATTTTATGGATAATTTTTTGCTTAAAAAGATTTTACATCCTATACCATTAAGATCGATTTCGTTAGTTTACTCAGCAGATCATTCGTCGAAATGGGCCATCTTACTCATAAGGATGTGCAAAGTGCAATGTGGAAAGCTTTCTCCATGTTTAGTGGCCAAGGATCCCCTTCCTGACCAAAGAGACCAGGCTTCTCATTTGATGATGAGTATGAGAAGAGATCTATACAAGGATCTCTCAAGAACAATCAGCCTAATAAGAGTATCAAAAGCTAAACTCTAATAGGAACCGAGTGTTACTGCCAAATATGGAGTCAAAAAAGGATAATGTCTTCCATAGATGCTCTTATGCTGTGTTGTAGTAATCAAAAGATTCATTCGTTGAGCTTACTCAAGCATATGAAATAGGGCAGACACCCAACAGACCAAACTACCCTAACCAACCAACACCAAGTTCTGAAAAATAACACAGTAGACAGAACAAAGCCCTCGTAGTTCGCTCGGTAGATGTTCCGTTCACGTGAGCAACTTACTCACGAGTAGTAAGCAGCTCGCCTCAACCATCGAGACTCGAAAGCATGGATGATGCAGCTCACTGCGAGCAACTCTATCAACATACACGGAACAGGTCAGACAGATCAGCCTGAACAAGAATAGAAGATGCACAATGCTGAAAGATTCCTTCATAGTTCGTGTCCGGGAATCCCGGGATCTAAGAACAATCATCTTAATAAAGAGTATATCATAAGTCTCAGTGTGAACTGCAATATGCAAATCTGATTGATATAGTAGTAGGAAGAGTACATTACACTGTTTTGCTGCTGTCCAACATAAAAAGTAAGATTACAAAAGAAACCTTGAGGAACAAGAAATGTTTTTGCTGCTGCAGCTGCTGCTTTTTTCAGACACTTTATACTTCTGGAATTCCCCCTTTCCCACCAGACATTTTGACCGAAGGGGGAATTAACTTATGATCTTGAATAATACAGGAAACCAATCATCAAATAAACAGGAACCCATTATGACAATATGACAAAGACCCCTCTCCCTAGACCTCACCAGCAATTAAATTAAAGAATTAATTCAAAAAAGAGTGAAAAATAAAACTTCCCTCCCATGTAAAAACTAAATAGTAAGAAAGAAAAACCCAAATGTTCCTTCCCAACTCCCACAAGATATCTACACCTCCACAGACTAAACAAGACTCAAACTCTGCCCTTCTCCTCCCCTTCCTCAGCCAAAAATTTTGATTCACAACACTTTGTAACACACCCCAACCTTGCAGCTCAAGCAAAGTAGTTTTCACTCACCAAGCTGCTTCATCTGCACGACACCATTTACTCTTATCAGTTGCAGTTCAACCCACAAACCTCCAACACAGGTCCATCCCGGTTCACGAATGGGTTGACACGGACCCACAACAAGGTCAATATTGACGACAACAGAATCGACCACACCAGGATGATTGTCGGCATCTTGTTCTGCTTCCCCAAAAGACCCTTGAGGAAAGGGTAGAGATGTACAATCACCCATATGGCAAAGAACAGCCGACCAAAGAGAGGGCCCCATGAGTCATAACCATTGTTTATTGCATCGGAGATGCCAACCACGACTCCTATCACGTTCATGATCAGGAGAGTTGTGGGCGGAACCAAGAGAGACGTCCACTTGAATATGTAGAGCTCAGAGAATTCTCCATCGTCGGCTGCCTTTGATGTGACGGTAAAGTTTGTGCTCACTCCGGCTAAGACCTTGAGGAGACCTTGGAAGAGGGCAAAGAGGTGAGAGGAGACACCTCCAATCACCCAAAACTGCTCGTTCCTCCACAAATCATCGAGGCCTACTCCGCCCCATTGCATCTCGAGGATGCTTGTCACAGCGATGGATATGAAGAGGGCCATGAAGACAATACTGGCGTAGTTGCTAATCTGTTAAGAAAAGCGCAATTAACAATGTGTTTAGATGGCTCAAATCGTGGACAAGGGTAGAGATGTAAAACACAGAAGCACTATCTAAACTGCAAGCATTCACATAATAAGTCAATCGAAATCGTAGGTTCCAAACGACTCCCAGAGACCCTAAAAGCTTCGACAAAAGTTGATAAAATCTAGTGCACAGGTTTGGGGTTTTACCTCAGGCACAATGAACTTGCCAGTGAGAAGGCAGATGGCTGGCAATGTACAGTAAACCAACAGTGGAAGGGAAGTCCATGGATAAACAACAGAGTTTATGTATGAAAACCGCTCCAACCACTTCAGGCCGCCACCATATCCGTACCAAATTGGACAATGTTTGCTGAAGAAAATCTCTACCGATCCAAGAGCCCACCGAAGAACTTGATGCAATCGATCTGACAGATTGATAGGAGCTGAACCTTTGAATGCAGGCCTTTTCGGGATGCAGTAGACCGATCTCCACCCGTGGCAATGCATCTTGAACCCGGTCAAGATATCTTCCGTAACTGAACCATAAATCCAACCGACCTGGATCAACCAAAAATAAAACAAAAAGTCAGATAGTTTCGACAAGAGGATAGTAAGATGATCGAACAGTTTAAAACTCGATTTTCGTCTTACTTCTTTTCCCCAGTCGGATTTGTCCTCGTACCCACAACTGATGACTTGGATCGCCTCCCGGAGTAAGGAAGCTGGGCTTGCATTTCTAGGAACTCCACCATTTTCCAAAAGAGTTGCAGCAATGAACACCGGAGACTGTCCGAACCTCTTCTCTAATTTAGTTTGGGATTGCTCCGTTGACTTCACTGGTTTTGATACTGAAACCAGAAAATCAGTTAGATTGCACATGATCGATGATTTCTTCAGCACCAAGTAAAAATTTCATCGAACCAAGCTTCACTAAAATGGCATAGATCTCATACCTACTATTCCTTGTTCAATATTTTCAAGAGCATGGATCTGCTTGGATGTTTCCCTATTCTTTGACTTCTTGTTGTCCTTAGCCTTCAATGACTTCTTCTTTCTGGACCCGCAGAAAAGACAGCACCATTTTGGCCAGCAGTTGCAGGTTTTTCCAGGTGGCTTCTTTGTGACAGGTGCATCATATCCATATAGTGCGTGTCTCCGGAAAACACACCCGGTACCCACATAAATCGGTCCTTGTAAACCATCTAAACCTTTCATGTTAATCTGATTATACCATTAGCATGAGTTAGCTTCCACCACTGAAGTCGAAAAGAACCATAAACTGAAAAGTGCATAGAGAGATATTACTTACATCAAAGAAGACTACATTCCTATTGGAGTATCGATCGTGACGATCAATGCCATCGAACCTTTGTGGAAACTGTACATAGCAAACTTTCTTCCCTGATGTAGGGTCCATCATGAAGCACATTGCTTCTCTGAGTGCTTTGCTGTTGTTAATGTAGTGATCACAATCGACATTCAGAAGATAGGGAGCATTCGACAGAACTGCTGAGACTCGTACCTAGATCAAACAATCACAAAGCAACCAGCAAAGGCTTATCAAGTTCTTGATCGTACTTATCACAACATGGAAAAAGGACACCTGCTGGGTTCATAGACACATGGCTTTGGAGTCTTACCAGTGCATTCATAGCTCCAGCCTTCTTATGATGTTCAAACCCAGGTCTTTTCTCACGAGAGACGTAGACTAAACGAGGTAACTCATTTCCTTCAACATCACGAACACCACTTTGGCCAAGGAATACCTGAAAACGAGAGAGATCTATATATAAGTAAACTGTATATCAGAATCCGTGGAGTGGATTCAGATGGTTATGGGCTGAGGGCTGGAAAGTAAAGTGCGATAAAGAAAAGGGTTCTCAGTAAGTAGAGATGGGAATGGAAAAAAACAATCCTCTCACCTGAATCATGCCAGGATGGTCCCGCACACTGTTTCCAGGCCATGGAGTTCCATCTTGCATCGTCCAACCATCTTCTGGAACCTTCAGTGCTGTTGAAACCAACCCATTTATCCTAACCTTAAATTCTTCATAATCTCTCTGCAATTATCAACAAAAGGGAAACGCATAAACAAAGATATGCTTTAGTTGAGGTTTACATAAAATGAAAGGCTTATATGTGGAACTTAGGAATGAACATTTTCTTCTAACCTTCATAGCACGCCTTTCCCTAACAAAAGACGGATGAACTTTGTTCTTCAAGTAATCCATCTTCTGACAGAAGTACCACTCGGGAGCTCGAGGCTCGATATTGAACTTCTTACAGAAAGGAACCCACTTCCTCGCAAATTCAGCTGTCTCGGAGAGCGCTTCGAATGTAAGCATAGCAGCACCATCATCAGAAACATAGCATGCAACTTTTTCAACAGGGTAGTCAACCGCAAGAATAGAGAGAACTGTGTTTGCAGTGATGAGTGGAGGTTCTTTCAGGGGGTCCACTGTACTGACAAAGACATCTACACTGGCTAACTGTGATGGTTTGCCTTCCTTCTCGTATCTAAGTGAGAGTCTATCGAGATATGTCTCTCGTTCTATAGGGCACCATTTGGGGAACTGGTCGAGAATCCACGAAACAGCAAACCATATCTCACAAATAACTGATGTCAGCCATAAAGCATAGGCATCCTTGACCGGATGGAGAATACGGTAGTGGAAGAACAAGCCCACAACGGCGAGTCGCACAATGATGACCAGACGATACGGACTTATCTTGCTAGAAGGAATTGGTAGCTTCCTCGAGAGAGGCTGCCTGCCTTCATCCATCCTGACCAAAGTAACATCAAGCAAATGAAGGAATCAGTCAGAACCTACAATGGTTGACAGATAAAGAAGACCTGAAGGAGAAAGTTATCAATTGCAAACTCACATTGGCAAATCAGGATCATCGAGTTCATTCCCATCAAAGCTTCCCCCGTCATTTTCTCCTTCATGCTTGACCACCTGAAGTTTATCACTTTGCCTTCTCTTCCATTCCTCCATTCTGTCCTTCCATGCTACACTTCCATAACCATAGACTGCTGTATCCTTCTGAGGAACCATGGGTCTCGGTTGCACTATAACAAAAGAAAACGCACAGTGAATAGCAAGCTACTAATACAGATCAAAGAAACAGAAGCTGAGGGGACAAAGGCTTACGAGGAATAGATGGATCGGTGTAAGGCACTGGATGGACTCGGTTGGCATGATGACCCATGTGCGGAGGAACTATAAGAGCATGTCTATCGGAAGAAATATCAGCATCCTGTACACCAAGAAAAGCCAAGATGGAGTAAGGCAACTGCATTTGGACAATTAATGTGTGAGCTGAGAATTAAATTGGACGAACTAACCTCCTCTCCATAGGTCAAGAGAGGAACTTTAGCACCAGGGGGTGAAGAATCGAAATCCGTGGGAATGCCATTGCCATTAAGATGTGATCCACGACCAGTGTTGAGACGTGCAGCAAGCATTAACTCCGCAACTTGTTCAGGGCTCAACCCTTCAAAATCAAACTCGTGTTCCAAATCATCAATGTCATCTTCTTCCTCATCCCCTTCCACCCTGGGACTACCTGCAAGAGACATAACCACCATAGTTACTTACAAACATAGCTCAAATCATCTCCGGGAAATTTTTTAAAATGACAAACACAAGCAATATATCTAACCCTTAAGACGTTTGTATCTCGTTCTGCACTGAGGGCAAGCCTGAGTCCCCTCTCTTCTTTCATATTCGTAGCAAGGCCTGCAGACAGGGAAAGCACATTCATTGCAAGCAACAAATGGCTCCCCATCCACAGTGATCTCAATCTCATCACCACATATCTGGCACACCTGCCCGCTCAATTCTTGCACGGATCGAATCTGTTCATGAAAGCGAAATTATGACACAAGTGTGAGCACCATCTCTGGGGGAAAACATAACAAATACGAAGTAATGGAAATATAACACTGTACTAAGGCTACATCTTCTATAGACTATGACCTGAATGAATTCTGCAACTCAACTTGCTAAATATCGACTAACTTTGTTCCACTCCAACAAGGAATTTGACTCTGTCTCTCTCTAAGACATCAACAAGAGATCTATCTCATTGTTCTTGCCGACAAGTTTTGGCACCGTACACAATTTTGGCTGATCTAAGAGAATGGATGACTGGAAAATCCATGATGTAGTGATTTAAGCAAAACTCCAACCAATAATCTTCCAAATTACATAGGGGGGAATCTGAGAGCATCCTCAATTTGGTACAAAGTCAGACCTCAAGATTAGTAAAACTAATTCCAAGCATTCTGGAGTGTCTATCAAAGCCAATTCACCACAATTGTCCATTTCACTAGTTTCCACTACTCCCACCCACCCAAGGAATTACAGTGAGTAATAATCTGTCTCAATCTACCTTTCCCTTTTATCATAGAACCAGATAATTCACACTGAAAAGACAGGATTTTTTTTATAGGCAGGCCACTAAAACCACAAATCTGAAAGTGGTGAAAGATTCCCATTCCGTTACAGGGAAGAAAGCAACACAGAACAGATCAGAAATCAGTAATAAAAAATGAACAATTCCCAAATCCCAATCAAACCCAGAACTCAGATTTCCATAAAGGGATTCTGAGATGGAGAAGGTGAAGGTGAAGAAGAAGAAGAAGAAGAAGAAGAAGAAGAAGAGAAAAAAGGCTCTTACTCTGGCATTCTCATCTGCATTAATGAGGACGAACTCATTCCTGTTGTGAGAACCAGCAATCAGCCGCCCTCCAGTGTTCATTTGGGTTAACCTTCAACTCCTTCCCGAATCCGAACAAAATCCGTTACGGGAAAGGAAACAAATTCCACCGATTAGGTCGACCGCCGGTGAGTCAACTCGCTGCAAGTGAAAAGCTTCGAACTTTGCATCTCAAACTCCAAAACCCACATTAGCTAGAAAGAGCACTCCCGCTAATTGAATCGGGTTTTCGCCCGGTTTTAGTTCCCCCCGAGTCCACAGAGAGACAGACAGTAAGGCCGAAACCCCAAAGTCGCTCTCTTTCTCTCCAACTGAGAGATGGAAGATGGGAGATTGAGAGAGAGAGAAAGCGTGTGTGTGTGTGGGTTTGTGAGAGAGAGAGGGGGAGGAAGAGGAGAAGAAGAAGAAGTGGGGAGAGGCAGAGAAGAGAGACAGGTAGATCCAGATAGGTACTAGCAGTGTACAAGTAATTAGAGCTACTGAACGCCAAACAGAAAATTAAAGAGAGAAAAAAAGGCAACTATTTAGAATTTCCCACAAATTTTTATATTCAATTATTAAAAACCCAACTTGACAAATTAAATTAACCATAATAGTTCAGCAAAGATGAATGCAAAAAAAATACTCATTGATAAGTTGTGTGTAACACGAATTCTACATTCCAACAATTCAAATTACAACTTTATATGTGACTGAAATGTAACATCTCTCGACTTGGATATCTTCAGTAGGTGAAATGACGTTGGTCAACCATTTTATGCTATGTATTCTTATAACTTGAAAGTTAATTCTATACTCGATAAGTTTCATGAATTATACATAAATTAACTACGTTAATTAGTTATAATCTAAATTAATTCATTAGATAGTGGATTGAAATGAAAATGAAAAAACAAAACACAATAAAGATGTGGGTCCGAGAATGTGACGGTGGCCCTGTCTCTCTCTCTCTCTCTCTTCTCAGTGTCTGCCGCAACAGCTGTTGGGCTGTGTCCTGTCTCCAACTCTCTCTCTCTCCCCTCTCTCTCTCTCTTGCCATTCCTAATTTCCAAATTTTTATGGTAATTAAATAGTTTTTTGAGGCATTCCTTTGAATCCGTGGTATAAGAAAGTGTCGGTGCCCCATGTTTATGTGAAAATAGTGGTGGTGGCACCAAGAACCAAAATGCCAATAATTGATACCCACTTCGAAATAAGAAAACAAAAAACAAGACCACAAAAAGGGATCTTGGTTGTTGCCCTTGTTCATTCATTTCATGGTTATATGGATACAATAAATGAAATGAATTGGAAGGAACAATAATTACTACTAGCTAGGGGGTGTTGACTCATATTAAAAATAAAATAAAAACATTTATGGATCCATGAAATGGGGAGGGTAGATTTAAATTTGAGATCTTGATCTACGAATGTGGTTTTGTTTTGTTTGGACGATATGGTGGATCGTGAATCCTTGTTATTTTTCTTCTCATTTTCATGACTATTGAAATTAAGATTAGTTTTGTTATGAGTTCATAGGATTTATGTACGTAGTTTGATGATAAAGGAATATAAAAGATGTGTTGTGATTCGTATTGTTCTCTTTCTGTTATGTGGAGAGATTGTTGTATGTATTGCTGTCCTTTGGGGGCTGCTTCGACCATCACCAACGTAAGAGCTTTGGGGATGATAGCGATACAGTTGTTCATGATGAAGCTTGAAGGGGGTGTAACTACGACAAGGAGCTAACTCATGTACAAGTAACAAGATACCAATATCTCAAGCTCGCATGGGGAGACGGGATTCATAGTCACGGGGTGGTTTTTTGCTTGTGGATTATTCAATTGTCATGTATGTTACCATAATAAAAGATAGCAAATGACTGAAATTGTATTATTAGAAACCATAATCTTAACGAATAAATGTTATTCCGACGTATTAAATTCCATATGAAATGAATCATCTAAAATATTGTATTGTGTTTGGAATGCTACTCTACATCAATCGAGGGAAGGGTAAAGTTGAAAGGGTTGGATTATTGCTTCTATAAATATGGTTATTCTTTCTAAATATTTTTTTACAGTAAATTATTCTTTCTATACAAGCATCATTTTTTTCCATCTTGATTTCATGGTTTTCATGATTAGGTAAAATAGTAATTATTACACACTTAACTCTTTTTAAGGTGTCGTTGTCTCTCGAAAAATGCCAATTCCTAATATTAAACAAAATCATTTCATTTTTTAGTAAAATACCAATAGCAAATTCATTGTTTGCTAGCTAAACTACTTAATATATTGTTTTTGTATTTTATCGATGAAAGAACTAATTCCCCCACTATACCCACAAGGTCACAATCCCCAACCCATGTGGGAGAATAAAAGTATGAGAAAGAAATATAACACGAAATTATTACCCAAAATACTATTTATTATATTCTTTAGCATGATCTCACCCAACTAATTAATCTAATAATTAATCCAAAAGCTCCATAAATGATTACAAAGGTCCACGTGGTTTCGACACATTGGGTTTAATTAACCTTTTGCTATAAATAAATCTTCTTAATTGGTGTCACTTTTATTTTCACCTTTTTTCATGTTTGTCTGTACACACGACGTAGGACTGAAGGAAAATAATAAGTAATAATTCTTTTTACACTCATTACTATTTGGTCCATTCTCCTCCACTCAAGCTCTACCAATTGGTGGTAAAAAAAACTCACTTTCCAATTAGTTAAAACTGTATCAATTAATTAATTTAGTTAATCAAGATTTGGGGTGAGTGAGCTCATGATTTTACTATGATGATGATCATCATTGATCAATCGATACTTTCCTTGGAGGCATGCCATGTGTATAGAAGACTAAATTACTCTAATTGACATGGATACAAGTATTGAAGTCATCTTTTACCTAACTTGAATTGGACACAATCTACCAACTACTATCATTACATTTTAAGGTTTTAAATGAATTTTTGCATGAAATAAATAGAGATAAATTTGTTGATTGACCATAAAAAGATAGATTGGGAGACAAAAATTGAGAGAAAGCTAAATTCTTTTTTATATGAACAAATGGGTTGTACTCATAAAAAAAAAGAGTTACTAGCAACAGCCTTGCTAGTTATGCAATAGTGTAATGTTCGAATCTGATTTCTATCAACTATATCCCTTCTATGTGACTAAAGAACCTGGAACAAAGCAAGAAACTCTACCTCAGGACTACAAAGCTAAATTCTTACTATAAAGAATGTTACTCAAAATTTAAGGAAATGACAGGTGAAGCTAAATCTGTGTATCATAAATCTTGATCACACTTGCAACGAAAAGAACTTTCTTACTATGCATACTTTACATCTTTTTCTCAATTATATTTTTTCTTGCTTCTAATTTTTCACGTAGCTTATTTTTTCATTCTCGAATTAACACTTTACGTTACCATTTACACACTATCTAAATCTTATATAATTGTTGTATTTTGTCGTAATTGTGATAAATATAATACCAGATTGTTGTACTAGATTTGAAATAGCATATCAAAGATGTAGCCTCAACAACTCTATTATGACTTATAAACATTTCTGTCATAAATTCTACATGATTTCACCTATTAAAAATGTACTTGTTCGCCGTTACTAGACCTATTTAGTTCTAACTTTTGCACACCATATTCACACGTTTATGACTCACATTTTTTTTTTTATAAGGAATTGTATGAGTTTATACTTTTTGTGGTTAGATACTATTTATAAGATCGAACATGAGATCTCTAGATTCAAAACTAGTGGTACTCTCTTCACATTTTACATCTTCGAGAGATCAAGTCATGTGTACATGGTAATTTCTTCACATATCTTCATCTATTATTCCATTTCCTTTTTTTCATGTGTGTAATACCCTAAGGTTGTGGGGTGGGTGGATTTGATTAGTGGGATATTTGTAAATTCGTGGCTTGGTTTTGTGGTTATGTGAGGCTGTGGGACTGAAGGGGGAACCGACGATAAGCAAAGCAAAGGCCTAAAAAAAGGCCATTGCAAGAGGACACAACAGAATGATAGAGAGAGGGAAGATGAACAAGACTTGTTCCTTTTCTTTTGATGATAGAGAGAGATTCACAGCTGTTGCTTTGGATTATAAATAAACGGAAAAGGCAACAAACAAACTAGATGGATGGAGTGAGAAAGTGTCGGTAGAGACTTGTTAAGACTTTAGAGAGAGAGAGAGACTGAGACTGGGATCTTGAGATTATGATTGCCAGCCCTCCCTTATTTGGTGCAAGCTAATACGAATTGATCACCCATTATAACAAGTAGGGCTGCCAAATGGGGAAAGTTAATCTGCTAACTTGAAAATTCGTTAGCAGATACTAACTGATATCCAAAATACATGAACTAGTATCCAAGTACTAAAGTATCTAGAGAGCACAGACTAGTATTCAAAGTTTGCTAACTGATATCCATCATGAATCAACTATTATCACAAATTCACAAACTAATATCTAGACACCACAGAATAGTATCCATATAACACAAAATTAGTATCCCGATAACACTTAAGAGTATCCAGATAACACATAAGAGTATCCATATTGAATACTAGTTGGTTGATTGTGGATATTAGTTGGTATCTGCTATCTGGATACTAGTTTGTGATGTTTTAAATACTAGTATGTGTTATCTAGATACTCAGCAGACTTGGATATTAGTTCATATATTTTGGATATTTGTTGGTATATACTAACAAATTTTCAAGTTAGCAGAATAACTAGGCTGCTGCCAAATGGTTATGTTTTTTTTTTGTTAACCGAACTGCAATCGTGTCGTTAGTGATTAATCGTAAACCGCTTAAGAGGGTTCTTAAATGAGAATGAAACAGAATTAGGCAAAACGAATACGAATTTTCAGCATACGCTTACATGTTTATGGATGGTTTTGCTAAAATGAAAATATACATTCACCTATACATGTGGCTATTTGGCCTCTTGATATCATGCTATCACAGTTATCACTCACCTCCTACCAGCTTGAAAACCACTCATTAGTCATATTATGGATCAGCCCATCGCGTCAAAGTTGGCCACCTTAATTTGATTGGCCTTTCTCTTTGGCTCCATCTAGGTCTTGCTAATTAAGCTTTGATTTATTGATATTTGGCTGTGTGCAAATCGGTCCCTTAACAGCTAGTTTTGCTAGCTGTCGGTTTGGGATTGCTTTGTTCTCCCCTCCCAACCACCTCTACTCTTATATATGCAAAACAGCTAGTAATTCCCCTTAATGCATCAGATTTTATCAAAACTTTGAAGTTAAAATGTGATTGGAAGAGAATTGTACAAAGATGGGTACCACCTTGGAAAGTCTTTGTGTTGCACCACTTTCAAAAGCAATAAAAGAAGGACTTGTAGTAATAATGATATCAAGAAAGTACAGTGAACTAGTGGTAACAAATGCCTGAACTCCGATAATACTTTTTGAAAGTCTCATTTTCCTCTTAAGTTTCTTGTTCGTTTAATGTTTTCTATTTATCTGTTGTAATTAAGGTATAGCCCACGAATTTTAGGTTGTTGTTCGAAGAATATGGGACAATGCTGTTGTTCTTTCACTAAACAACTCGGTTTGGATTGCTGAAAAATAAAGTTAGTCAATCATAGGTTAATTTTGTTACTTTTGAATGGTGTAGCCCTTAAGTAAGTATAGACAAATTGGTTATTGGATTAGGCTAATGATAAAAGTTATTGTTGAAGCCTCATTGCTCTTACTAAGCCGACCTTGAGTAAACCCCTCTGGTCCTACCTGAATCGTCCTTGGGCGTATGAACATATCAACAAATGGCCTTGTCGACCCGATAGTATAATGACGATAAGTTAGAGGGTGATATTCTAGAGAGATAAATGCATGTGATGTGTGAGAGAATCAGACCTTCTCAAAACGTGACTGCATTCCCACTATTCAAAGTCGAGATTACTCCAATTTTTCCTACTATTTCACCAGTTGATATGAAGATATTTAATGCTCTATACTTCAAGTTGATCGTGCGCCTCGACAGTAAAGTATTGTTGCAGATCAAAACGGGCGCATGACGTATTACTCACTATTGGCGATTGGTGTTGTATCACGTCCCTATTATAAGTGGGCCACACCATGACACTAATGGGCGGGCTTGTAGGCCTTTTCTTGTTTTTTTTACAAATGAATTCGGTCACTTTATCATAAGTCTAAAAGCTACGATTTCACAATTAATTAATTTCTGATAGGTCTCATATTTCACTCAACTACAATGGTTTAAAATGAATGCCACATATAATTATCTTATAGATTTTTCCATGTGCGTTGCACTTTCACCATACAAAACGCATCTTCCCATTTGACTTGCTTCCTTTGTATATAGTTAGTTCCCAACACCTTTCACTATGGCTAGAAATACACAATCACATCATGTCTCGTGACTACTAAGTACTAACTATTGAGCTAATAAGACAGTAATCTGTGACCCAAGGGAGGGACGAATTTACTACGACGTTTGTTTGTAAGACGAATAAGGTATGTAGATTGAAAGGGTAACTTCAACTTCAATAGATAGAAAGTTGTTTTGGCTATTTTTGGGTCTAGTCCTCTAAATAGGTCATCATGACTCAACGGTCATGTGGTTTTGGTTAGCCTTGAGCAATGGTTCGTCTCAAACCAAACCGGATCGAATTCAACTTATGTTGTTGATTGAATTGATTGGATTAGTGTATCTATATCGGTGACAAATAAATTGAATTTATGAATTGGTGGATTAATGAAGGATTGGATTAAATGGATTGGATTGAATTGAATTGGTGGATTCACGGATTCAATTGGCATCTAAACCTTGGACTATCATGTAAATTTTGAAAAGTTCATGCATTAAAATGTCATTATAAAAATTTTAAGTACCAAAAAATATTTCCTGAATGATATATTATGGTAAAAATTTAAATTTAGGTATCGAATTGTAGGTACTAAACTGTAATATTTCAAATATACATGAATTCAATTTATGGATAAAAAAATCCTATTCAATTTTGAATAAAATGGATTGGGGTTGTGGAAAAACTCGAGATTAGTTCAATTTTTTAGAGGGTGGATTGAATTTTTATTTAAATTGCCACCTCGTATAGTTTGATTAGTTACGATTCTAAAATTCCAATTATATAAGTTGCTTTTTTTTTTAACTTGAATTGTTAGGAGAAATTTTATATAAGGTGTTATATCATTTTTTGCGTGATCCTCATACGAATGTCAATCTATGTATTTGAAGTTGCACAGTTCCGTCATACCATATACGTAAATCAACAATTAATACAAAGAGTTCGAATATGTAACTCTTTGTAAAAGAAACTCTCATATCATTCAAGATATAATAATTCTCAATAATTCGAGTTATCAAGAAAAACCTAATAAAGAATCCAACATCATTCCCTTGATGAAACCAATTTGGTTAGGATCTTATGAAATTGGTCATGACAATGTGGGTTTCCAAACTTGAATAGCTCCTTGAAACAGTCTTTGTTATATCAAGCGAAGATGGGCCAATTAAAGAACGTAAGCCCGTTACGGTTTACATAGCCCAACCCATCAATCAAGCAGGCCCTTATAATTTGTGTTGCATTGTTTCGTTCTACTCGCCGGCCTGGCGGAATCTCATCATCGCCAATATAACAATGCCACGTGGACAGATTCCGTGCCACAGAGAACCCACCAGAGAGACCCTTTTTCTTTCATTTCTTCATCAGTCATCACTTCCGTTTCCTTTCTCCCAAACAAGACGGAAGAATAAAGAACAGAAGGATCATCTACCCGCTGAAAATCCAGTCTTTCTTTCCCTTCAACCGTTTTCTTCTTTGGGTTCCCTCCACAATGCGAACCATGGTAATCAACTTGCGCCACCTCCCATCTCCGCCCTGCATCGCCGCCTCCAATCTCCACCACCACTTCTCAACTTCTTCTTGTTCACCGTCCACCTCTTTTTCTTCTTCTTCCACTACCTTCCTCTGCCGCACTAAGCGCTTCCACTTCCTGTCCCCTTGCTCGTCCCTGAAGCAGACGCGGAAGAAGCCGCAGCAGCAGAAGAATGGAGCTCCTCCTCAGAGCTTGCGGTGGTTCTTGAGCCCCAAGGGGGACGATGAAGACGAGGGAGGAGGTGGGAAGAAGGTTGTTAAGGGCGACGGCGGGGACGGAGGAGGAGGTGGGTTGGAAGGGGATACGGCGATGAAAGGGACGATTCTTGCTGGGATTTTGCTTGTGGGAGTCGTTGGTGGGTTCGGGACTGTTGGGTATGTTTACAGGGATCAAATCAATGCGTTCTTGAATCAGTTCTCTGGGTTTATTGAAGGTGAGAGTCTTTGATTGTGACCCGTTCTCAAATTCCTGTTCATCTTGCTTTCGAAATGCTCTGTGATTTGATGAAATTTGTGCATCATGGGGTGAATCGGTAGTTGAATGCAGGAATCTCATTGTAGGAATTTTCTTGAATTGGGGAGTTCTTGGGAAGTCTGGAACCAGTGGGTTGAGAATGCTTGAGAAATTTGTTGCCAATTGATCGAAAGTCTTGGGAATTGAGTCAAGAATTATCCTTCAATTCTCGTTTTCAGTTCCAGTATTTAGCTAGTGAAAATGGACGGCAGCTGCAGGTGCCTTTCTAGTTAGTTTTCCTTTGAGAATGGTTTGGTCCCATCCTGATGAAGTTTGTTGGACTGGTTTGCAATGTAAATGACCTTCCGATCTCCAGTCTGCCTATAGTTCCCTTCCCTTCCATTGATCTTTTGGTTTTGCTTTTCCTTGCTCGATTCAGTTTGATGTTTTGCTAAATTCTGGGGCATGGAAGATGCTCAGTAATTCTTCACCGCTACTCATTAAAGAAAGCCTTTTCGTATTAAGTTCTTTGGTTTTCTTGTGAACAGGCTATGGAACAGCCGGATATGCTTTGTTTGTGGCAGTATATGCAGGCTTGGAGGTATGCGCTCATTCTCTTATTTAGGCCTTAATCAATTCAGTTTCATGCATCTAGTGAGATCTATGAGAAGTTCTTCGTGGTTGTCATAGTTCATAGATTCACGATACATGTGAGGATTTGGACACCAAATTTAGCATATCGCTATAATTCCATGTAAATGTTTTGTGAAGTTCTGCATACTGAGAGCATGTTCACGTGGTATATGAATGACCCAAGTTATGATTTCCTGAAACTGACTTAAGATTGTGGTGCTAGATTCTTGCAATTCCGGCAATCCCATTGACGATGTCGGCTGGTCTTCTTTTCGGACCTCTTGTTGGCACCATCATAGTCTCAATAAGTGGAACAGTAAGTCGGATTTATTTTGTCTGTCTTGAAGTTCTACCGCCATGTCTATAGACTTTTGCACTCCCTTACAGTCTTTTGCATCCATGTCAGGTTGCAGCAAGTATTGCTTTTCTAATTGCTAGGTATTTTGCGCGCGAGAGAATCCTAAAACTTGTTGAAGGAAATAAGAAGTTTCTTGCAATCGACAAGGCAATTGGCGAAAATGGCTTCAGAGTAGTCACGCTTCTTCGATTGAGCCCTTTGCTCCCATTCTCCCTCGGAAATTACTTGTATGGATTGACATCAGTCAAGTTCGTGCCGTATGTTATGGGGAGGTATGCTGTTCTGCCACTCAATTCTAGTTCTTATGATAGCTAAACCATATAGATGGAAGACCTGAAACTCTTATGACTTTTCGGTTTTTATCCATCTTCAACTTGTGTAGTTTTGTCATAACTAAGTTAGATTCAACATCGAATGCAGCTGGCTCGGGATGCTTCCAGGCACATGGGCCTACGTGAGTGCTGGTGCATTTGGCCGCGCTATAATTGTGAGTCTGCTATTTCTTTCTAACTTCTTTGTACAAAGTGGTATCGCAGCTCGGTAGAGAATTATGAACTTATTGGTAGACTGGTAGTAATCATTAGACGAATAGACGTGCCCTGAAGGCTTTTGTTTAACATGTGAGTTGCTCAACACTGATATTAGTGAAGTTTTACCTCTCAAATCAAAAACGTTTTCATCATCTTAAGCTGTTAAGAAGGCATGTGGATTTGTGTCAATATAGCAGAATCACCGAAATGCTTGCCTTAAAAGGGTCATTCCCTATCTGCTATTCTGCTTGTTTTCTATAACACAGGTTTCTTTTGCCTATTTTCAGCAAGAAGAATCTGAGATTGGGTTGACTGGAGGAGGAAATTACGGTCAGCTATTGACACTTGGGCTGGGATTGCTTGCAACAGCATTTGCTGCAGCTTATGTAACACGGCTCGCCAAGGTGACCAATCCCTCCTCTCTCAGTGCTTAATCTGAATTCTGCAACGCTCGTTGCAACCGTTAATAACTTCTTGTGTTTGATGCAGGATGCTGTGAAAGACATTGACGAATGACATTACACTGTCAAGAGTTGCTGCAGAGGAGATCGAGTAAGGAGGATGAATGAAATTAGACAGTTAAAGAGTTGCTGCAGAAGATAGATGGGAAGTTGTGAATCACAACTGATACCTTCCCTGAATATCCATGTAAAGATCGCAATTGTATAATTTTGGTTCCTTATAGCTTTCAGTGAAAGGAGTAGTTAAATGAACGGCCAATTTGTGTAAATGAGAGTTCACATTTGGTTCCATATCTCATAACCCTTTTCAGTGGGGAAACAGGAGGGTACTGACCCACAATCTCCTCTGACGAAACACTCAACATACGAACAATGCTCGAGGCAAGGATAATAGGATGCTTGAAAACATGATATAATGTTGAAATGTTGGATGGATTCTAACAGGTTTTTCACTTTTTCACCTTGCAAGAGAATTGAAATAAATGATATATACAGGTTGCACTATTCCGAATTTCATCTGTGTAGGATCCAAATGGCATTGTTCATATGTACACTACGAAACCATGCAGGAGCTATATTGGCTGAAGTCCGGAAAAAGACTTTTACATGACCCTTTCCTAATAGCCCCAACACACAGAAAATCATTTAGACTGTAGTTCCCTTCATTCCAAGCAGACAAAGATTAAGTTCGTGTTCTAGATCACATTTCCCCTCAAGTCATTCATCTACCGTCATCAACAATTCAACATCCAACACAAATTACAAATCGTGCATAAGCAATTCAACAATATACACACAAGAACTAAGAGCACTAATTAAGCATTAGAAAGGTCTAATAAGCACTGCTCATAACCGTTCCCCCCTTTTTGCGAGAAGCTGTCGTTTCGTTGCGGCACTTCTTTTGGAAGGCGATCGAGTGAGTTCCTTAGTCAGTTGTTTCACCGTGACATTGCACAAGTAGGCGGTCTACGCTTTTTGCAGTAGAAGCTCCTAAACTTTTCAGGAATATCTTCCAAACTGCAAGTAAGAAACAAACCCTAACTCTCCTTAGTCCTTCCTTAACATAAAGGGAGATTTCAAACTCGATCAACAAAAGTTGCACTACAAACACAAATGGTTTCTGGAGGAGCAAATTAAGAAAACCATCCATTAATGAATTACCTCTCACTAGGCGGAGGTAATGGGGGCAGCCGACGGTAAGTCACCCCCTTCCCGTGCTTAAATCTGTCGTCAGGAGGGTGATAGAGTGGGATAGGACTCTCAGGGTCACACTCTCCACACCCTTTCCGATTGTGAGAATAATCGCCTAGCAAAAGAACCACCATTAACAACATGTACATACAAACAGGATTAGAGTAATTCAACTCGATCGAGTCAAGTAAAAAGAGACCCCAACCAGGCATTGCAAAAAGAGAACTAGTTCATCATGCATATATGCTATAATTAAACCACAGAAGGTTGATTGATTGATAAAGAAAATGTGCATATACTAGTTACCTGAATCTCCTGGTTCTAGGATGCAGAAAGAGACCAAGATAGGGTCAACGTCAAAAGTTAATTCTGCAAAAACCAGATGGATAGTGCCATCTTTGTCCTTGGCTCTCAAGTTGACATGTACGTGCATGGGAATACATGGTATCACCCGAAAGCTCATTACAGCTTCCACCAATGTCAGCTTAGCCTCCTGAAACATTTTTTTTTGTGAGCATACAAACCACCAACTATACACGAGCAAGCATGGATTTCTATTGATTGATTTCATACATGCATATAAATATATAATAATAGACATACATTCATGAACAAAGAAAATGCATGCGTACCGGATTGTCTCGATTGTAGGACTCTAGAGCCTTTTCAGCATAAAATTGGGTCTGCTCTTCCTTACTGTTAAACCAATCTGCTGCGCTGTTACGACGTAACAAAATCACAATTTCTAGTTATTCATTAGCATCAGTATTGCATGTATATACATACATACATAAGTGGAGGGAGAAAGGAAAAGAATTAGACTCCTTACAGATACGGCAGCCCCATATTTTTCAATGGCTCCATACTAAATTCCCATGGCGGCTGATTCTCGCTCCCTGCAGCATTCTTGTTTGGCACGAATAGTCTCTTATCCATCTCCCGCACCAGTCTAATTACATCTTGAGAGTTGGCAGCAACCATCTTTGGTGTTGTGAATATAGTTTTTGGCAGATGATTTTTGTACGCTATCAAATCACAAGCACCCTGTTCTTGCTATCACATGAACAAAACAAGATTGGTAAAAAGGTTACTACTACCTAGTTAACGAAAAGCTATAGCAGATTGGTAAAAAAAAGACAGCAAACGCAAGATAACAGTCTGCTGAAGTTAACAAAAGCCTGAGCAGATTGGACGGCATAAAACTCTACATACCAAATGAAATTGGTTGAACCATGAACATAAATAACGACATCCCGCTTTCACCAAATCAGACAGATTGGAGTTGTGAGTTGCGAAATCCAAAAGTGAAAAAGAAGAAGTTTCAGTTAACTATTTTACCTTAGGAAGCTTTTCCACCATCTCTTTCACTTTGCTTACTAACTGGCCGAGTTCAGGGTGGCTGGGTTTAAAAAGAGACAGCAAATCATCCACTAGCCTCTCCAGCACAGTCGCACCTTCCCTTTCCTTCCTCTGTAACCACTCCTCAATCAGCTGCACAATCACACTAGTTCCTTTCCCTAACACTGCTTTCTCCTTCTTCTTCGCCGCATTCGTCTTATCCCATGCATTCACTTCAGTTACATTCGCACCCTCTAGAACAACAAAAGCTGTCACAAGCTCCCACGATACGATATTCCACACAGTCTCCAACAAACAATTCAAAGCGTGAGCGAATGCCAGATAATCCTCTTCGAAGAGCAAATCAGAAACCAACTTAGCAGCATTCTTCAAATCAGATTCAGTAGGGCATTTCTCCTCAAACAGTGTAAGCAAACCAGTTCTGCAACTTTCAATCCCTAGAGCTTCAACATTCAGCTTCGCCCTGCTTAAACTACTAGCCCCAACATTCCTTAGCGCGAACACAGGTCCCAGCTTTGACGCCACCGCCTTCCTCTCTTTCATCTCTCCACCGTGCACGGGTTTCACGGCGGAATTCAGTCTGACCCTCGTCATCGAATGTACTGACTTCACAAACTGCCTCAATTCTCCATGAACTTCAGGAATATCCGAAATTGCCTCAATAGGAATCTTTCCCACCATCTTTGATCCACTGAGCAAAACCTTCATAGCACTAGCGACACCTACCTCATCCTCGTCCACGAGTCCATCTCCCGCATCCGTGGAATTGAACGCCGTGTCGTTTCCTTTCAGCGCCTCGCACGACAATGCAGCCACAGCATCCACTGTAGTCGCCAGAAGAGCTGCTTCGTGGTCGATAAGGGCGGAAACGCCGCACAGATCGGCACAGGAGTTCTCGACGAACAATCCTTCCTCTTCTGTCACTTCAACTTCGAGATTCACAGCGCGGCCGGAATCCAAATTTAGGGCATCGACAATCTGATTAGGGAGAACGGGGCGGATATTCAAAGGACTGGGATGGCGGAGGAGCTTGTTGGCCAGAACGACAAGTGAGGCGCGGGATTCGATCAGGCTTAGGGTTTTCGAGATGGGGATTCGGCATCTTTTCACAGATTGAGGTGGAGGGAATTGAGTAGCTAGCCTACCTAGAGCCAACGAGTCGATGCGGAGGCGTGCTTGGCCGGTGGCGATGGCGTGTACGGAGGAGGAGGCAAGCGATGAGTCCTTGCCTCCGAAGGTTATGACCTGGACTTCGCCGCGGACGTCCGCCATTGATGAGCGCTGTAAGAGATTAAAACGTAAGACCTAATGGCTAATTGAGTTATGAGTAACAACTTCGATAACTCCAATCGTTTTATACTTTTACCATTCCCGAAACTGCTCTTCATTTTTAATCCGAAAAAAAATCCAAAACTACCGCCCTTTAAAAAAAAATTCCAAATCTACCACCACTTTTTTAAAATCGCCTCCTTGGATCGCGATTTGGAGACGAACCGCTTGGTCAGACTGCAGTTTCAACAAGAATCGCTTGGTCAGGTGGCGTTTTCTATTTTTGGTAAAAACCGCTCTTTCGTCCAGCGGTTTATGGGGTAAAAACGCCCATTCAAGAGGCGGTTTGGGTCGACAACAGAAACCGCTTCTTGAGCAAGCGGTTTTATGTGTCGATACACAAATCGCATCCTCCACTAGTGGTTTGTGCGCAAACCGCCCCCTCCCTCAGCAGTTTGTGTGTAGCCCCGACATCCGACAACTGCATGCATGCAGAGGGACGCGAGGCTGCATGACAGAGCAAAACCGCCCCCTCCCCCAGCGGTTTTAGTGAAAATTCTGCATATAAAAGGCAGCTCCGAGAACATCAACTCCTCACCCCTCTCCCTATTCTCCATCAAATTTCTATTGTACACCTTACTTTTTTGAGTTATTGCGATTAACGTTACTTCGTAAGTTTGTTTTTTATTACTTGTTAAGTTGTTATTATGATTTGTGATTTTGATGGTATTAATTTAGTTACAATTTTATTACAAATGACATTTCAAAAATTCATGCTTGGGTTATAGTGGAATGGTTATAGTGAAGAGACCGGAGAGGGGGTACGTTAGTGGCAATTTTCATAAAGTGAAAGTCGCTACGAGACCGAACCTTGAAGAGCTCCGTCAAATGTGTACTGAGATTACTTGCATAGATGACACGAGAAGAGTTATCGTATGGTGTATGGATATCCAAACAGACATGACGAGACATTGTGGTATGATGAATTTCTCATAACCACTCAGGAGGACGTAGATGTCATGCTCGATTTTTTTATCGTCAATAACATTAAACAAGCAGAGATGTTCGTTTACAACGATTCGGTCGAGAGCGGTGGAGGTCATTCTGGAGATGGCCAAACATTTGGTATGCACGGTGGAGGCCGCAACCAACATACCACTATTTCCAAGGTTTTTGGGTGGGGAGGGGATGGATAGAGAGATAAACTTAGAGAGAGGGAAGAATGGGTTTTTGGTGTGAAGAAATGAGGAGGAGGTGGGTTTTATAGTTGAAGAACCGCATGGTCTAGGAGGCGGTTTCGTAATTTTGCACCAACGAAAACCGCGCCCCAAGCACACGGTTTTGCTTTCCCCACGCACTAACCGCACCCCCGACGTGTGGTTTTCAGTGGGAGACGCGGACCACTGACTTGGCAGGCGGTGTGGCTGTTGGATCGCCTCCTTATCCAACGGTTACCATGAAGTGCCGCCTTGAGGAGCAGTTTTGCTCTACCCCAACAAGAAATGACGTTTCCCCATGCGTTTTGTGGTCAAACCGCCCGTCCCCCAAGCGGTTCTTGACCTAACCACCGCTTCTCAATGCGGTTTTAAAATTTGGATGGTAGATTTGGAATTTTTTTGGTTTTGGTGGTAGATTTGTAATTTTTTTTAACAGTGGTACTTTTGGATTTTTTTTCCTTTTATTACCGCAGGTGATTAGGTTCATGCTAGTGATGGCGATGGGGCGGGCGGGGCGGGTACCTCAATTGAGTGAATTCCCATGTCCCGCCTCACGCTACTGCGGGTCGGGGTGGGTATACCCATTCTTTAATGTTAGTTAAAAAAAATACACGCAAAGTTTACTTTTTACGATAAAACGAAGGGGACAATATTTTATAAATGAAAAATAGTGATAATAAAATGTGTAATTGAGACTAACAAGTTAAAAGATCGACTCTAACTAGTTGAAGAAATGTCAAAATAGGAGAAATATGGATGGATAAAATAAATAATTGAGATAGAATGGGCCAAGAACGGGGCGGGACAGGGCAGGGCGGGTCGAAAATAGATACCAATGTCCCGCCCCACGCTACTATGGGTCGGGTAATACCCACCCCATCGCGGGTCAAGTCGGGTAATATCCGCGTGGCGGGTCCAAATTACCATCACTAGTTCTTGCAATTTGTAGGCTTGTAGCATGAGTGCGAAACTGCGGATCCTATGACTAAGGAGGTACCTCTTGGACTCAGACCTTATTTCTATTTTTTTTGTAGGAAGACAGACGCTTAATGCATCTTGATCATATATTAATTAAACAAGGTTGAGAGATTCCCATAACATCATAATCTAACCATATACACAAATCGTGATTGCTCACATCGACATGATGTGTATAAAAAAAGAGGCTATGGCCAAGATTGGCAAGGAAATCAGCTGCATGATTACCTTCCCTATACACATAAGCAACAGAAACACTCCATTCACGGTCCAAAAGGTTGTAGACATGTTGAGCCAACAACTCATGTATGTGATTATCATCAGAGCAATTCCTAATAATATTGATTGTAGTGGTAGAGTCCAGGTTCAGTTGAACTTGTTTGTACCCCTTCTCCCATGCAATTTCCAGTCCAACAGCTGCTCATTTGAGCTCTGCTGCATTAATTGAGTAGTTTCCCAAATTGCAGGCAAAAGCTACGCAACATCGTCTCAAGTTGTCTCGAATGAGACCTCCAGCAGCAGTAGATCCTGAGGGAGAGAGGACAGAGCCATCGGTTTGGATCTATACCCATCCCTCTGGTGGAGGTCTCCAGCCAATCTGGACCTCTCTTCTAGTAATAGGGAGTGAAAAACTCATTTCCACGTTTTGCAGAGCCTTTTTATAGATAATTGAACCAAACTTCAATTCAGCAGAAGAGAGACTTTTGCACATAAGTCTTGCCATCCATACACTCTTCGTTTCACTGCTTCCAAAGGTGCCAAGCGATCAGTCCAAATTCAGTTCCATGCTTGCCATTCTCCAGGTTTCTAGACATCCACTCCTTGAAGACAACTTCCTTTCCTTGGTTGTAATCCGATATATGAATTTATCCCAAATACCTGATGCCTTTCTGCAATTTCGAATGATGTGTTTCGTTGTTTCTTCAACATACTTATAGTGACTACAATTACCATTAGTAGTAAGCTTCCTCTCCATGCGTTCCTTGTTGGTTAACAATCTATCGTGCATCACAAGCTAGAGGAAGTGCTGTGTTCGAATGGGCCCTTCCCATTTTCAGAGTTTCTTCCAGACTTCCTCTCCTGCTGAGTCCAGCTGATCAGCAACAAGTTTCTAAGCATATTTGAGCCTAAATCGTCCATCCCTCTCCAACCCCCAGATGCATTTGAGCCTAAATTGTCCATCCATTTTCAACCCCCAGATGCATTTATCTTTCCCCAAATTGCTCTTTGGGGGTTCCATTCCAGCAATCATAGAAAGGATGTCTGGAGGGAAGAGATGATGGAGCTTCTCCCAATCCCAGTCTTCATTATCATCAGTCCAATCCGCCACTGAGGAGTCTTCTTGCTGAGTGTTGGCATTGTGCAGGACATGGTCCTTGAGGCAGATGCCATAATCCAGCCAGGGGTGGTGCCAAAAACTGGTGGTTCTGCCATTCATGATGTTCTAGCTGGTGGCACTTTTCATAAGAGGCATGGCCTTCATGATCGCTTTCCACAAGCTTGAATGGTTGCTTCGTTTCATCGCCACGATTTGTCCATCTTTCTGTTTGAAATATTTTTCTTGCAACACCTGCACCCACATGTTAGAGCTATTGTTATGAATATGCCAAGCCAGTTTAATCATAAAGGCCATGTTCAAGCTCCTGGCAGATCTTAACCCTAAACCTCCTTGATTTCTCAATTTGCATACATTTTCCCAGGATACCAAGTTTATCACATATGTTTTCCCTATATCTATCTTTGGTATTCTTGGAAAACAGAATTCTGGACTTTTCTCTACTCACAAGCTCTCCTGATGCATCACAAAATTGATCAGCACATTGGTTGATGACTTCTACTTGCTTCAAGGATGCTTCAGCAAAGAGGACGAGATCGTCCACGAAGAATAGGTGAGAAAGGGGAGGCCCTCCAGGGGAAAGTATCACCGGGATCCACCTATTTTCACTAACAACCTCTAAAATACAGTGACCTAGTCTTTCAACGCAAAGAGTAAAGAGATGTGGGGAAATGGGGCATCCCTTTCATGATGATGTTGATCATGCTCTGAGGGATTCCTGCCAACATCATTGTTTCTTCAAGAAAATCTCAGTCCAGTGGATCATATGCTTTGGCCAAGTCCAGTTTGAGAAGCATCATCCCTTTCCTGCCATCGAGTGAACAGTTCCTGCAATATAAGAATATTATCAATTATGTGACGATTGAGTACAAAACTGGATTGATTTGGTTTCACCAGTTGGGGCATTAGATGCTTCAGCCTGTTGGCAATGAATTTGGCCACCACTTTGTAAACCCACGCTGTAGAGACTTATAGGCCTGAAATGGCTCATCGAACTGGGGGCTTCTACTTTTGGGATCAAAGCAAGCAAAGTCACATTAAGAAGTCGAATGCTATCAGGATCCCATAAGCATTTCTTAATGAAACAGTAGAAGTCTAGACCAACTAAATTCCAGCATCTTTGGAAAAAGAGTGCATGAAATCCATCTTTGTCGGGAGCCTTCAACCCATTCATATCCTTGACAATGCTATGGATCTCTTCGAATGTTGGTTGGTTCTTCATTTGTTCCCATTTGTGGTTTTCAATAACAGGGAACAACGCAGGGATTGTATGCTGGGAGTTCCTGTTGCCTTTAGTGAACAGTTGGACATAATGCTCTCTTGCCATGATCAGAAGCTTATCAGGTGGATATATTGGCGTAGATAGCAGTAAGAGCACATGAATCTCCTTTTGGTGCAGAGCATTCCAGGTGGATATATTGTTTATGAATTTCCGGGTTAGCAATATGAATTTCACTCTTATTCCACAAAAGCCAGATTCCCCCACTGAATCCAGAGGAACCTGAGAGCTCATAGGA